CCTAGTGTCACGGTGAGGTTATTCGAAGGCGGTTTAATTGCAGCAGCATAGCACTGAAGGCCGAGGCGTAAAATACACGGCCCGCCGCTGTTTCTGAGCACACATACTACTAATAACGATCTGATTTCGATTTAAAGCTTTCGTGACTGCAGGGATTCATATTCTTGGTTCTTTCGGTAAAGTCACGTAGAAGGGAAATAATGAAATAATAAGAATTAAACAATACAATTCTCACGACGTTTCGATTACAACACAAGCAATCATCATCAGGTGTGAATTTTCATCAGATGATGATTTATGTGTTGCAATCGAAACGTTGTGAGAATTTTATTGTTTTATTTTCATTATTTTATTATTACCCTTCTATGTGACTTTACCGAAAGAACCAAGAATAACCATCTGATTGTTTAACACGTCGGTTTCCGCGACCAATATTATTCATAATAAGATTTTTTTGGGGGTTAGATCGCGCGAGTATAAATGTGTTGTAACTCTCCACCATCCGACACCAGAAACAGGTGCGTGTCTTCACTATTCTGGCAAATAGCCCCATGATGCTGGATGTGATTACACTATCAGCGAAATGGCGTATTAAAATTGTAAGTGGTGTGGATTTACTCTCTAACGGTGGGCTGAAGGAGTAACTAATTAGCGCAATTTGTTTTACGTGACAACCCTTACTGGCTGTGTCGGGTGGTAGAGGGTGACGACACATTCATACTCACGCGATCTCACCCAAAACAAGCTTTATTACGAACGATCTGATTGTGCGACCCCTGAGTCAGTTGCGATGGTCGTCGAAACTCCCACAGAGCCGGAGCTCATTAATCCCAGAGAGATCGATGGATAAATTGAGCGCTCGATCTAAATTTGAACTCGCAGGTCTTGCCCTATAACTTTAACACCATCCGGCTAGTTAGGCTGTTGGGCCAAGGACTGTTAGCGGGCAGCTTTGATAGGTCGGCACTGCGCGTAAGGAGGTGGGGGTGTGGTCAGACTCCACACCCTTTGTCTCCAGAGTGCCAATGTCCACACGCCGCACCGGGCACTAATGTAAGGCTTAGCTAATACAGGGAGACCCAAGGCCCGTTTCGGAGAACCGTCTCTGACGTGAGCCCTGGCGGTGGGGGTAGTGCAACGAGCTGACCGCTACGCTAACCCACTGCGCCGCTCTGAAACGCACGGCAATGCAGCACGATATACACCGATATCCCCGTGCAGTCAATAAAAAAAAACTGCAGCTTGATGCGAAGTGACCTCACGTGCACAGCGCCGAGGCAATCACCGCGATGGCAACGTCTATGCTGTCAAACGTAATTAGACGTCCGACGCAGGGAGCTGTGCCGGCCACGGGATTGCCTCCAGCGCCGTGTGCTCTCGCACTGCACCCCCACCCCGCACGCGATTGTTTACATCGGCCCTGGGCCCGCCGTTGATTTCACCGCCGTTGATTCCACCGCCGTTGATTCCACCGCCGTTGATTCCACCGCCGTTGATTTCACCGCCGTTGATTCCACCGCCGTTGATTCCACCGCCGTTGATTTCACCGCCGTTGATTTCACCGCCGTTGATTCCACCGCCGTTGATTCCACCGCCGTTGATTCCACCGCCGTTGATTTCACCGCCGTTGATTTCACCGCCGTTGATTCCACCGCCGTTGATTTCACCGCCGTTGATTCCACCGCCGTTGATTCCACCGCCGTTGATTCCACCGCCGTTGATTCCACCGCCGTTGATTTTACCGCCGTTGATTCCACCGCCGTTGATTCCACCGCCGTTGATTTCACCGCCGTTGATTCCACCGCCGTTGATTCCACCGCCGTTGATTCCACCGCCGTTGATTTCACCGCCGTTGATTTCACCGCCGTTGATTCCACCGCCGTTGATTCCACCGCCGTTGATTTCACCGCCGTTGATTTCACCGCCGTTGATTTCACCGCCGTTGATTTCACCGCCGTTGATTCCACCGCCGTTGATTTCACCGCCGTTGATTCCACCGCCGTTGATTTCACCGCCGTTGATTTCACCGCCGTTGATTCCACCGCCGTTGATTTCACCGCCGTTGATTTCACCGCCGTTGATTCCACCGCCGTTGATTTCACCGCCGTTGATTTCACCGCCGTTGATTTCACCGCCGTGTCCGAGTGGCGTCTTGGCGACGACTCAACGTGTGCGCCGCGACCCTCGGGACCCCCCCCCCTCACCGACCCACCCCCCGCGCTTGGCCGCAGGGTCGGTCGTCGGCGAGACGGCGGTGCCAAAGAGGGAAGGTAAACGAAGGGAAAGTCCCCCTCTGCTTGGCGGCGGCGAGGAGTGAGCCGCGGTCGGTTCGGCCGGTGGAATTTACGCTCGCCACGGGGGAAAAAAAAACCCAAAATAGTATTAACACTGGTCAACAAAAAAAAAATTCTGGCCTGGACTTTTGCAGCTGTTTTAGACTCATTTCAGGGTGCTGATTCCAAATCTGATCTCAGATTTGCTCTATCACATCTCATGTTTATGCTATCGGCATACCCAATTTTCATTGATTTTACGCGAAATTAACTCTGTCACTTATGATTGCAAGTTGTTGCGAGTCAGTGACTGCTTTTGTGTTAAAATATGGTGCTGTATTTTTAGGATAGTGTGTTTATAATATAATTTAATGTAGATATTCACATTTATTTAACATTTTTCTTCTGAAGTTTTTATTGAAAATGCAATAATTGATATCTCAAAAACCCGATGTGATAGACAAAAACTGTATGCCAGATTTGGAATCAGTACCCCAAAATTACCTTAAACCCGTTGGAATACCTTATGTTGACCAGTGTAATCTGCGTCATCAGTTGTTAACGTTGGGGCTGCTACTGCAGCTGCTTGCGAGCGGATGCTGACACGTGACCGCCCCAAGAAGCACCGCGGCGCCGCTGTCCACGGTGCTGAAAGTGCACGCGGTGATGACGCGGCCCCGCGCCACGGCCCCCAAGGCAGCTTCGACCGTCTCCTCGCGCTTGCGGGGTCTCACGGGTGACCACAGTGCGTGCGCTGCGGCAAGCTGGCCACCCACCCACTTCGTGTGCCGTGTCGGTCTTCGTAGGTGCTGCTGCTACTCGCGAACAGCACAGTCTGTTAGAGGCTATGCGAGGAATCTTTGTCGTTGTGAGTGTGTGTGTTGTTATTTCTTTGATTGTGTTCGCTGTTATGATTTGAAAGTTATATTTTTTCTCCGGATCAGATCACCGCGTGAGTTCAACCTCAATGTGTGTCGTGCACCCTTCTGCATCCGGCTGACAGAGGACACCTTCAAGCCTGTCGTGACTACATTGTCGCAATGTCTAACGTTAGTACGTGTCTACGTTGAACTTCTTTCGCACTGCACGTAGCCAACCACGCTCATCGGAAGTGTGGAGGAAAGACAAAAAACTGAAAATACAAAAAGCAGTTCTAAAGATGGGAGTTTTCAATGTAGTGTAGAGGTTTAGTGTAGTGTATAGTGTACGATATACTAGTGTAGTGTAATAGCAGTGTAGAGTATAGTAGTGTAGCAGTGTAGTGCATAATATATGTACGTATGCTGAACTTCTTTCGCACCGTACATAGCCAACCGCGCGAATTGGAGGTGCGGGGCGGGGGGGACAACAAACTAAACACACACGCGTTAAAAAAATACACGGTTATCAAACAAATCTGTACGAGACGCAGCTCTGACAGATTTCACGCTGGCGTTGAAAACAAACGAACCAAGTCTCTCACTCCGTGAAGAGAGCAAACGTTCGCGTGATAATGGAACGGCGCTGAACCTTTTTTTTTGGTGATGAATGTGGCGTTTAACCACGTTCATCATCGCCGTGGAAACCGAACATTGGCATGCACGCTGCGTCGTGCTCTCTCTCACGCACGCCCCGACGTTCTCCGCCGGCTGCGAGGTGATGGCTTCCTGCTGTCTGGAAACGTTTTTGCAATTATCAAGATGCGGGGGGTGGGGGGGGGGAATAATGTTCTTTTGCAAAGAATAAAAAAAAATCTACTTTCCTGTAGTTAGCACATTTTTAAATTGTCATTGAAATTATTAATTTTATTTACCCGCTGACATTATTTGTGGACCACACGCGAAACTCTCTTCCCGTGGGCTTCGAGGAGGCGCCGTACCCTAGCTCGCCAGGAGAATGCGGTACAGCGAAATAAATGTCGATTCCACCCGCTCCGTCCGTATGGACTATAATATTTCCCCCTCGCCCGTGTGGGTTTTCACTGGATGCTCCGGTTTCCTCTCGAATGTAAACATTAATTAACTAGTTCAATAACACCTTCATAGAGAGAGGGCCGCAGAGCTTGGGCAGTTGTTGGCACCGGCTCATTGCGTTGGCTGCCTTCCTGCTCGTCTGTCGTTCCTCGCCGCGCCTCGGAGTCATCCTATCTCTCTCCCTACGAGAGTGATTACTCATGGCCAAGCGAGATAACCAAACAAGGGCCGGTGCTGTGGCCGTTTTCATGTTTTTCAGCGGAACCGGCAGTGGTAATCGCGTAACGACCGTTGCCTCGAGTGAACGTGAGGACCCCTGCCCACCGCCCCCACTCTCAAGTCATGAGCGTGCGTGGCGACTGCTCGCATTCCCAGCGTCGGCTGCAGCTCGCTGAGCCGCCAGCCGCGCAATTTGGCCGCCTATGTTGCCCATCGGCGGCATGGGGTTTCACTCGCTCCGCACTGCCCTCACTCATCCCCCCCCCAACCCCATCTCACCCCCCCCTCCCCCCCCCCCCAAGTAGGAGCGGCACAATGTCCGGAGCAGCCGAGCTCGTCGGATCTCCGCGCTGCCCCCTGCGTCGCTGATTTTAATTTACAGCCGGAACCCGGGGGAGCGCTTCGACCCCCCTCCCATAATTCGCTCCGACGTCACATCGCGGTGCCCCGCGGGAGGCTGAGTTATCCGCTGAGCGTGGATGCATGGCGGGCAAATTGTTCGTGATGGTGGTGGGATTGTTTTTGTTTTTTTTGTCTTTTGCCTCCTCTCTTTCAGGGAGTGAGCGCCCCTCTGGATTGCGAGAGGGCATCGGATCGCCGCCGGGGAGGCATGAGCCCGGCCCAGGCATCGCAACCCAAGCCACCGCTGTTTTGGTGACGAAGTGATCGCCCTCACCACAACGGTCGCTGCCTAATATCCCACGAAGGTTTTAGCGTGCGACGCTCGGGAAAATCAGCCTCAGAACCACGGTCGACAAAATTCACGTAACTTTACCGGCGGCTTGAAACTCAATTTGCGGCGGCAGATCAACTCGAATCTCGGCCAAGCCTTCGTTTAGACCCGTAGCGAAAGCATCGGAAGAAAAAAAAAACACCCCTCTCGATCCGTCGAAGTAACGAAGGCCTCGGGCACGGAGGGGCTCGTCATGGAGGAGGCGAGGGACCGTCCCGCGTTCCTGCAGGGGGCGCGCGACATCGCACGCGAGGTGAAGCGGCAGGCGGCCAAGAAGGTCGGACGCGGCTCCGACCAGATCCAGGACCAGTACACGCGGCGCTCGTACTCGCGCTTCACGGGCGACGAGGACGACGACGAGGACGAGGACTGGAGGGCGGACGCCAGGGACGCGCGCAGCGACGGGCGGCCGCCGCCTCCCGGCGCGAAGGGGGACAGCAACGAGGAGGGTTCGAGCGACGCCACGGAGGGGCACGACGACGAGGCGGACGCGGAGGGATACGAGGGGGAGTACCAGGGAGCCTCCGACGGGGTCAAGGTCGCCCACGCCACGGTAGGGAAGTCGCGGGCGCTGATGGCGTGGATTTTTTTTTTCTCCGGATCCTCCGGTTTTCCCCCCCGCCACTTGGTTGAGCCGTCATTTGTGGCCAGGTCGCTTCTGAAAAAAAGAGCTGGATAGCTCAGTGGGCCTTACCTGGTGAAGTAAAAAAGTTAATGGTGAATCACCCCCACCTCGGCTAAAGGGGCTTTCACACACAAAGCATTCGGTGGCGGTGGGTAGTGAACATCGCCACGCGGGAGACAAAAGTGGCTGGCTGTGTGGAGCTGGCCACCCACCCCCTCGTGTGCCGTGCCGGCCTTCATAGTTGCTACTCACTAACAGCACTTGCTCTTACAAGTCTGCTAAGGCTATACGGGGGATCGGCACTGGGGAGATAAAGGCGAGTGCGCGTGGTGTTGGCCACCCACCCCCTTGTGTGCCATTCTGGCCCTTGCCCCAAAAGACGTGTTTAGGTTGTAAGGGTATCTTTGTCTTTATGTGCACAAGACAAAGATCCCCCGTATAGCCTGAACAGACTGTTGGGGCAAGTGCGGCACACGAGGGGGTGGGTGGCCAACACCACACCCGGCCGCCTTTGTCTCCCTAGTGCCGATGTTTTACACACCGCACCAGGTACTCATTTGAGGCTGAGTCGACGTAGGAGGGGGGGGGGCAGGACTCGTTAAAATAATCGTCACTGGTCTTGGCCGTGAGCGGGAATCGAACTCGGGTCACCGGGTTCGTAAGCGCAGTGCGCTTACCACCGCACACACACATGCACAACACACACGTGCACACAACGCACACGCGCACACAACACACACACATAAAATACAGCGTCCTTTTAGTTCCCACAAAGCCCCTTCTCATCTGTGGAGCACGGTTGCCCCCTTGTCGGCATACGCGTGCAGGAGCCGAGCAAGAGCGCGTCCTGGGACACGGAGGCGGGCAGGCGGAGCGACCGCGAGGAGCTGTCGCAGCAGTACGAGCTCATCCTGCAGGAGTGCGCCCACGGCAAGTTCCAGTGGAGCCTCTTCTTCACACTGGGGCTGGCGCTCATGGCTGACGGCGTCGAGATGTTCGTCGTGGGCTTCGTCCTGCCCAGCGCCGAGAAAGACATGTGCCTCTCGAGCCAGAACAAGGGATGGCTCGGTGAGTGAGCGTAGAACCCGCCGGAAAGGTGTTTGTGTTGTTGTTGTTAGAGGAGCGAGGCAGTATGACAGGTGAAGGCTTCCGTTGAGGTCGTCAATGTTGGCCCGGTCTGAGAGCTCCTCTGAGGTCCTGAGGTTCCCTTTCTGGGCACCCCCGCCCCCGCCCCCCCGCCCCCCGTGTGCCCTCCACACACAGATGTGTGGCCCTGGGAAAGTGCTCCACTGCTGCGATGCAGCCACGCAGCTACAGACTACGGCAGCAGCGATTTACCGTGTCCTGCTCTCACCTGCCTAGTTGTTAAATTGTCACGATTCAGGGTAACGATTTGATAAAAAAAAAAAGTGTTTTATTCTTTACTACTATTATGGCGGCGAACGTTCACACTATCTCGAAGTTGTAGGCTTGATGAAAACCTTTTGCACGTGACATATACATTGTAACACGCGTGTTGTATACCTGTCAATCCCTTATCAGTGCCCTGCCTTATTATAGATCAATTCAGACCTTACTGGTAACCCCGTGCCCCTCATAAATCTCAACGTTCATCCTACAAAGTCCCATCACAAGGGGAGAAACACAAACAACGAGACAATAAAATGGTTTGCCCGTATTGAAACGGCTGTATGCCGTATGGACCTGAGAACTCAATTTCCCTGCACAAGAATACGGGGTAAACCGTACAGGTTGACAGCGATGGTGTTGAAGTCTATCTCTTTGGCTGTGCCGTGTGGCAACATCCACCACCGCCACCGCCGCCACCACCGCCACCGCCACCACCGCCACCACCACCACGACACCTTCGCCCCGGGGTGCCGCGTGCCCCCTCTCTCATCATCGTGCAATTTCCACGTCACTCACCGGCAGGCCGCTTTTAATTGCCGGGCTGCGACGAGCGCGAACAATTACAACGTCTGGGATTTCTGATTTATAATAATGGGGGGGGGGGGGGGGTGCGTTAATCGCTAATCAGTCACGCATTATGTCGGGATCAAAAAGGCGCGGGCAGCTTTGAAACGATCCTCCGTCGTTTTAAACAATGGCTCGGGGGCTTTGTAATTGCACGGTGCCACAGTGTTGATCGAGTGGGAATTCACGCGACGTCGGACGGATGAATCACGCGACGGGGGACGCACGTAGCCTCGGTGGAGGGGGCGGGGCAGGTGGGGGGGGGCATCGATGGAACGCTCTCGAGGTAACCGAGAAGCTCGGGCGAGCTCAGAGGGCTGAGCTGGCAAAGCCGAGATTCCGGGCCGAATGCCACGTGTCGCCCTCCTGGGAATAAACCGGGTTCTCAAGTGTACGCCAATTGATAGAGATGTCTTAATCACTTTTGGCTGTATTGCATGAAATCCATTACGGTGCGCATATGTGTACGCGTGTGTAAGGAGAGCGGCGGCTCTCCTTACACAATGCACTGCGCTACGAACCCGGCCACCCGAGTTCGATGCCCGCTCATGACCGACACCAGTGACAATTCTATTATTGGAACCGGTTTGGGCCTCCCCTAGCTCGACTCAGCCTTTAACTGAGCACCTGCCGCGGTGTGTGAACATCGCGACTGGAGAGACAAAGGCGGCCGGGCGTGGAGCTGACCACCTATCCGCTTTGTGTGCCGTGTTGGTTTTCACAGCACTTATCCCAAGAGTCTGTTAAGGCTACACGGTGGATCTTTGTCTAAGTCTTTGTCTTGCGCGTGCACGTGTGTGCGTGCGTGTGAGCGGTGGTGTAGCGGTTAGCGCGCTGCACTACGAACCTGGTGACCCGGGTTCGATTCCCGCTCACGGCAAACACCAGTGACGATTATCTGAACCGGTCCTGGGCCTCCCCTAGGTCGACTCAGCCTCAAATGAGTACCTGGTGCGGTGTGTAAACATCGCCGCTAGGGAGACAAAGGCGGTCGGGCGTGGTGCTGGCCACCCACCCCCTCGTGTACCGTTCCGGCCTTCATAGGTGCTCGCTAACAGCACTTGCCCCTACAGTCTGTTAAGGCTATATGGGGGATCTTTGTTATCTCTGTGTGTGCGTGCACCAGGCGGATTCGTGTATGTGGGGATGATGCTGGGCGCCGTGTTCTGGGGCGGCCTGGCCGACAAGATCGGCCGTCGGCAGTGCCTCCTCATCTCGCTCTCCTTCAACGGCTTCTTCACCTGCCTCTCGTCCTTCGTGCAGGGATACGGGGCCTTCCTCTTCTGCCGCTTCCTGTCGGGCATTGGGTACCGCTCGCTCCCCGCTCGCTCCCCCCCCCGCTCGCTCCCCCCCCGCTCGCTCCCCGCTCGCTCCCCGCTCGCTCCCCCCCCGCTCGCTCCCCCCGCTCGCTCCCCCCCCTCTCGCTCCCCCCCCTCTCGCTCCCCGCTCGCTCCCCCCCCCTCTCGCTCCCCTCTCGCTCCCCGCTCGCTCCCCACTCCCTCTCCGCTCGCTCCCCGCTCGCTCCCCACTCCCCTCTCCGCTCGCTCTCCGCTCTCGTTCACTGGAAGCAACACGGGGACCAGGGCGGGCACATATAGCGGGGCCGGGGGGGGGGGGGGGCTTGCCTTAATCGTGGCCCCGATTGCCGTGCAACGCCACGCGACTGGAGCGGCCGGTGTGTGTCGGCGCGCCGTGTCGAGCGTGCGCGTCTGTTGGCTCGCTGCGCCCCACCAGGATCGGCGGGACGGCTCCGGTCGTCTTTTCGTACTTTGCGGAGTTCCTGTCGCGCGAGAAGCGGGGCGAGCACCTGAGCTGGCTGTGCATGTTCGGCATGATCGGAGGCATCTACGCGTCGGCCATGGCCTGGGCCATCATCCCACATTATGGTAACGGACGCTGGCACACAGCTCCACGAGCGCACGCACCACCTCTCCAACGCGTTGCGCAGATCTCGTCAAGCTCAGTTGCCTCTGACTGGCACGGTTGGCTATGTAGGATGCGAAATAAGTTCACGCATGCGTGTAGATAACGAAGCCAAAGTCTACCTGCCCCCCCCACACCTCCCCCCTCCCCCCTCCCATATAGCTGACACATTTGTGGCTGGGATTAAAACCCAGTTGACAGGGTTTATAACGCAGTGCACAAACCACTATGCCGCCTCTCTCCACGGGGGGGACAAAGATCCCCCGTATGACGCTAGTTTTCATTACTGGCGAAACGAATTGTAAATGTTGTGGATTTACTCTCCAACACACCGGTGTGTTGTACTAGTAACGAATTGGCATATTTTGTGTTTACGTGACAAACCTTCCTAATTGGCTGTGTCGGGTGGTGGCGGGTTTAACCGCCAGGTTCCGCAGCGTGGTGCCCTCGCCTCTAGGGCTACCCGCCCGCGCCCTGCCCCCACCCCCGACACGCGCACAGCCCCATCCACACAACGCGCGCACAGTCATAAACAGGTGCGCGCGCACTCCAGCCAACGTGCGCGCGGTCTGTGCAGCGCCGCATTCCCCGTCGTGAAGCCCCCTCGCCGGTTGTGAAAAAAGCGCTCGGCCGAGGTGCCGTGGCGCTCAGGAGCTCTAATTGAATCCACCTGGTCCTAAAGAGCGCCCCCTTTATTTACTTTCGGCTTGTCCCTAAACACTGCGGAACACCGACGGAACACAATTACCGGCCGTATGGATTTTCCCGTCTGCTCCGCGGATGTGATTATACGCCATCGATTTCTTACGTTCAAGCCCGCGCGCCCGCGTGCGCCGCCGCTTTGTACGGCCCAGGGTAGAAGAGAGAGTCGGGGGAGGGCGACGCGGGAGGGGAGAGTAAAGGGAGTGCAAATGTAGAGAGTGAGCGATAGGCGCATGCTGGCTGGAGCTCCGCTGAAGTTCTCTTTGGCCAAGAGCCGTGCGGCTTGACGGTGGAGTGCGGTCGATAAAGCGCCTTCCGCGTGGGGGTGGTTTTTTTTTATTGTTGTTGTTCGCGTGTGCGCCGTTAGAGCGTCCCTCCGTGTGTAAAACCGGCGGTAATGGACGTGGCCGGGTTTAGTGAAAGGAGCCGCCGTAAACTGATCCGTTGGGCGTTCTCGTCCGTAGCCGGGAGAAAGTCCAAAGGTCTCGGATCTGGTGGCATTGTTGGGGCACAAAGCGGGGATTAGGATGAGGAGCGGCGTAGTCAGTGAAGTGAAGGTTTAATCGTGGCGTTCGCATAAAAGGTGGACATTGATGAAGGGCAACGGTGTTCGGAGACAGTGGGCAGCACTCGCGTGGTTACCAGGGTCTGTCCCGTCAACCGCCTGCCAGCACCTAACCTTCAACACTTCACGTGGCCTCAAGGTGCACATAGCCTGGCACAAACGCCGTGGTTATTGTTATGTGCACGTACGTCGCGTGCGTCTACGTGTGCCTGGTGCGTGTGTGGTGCGTGCGTGGTGCGTGTGTGGTGCGTGCCTGGTGCGCGTGCGGTGCGTGTGTGGTGCGTACGTGCGTGCAGGCTGGAGCTTCAGCATGGGCTCCGCCTACCAGTTCCACAGCTGGCGAGTGTTCGTCATCGTGTGCGCGCTGCCCGCCGTCTCCTCCGTCGTGGCGCTCACCTTCATGCCCGAGAGCCCGCGATACCTGCTCGAGGTGGCGCCCCATCCCCTCTCCCCCCCCCCTCCACCACGATCGTTTCTTTGCCTTCTGTCTTTTTACTCTTGCTGTGCCGTGATGATGCCCCCCACCCCGGCACTTTTGCAGGGGCAGCGCACGTGGTCCCTGGAGCGTACGGCCCAGACAAGAGATAATTTTCAAGGCACTTCTGAGAAATCCTTCGAGTGGCATTTTGATCCTTTACACCAGGGTCGAGAGAACGCTTTCCTCACTGAGGACCAAGTCTATCGGTTTCTATCTAAGTCTGTGGGTAGCTATGTATCTCAGTGGGTCTCTATGTGAGTGTTTGGGTCTCTATGTAAGTCCATGGGTAGTTATGTAACTCAATGGGTCTCTATGTGAGTCTATGGGTAGCGATGTAAGTCAGTGGGTCTCTATGTATCTCAGTGGGTCTCTATGTGAGTCTTTGGGTCTCTATGTTAGTCCATGGGTAGTTGTGTAACTCAATGGGTCTCTATGTGAGTCTATGGGTAGCGATGTAAGTCAGTGGGTCTCTATGTATCTCAGTGGGTCTCTATGTGAGTCTTGGGGTCTCTATGTTAGTCCATGGGTAGTTGTGTAACTCAATGGGTCTCTATGTGAGTCTATGGGTAGCGATGTAAGTCAGTGGGTCTCTATGTATCTCAGTGGGTCTCTACGTGAGCCTGTGGGTCTCTATGTAAGTCCATGGGTAGTTGTGTAACTCAATGGGTCTCTATGTGAGTCGATGGGTAGTGATGTACGTCAAGTGGTCCCTATTTAAGCCTGTGGGTCCCCGGTAATCGGGCTAAGAAATCGTTTATTTTACACCGGCAGATGAAATCCCGTTGCGACCTCGGGGAGTCTCGGCGGTGTTGGCGCAGTGTGCCTCTGCGCTCGGCCACCTCAGCTGCTGCCCCCGCGGCTGGCCACCGCTTCAGCTTTGTTGGACGAATCGGTGTTGCGGGGGCGCTCTGCCACTCCTGCTCATCGATTGGAGCCTGTCGGCGGGGGGGGGGGGGGTAAACGGTTTCAGACAACGGTTCAATTTACGCGACACAATTTGTGGATGGGCGAGGCAGTCCGGGGTCCTGCCAGGCGATCACGGTTAATTGGGCAATCAATCGCCCTTTGATGGGGAGCGACGTGAATGGTCGCACCTGGAGCTGCCGCATCACAAATAGACACTTGCCTCCTCTCGCTCTCTCCCCCTTTCACAATTTCCCGCCGTTCCGAGACGTATGCAAGTTGCAGGGTGAGTGGGTGGGTGCCCCGTTCACCGCTGAATCTCGGAACGTGTAAGCGGCTCAGCGTTACATTTATTTAGAGAGGCGTAGCACCATTTTTTAAGACGTTGTACTTACCGCAGAGAACGTTAGCGACATTATCGAGCTCTATGATAGCCGGCGCAAAACTGTGGCACGCCCTCCCGCATGGCCTTGTGGGAGCCTCGGTACCAATAAACGTGTTGTCTATTAGTTTTTCTTCCGGTTCCGTTTTGATGATGTACACATATGTACGTACGTCATCAGAACATGCACGTGCGTCATCGGAACAGGAAAGGGTTAAGTGCCAAATATAAGAAAATAGCGTATGTTACTCATTGTATTCTTTATCTTGTCCCGCAAGATTTTATTCGAATCGTGTAATTCGTGTTTTGTCGAGAGATGAACAATCCAGACTGGTGCAGCGCCTTGTGTTGGAGAAAGCCCCCACAGAAGCGGGTATCACAGAAGTAATTCTGACGTCCCTCCAAGTGGTCCACAACTGGGGAGGCGATGCACGTCCCCACGCACGCACGCACGCTACTCCGGAGAGAAGTGATCGTCGCATGACAGTCAAACCGATCGTTTTAATTGTCAGAGACATAATTTAGCTAAGTTACATGCAGAACCAGATTGAACATTATGGGACTTTTATTTGTTGTTGTAGTCTGGTCACCGATTTGATGCCAACAACCACCCTGCATATTCTTGGTTCTTTCGGTAAAGTCACGTAGAAGGGAAACAATAAAATAAAATACGTGACTTTACTGAAAGAACCAAGAATATGAATCCCTGCAGTCACGAAAGCTTTAAATCAAAATATAACTGCCCTGCACTTCAGAAACTTGGGTTTATAGCAGGTGGCTCAAACTCGGATTTGAACTTATGACCTCAACCGTGCCGGTCGTCGCTCACTGTTTGTAATGAATTATAGCGATGAATATAAAAATTATTTCAATCATGAGATGGACGGCATGCGGACATTTACGACAGAAAAACCTGAATTTGTTGCAAATATTGAGCTTCTCACTGCAGCTTGTGTGTTGCAGGAGCCTCGAGCGCGCAAGGGGTTAAAACCTCACAATCAGTAATCCACTCTCCTGTTCCCTCTCCTCTTAGTGTTCCGCTCTTTTCAGGGCTGCTCAGGAAATTGATGTTGCAAATAATTACGTGTTTGCCTCGGCAGTGCCACGTCCAAGCCTTTTAACAATTATTGATTTAGCTCTAAATGTTGCAGTCATTATTGTTTGCTACGCGTAAAGGTTGTTCCAAATTGCTTTGAACACCCGCTGTTCCCGTGGGTGAAATGGACATGTATGTACGTATGTTGAACTTCTTTCGAACCGTACGTAGCCAACCGTGGAAATCGGAGGTGCGGGGGGAAGGACGAAAGAAATTGAACACAAAAAGCAGTTCTAAGGAAATGAGTTTTCAATCGAGATTTCAAAGTGTATAGCTCCAGTTGCTTCCTAATATCGGACGGAACATTCGAGACGGACGCAGAAGTGTATCCGAAAGCACGCAATGCGGCGGCCATCTTTGTTCGACGGCTAGTCAAAATCCGCTGCTGCTGCGAGGATGACCGGAGCTTGCGTGATGATGGTTCATGCTCCTTGATGAGATCAGCGAGCAGGGTGCAGGAGGAGAATGGTGGGTTAATATTATAGATCGTGGCACCCAGAGGTCGGTGAGCCAAGGTGAAGAGCCAATCCAAAACTATAAAACTATTCAACTATATTTTATTTAAACCATTTTGTTTTATTTTACCAGGTAAGGCCCCACTGAGCTATGTAGCTCTTTTTCAGAAGCGACCTGGCCACAAATGATAGCTCAACGAAGTGACTCATCATGTGGAAATGTACAGCAGCCAAATAATCTAAACTCATTTTTCTAAATGTAGAAGGATAAACCGGAGGACCCAGAGAAAAATCCACACGACCACGGGGAGAGAGACATGCAAACTCCAAATTTACAGCAGGCGTCAGGGTCAGAATCGAACCCACGACCTTCTGCATACCAGGCAAGGGAGTTAACATCTCGCGAATGCGGGCGTCCCTGATGGCGGAGATGAGGCTGTAAGCGTGGTCCTTGTCGGACTTGTTGAATGCGTAACCAGGGGAAGATCTAAAAGCCAGTTTGAACATCCCAAGTTGATTTTGTGTGACCAGGCGAAAACGCAAGAGAACAGGATTATTAGCGTCTCATTTGCCGAAATTACAAAAGCCAAAACACGGATGGTTGGGGGCGAGCTGCCATCACTGGGATTGGTGACCTCTTCGGATTTACTTTGACCTCTGTGCAGGTTACGGTTATTTACCCGGCAGTGATTTAATTAGCGTGGAATTTATGATCCTCTGTCAAAGTGGATTGTGGGGGAGTAATAGACAACTTTAAAGACAGTTTCACCACAGAAATCACATCTACTATCACACCCCCGGATTAGCTATGTTGACTACGTACGGTGCGAAAGATTTTCAACATCCAAAATCTATGCCTAGACCTTCCTGGCTGGCTGCTGGCTGGGTTCCTCTCCACCCCAACGATAACTGTTGGTAGTGGCTGCTGTTGGCCGTTGCCACCGAAACTAGCTGGGTTAGCTGGCCAACGGAGTTTTCCGTGTAACAAATAAGCACTGAATTAATAGGGTGGAACAAGTTCGGGAGATATATCATAGACGGCGACACCGAAGAGGTGGGAGTAACAAATACTGAAGACTGACACAGAATATTCTTTGAATCCTAGAGAACGTAAAAAAAATAATCACGGTACATATTATCTTGCCATTTTACGACGTAACTAAGCGTATTACTTTTAGTGCTCCGAGTACAGGAGGTTTGTGAGAAGAGCATGAACATTTCAGCTGTCTCTTATTTTCCGGTGCAGAGCAAAGGGTTTTCTCCTCCTAAAAAAAATGATTCGGTCCGACGGGCCTAATAAGGCCCTTCTCGACCATGTTTACCCAGCAGCATTTGTCAAAGCAAGCAAACCGTGTACCTGCTTTGATTTTCTGAGCCTCATCGGCAGAGGTGTCACCTCTTGAAACAGAAATCGCTGCATTGCCCAACCCTCTAGGGCCTAGGCAATCAATCGCATAGACTGCCATGATGCCGGTGTGTCACTGCGGCGCCGTGTGCATGCGTTCCAGATGGGCAGGCACGACGAGGCCTGGATGGTGCTCAAGCAAGTCCACGACACCAACATGAGGGCCAAGAAGCAGCCTGAGAAGGTCTTCACCGTGAGTGACCCCCACCCCCAAGTGCTGTCGGCGAAGACCGATTTGAGGCCGGCACGGCACACGGAGTGGTTGGGTGGCCAGCACCGCAGCCCCGGCTACCTTTTGCCTCCCTATTGGCGACGTTTACCCGTCGTGCCAAGTACTCATTTGAGGCTGAGTCGACCGAGGAGAGGCCCAGGAGCAGTTCAGATAACCGAACTCGGGTCGCATCGCACCCAGCCACTACGCAACCGTTGCCCGATGCACGCGCCCAGCGCAGCCAGTTCCAAAGAAATTAGTTTTCAATTAGATGATTTAAAAGTGCACAGCTCCAGTGGCTTCCTAATATCAGAAGCAAGAGCGTTCCAGACGGCCGCAGAGCCGCATCTGAAAGCGCCGCGCAATTCCGTCCGACGGTTACCTAATTACTCCACGTATGGGCCTTGATTAATTAACGTACAGCAGTTTATATAATTCGGATTCAGTGTGTCAAATTACAGTGCATCCCCCGCTGCACGAGGGCGCACCACCACCTCTCCCCCCGCGCTTCGTGCGGCGGTCACTTTGCCAGAGCGGCCGCTTGCCTCGTCCCGCTAATGGGGGTCACGGCGAGGTCGCAGCAGCCTCATCTTTTTTCATTCGTTTAACTCAAAATCAATTTATCGGTCGTCGCTGGTGATGCACGATGCCGAGGGGGAGGTAGTGGGGGGGCCTGTAAATATTTGTACCATGTACCGTCCCGGTGTTTATTTTTAGTTCACCGAGGGCTGCATCGTGCGAACGCTCATTTAGTGACGTCGCGGCAAGCGTTAGTCATGAGAAGGGGAGAGTGCGCGCGCGCGCCGAGCTCACAGCGCTCGGAGGGCGATGCAGCCTCCATTTAAATACAGCCTCATGCACAGCCCTTTTGTCCATCCATTGCTGGTCGGTGCTGGTTGGTAAACGCAGGGAAGCACAGACGGTACCACACGTGTTTTTTTACACTGCCCTCTGCTGACCGCCACGTGGCACAGATTCCCCACGGGACTATCCGGGCTCTCGAACCTGCTTAGCGGCACCGCTGTAGGCGCCGCGGTTGCCCGCACAACCCCAGGCACGTGGCACGATCGACAGGAATGCCGATCGTGCCGTCGACGGGGCCTTTGAATGCGCAGCGGCGCAAGGGCAGTCCGATCAGCGCCGAGTCGGTAGCCGTACGATCGTCGTGCGGTGGAAACTCGTCTCATGCGCCCACTGGGAGCCGCTCGCCTCCGGTCGTCTGCGTGCAGGCACGTGGCCGAGGCTGCGAGCACGTGGCCACTGCGGCAGTGGCGGCTACGCGCACGGATGCGTGCCTCTCAGCGGCGTGCGCGCACTCTCGTGGTGCAGGTGACCCAGATCAAGATGCTGAAGCAGCAGGACGAGATGGTGGAGATCGAGACGAGCACGGCCATCTGGTACCGCCGCTGGATCGCGCGCGTCCTCTCGCAGCTCAAGGCTGTGAGTCGCGCGCGGTCGCCCCGCCGTGACCCCCGGTTCTGTCCTCGGTGACCTCCTCTCGGCGAGCCGTCGACACTTCACGTGTCCTCAAAGTCCACCCAGCCTGGCGCAAGCGCCGTAGGGACGTGGCCGCCACTTCAATGGCGAATGTCAGCTGTTGTTGCTGTTGTTGTTGTGTGGTTACTATTAGTCCGCTTGTTTACCCGGGAAAGTCCCAAGACTGTTTTTCAGAAGGGTCCTGACACGTTTTAACGATAGGAGGCTACCACGATCACCGTATGTCATCCAAATTAAGTCATTTTTCTAATACGGACCACGACGACGGCACGCAATGGCTGGACTCTTGCAAATGAGGTCACAGGGTCTTCTGACATCCGCCGTGAAGCAGACGGCATGTACTTTCGTGGTCAATACAACACCACCGCCGAAGCACCGCCGCCGTATTAATCGGGCGGCCGTTGTACTTCGAACCGTCAACCTCTGCAAACGAGCGATGGAGCTTGCTTACTGTGGGGCCGCGTCACCATGCACTGCAGCAGCAGCAACAACTCCGAGTAGAGCCGGGCTATCTGACTCTATAGGCCAGTGGGTTGGCAACTGAATAATAAGCCACTTGTGTTCGAATTCGGTTAGAAACTCATTATTCAAGAGCCGCACAATGCATGTGGTGAATACGAGACGTGGCCCTTAATAAACAGCTTCACGAAGCTGGCGTTAAATCTAGAATTGAAGCTTTCGTGACTACAAGGATTCATATTCTTGGGTTTTTTAGGTAAAGTCACGTAGGTAAAAAAAAAATATTTAAATTAATAAAAGTAAAATAAAAATAAAATAAAAATCACGACGTTTCGGAGGCAACACAAGCTTCCGTCTTCAGGTGGAACCGTCACAGCCACGACAGCTGTATCAAGTAAATGAGAGATTACAAGAGATACCACTCCGTATATATAATGGTTGATGGGGGGGGGGGGATGGGCCAGGAACGGCCCACTCACTTGATACAGCAATCGTGCTGTGACGGTTCCACCTGAAGACGGAAGCTTGTGTTGCCTCCGAAACGTCGTGATTTTTATTTTTATTTTATTTTTATTTTACTTCTATTAATTATAATTTAATTTTTTTACCAGGCGTTAATTGGCTGTTGCCAGAACATTGCTCCCAGGACAGAAGCTCCTTTCTTCACCCGGCTGTGCGGATATGGAACGCTGCCTCCCTGAACACAATGTCGGCGAAATCACCGATTCTGGTCTTCAGGCCTTCACCGAGCGCACACACACACGCGCGGGGCATCTCCTAACTTCGCCACACGCCGTGTCGGGACTGAACCTTTGACCTGCAGTGACACCAATGATTACGCCGATTAGATGGACTGATGTCTGATATGGCCACTAAAAAAATATAAATAGATGATCCTTATGGCGGTACCCTGGGGTACCAAATTATACAAAATGGTCGAGGCAATTAAATATTTTATTTCTGGGACACTTTGTTTCCAGGGGTGTACTTCACTCTGTGACTGGGGTACCAATCAATCCGAAATCGGTGCTACTCCGCGATGTCGAAACGCAGCGAGGACGATTGCGCTGAAACTCTGAACGCTCGCGGTAGGCACCGTAGTGGTGCATCGTGTACAGCTCGTCGAGATGAGTCGATTGCCGCATCGCCGACCATCAATAGACTAAAAATTACCGCATCACGAACAATACGCGAGAGCCGGGCTACTATGGTATACCCCGGGGTGCCGCCGTGAGGCTCAGATAAATAAAACATAAAAAAATAAACAAATAAATGCGGCTCCGTAGCCGCAGGCTGCCGAGCCCTGCTTTTGCCATCGATTAAACCCCGACTCATCGGACGATGATAAAAAAAAAATCTATATACGACGGCGGAGTTGCTCGGCGCGATGTCCGACGTTTGGCCCCCGCCCCCCCGCACAGATCTGGCGCACGCTGAAGCAGTGCTTCGAGCCGCAGCTGAAGCGGACGATGATGCAGCTCGTCGCCGTGTGGCTCCTGCTGTCGTTTGGGTGAGAATTCCATTTCTATTCTGTTTCTTTCTATTTTACCAGGCAAGGCCCATCGAGCTACACAGCGCTTTTTCAGAAGCGACGTGGCCACAAATAATAGCTCGACGAAGCGGCTTATTGTCGTGTGGAAATTTCTAGCCGCAAAATACTCTGAACGTACGTTAATTCTAAACGTGGAAGGAAAAACCGGAGGACCCGGAGAAAAATCCACGCAAACACGGGGAGAGAGAGAGACACGCCAACTCCAAATATACAGGCGTCAGCGTCGGGACCGAACTCCCAACCTCCTGTACATGAGGCGAAGTAGTTAACATCTCGCCGCCGTGGCTGCTACTACCGATGATGATGATGAGTCTCTACAACAACGAAACGTGCTGGCGGAGAGATTGAGGGGCCCTGGTGTCGCGCGCACACCCCGAGGACACGCTGCCCACTGTGCCCCCGCACCAGGTACTACGGGCTGAGCGTGTGGTTCCCCGAGATGATCAAGCAGCTGCAGGCCGACAACTACGCGTCGCACCTGAAGGAGTTCGACAAGGAGCGGGTCACCGACCAGACCTTCAACTTCACGCTGGAGAACCAGGTTCACCGCGACGGGGAATACATCAACGACCGGTGAGCACGTGCTTGCGTGCGCGGGGAGTACATCCGTGTAAGTGTGTGTGTGTTGGCCACGTGTGTGTGTGTATGCATGGGGGAGCTGAGTGGTCTCGCCGAAGACCGGTACCAGCGGTGTGAATATCGGCCTTTGTGGACGAGGCTCGTGAAGGACGCTACTTGGCAGTTGGAGGCAGTCGCCCTCCAGTAACCGCAGAGGGGAGAGGAGCGACGCTCACAACAACGAGCGGAGCGCCGGGCGGCTAAAATACAGAAAGTTGGCACAGTAGGGGGCGCAGGTGGTGCATCGGCCAGTCATCTGAGTCAACCCATGGCACCTGGGTCTCTCCCATGACGTCCTGCCAGCGGGCGTGCGACACTTCACGTGGCCGTAAAGTGCACCTAGCCTGGCACAAGCGCCGTGGTGATGTCGCCGCCACTTAGTGGTGAATAGCGGTTGTTGTTGTCGATCACTCGCAGTGGCTGTCCCTCTGCTGGAGGCGAATGCTGTAGATGTTCGCTGTATGTGAATTGCCGTAGGTGGGCACTGTATGTGTATGCTGTAGGTGGTTGCTGTAGGTGAATGCTGTAGATGGATGTTGAAGGTGAATGCTGTAGATGGATGTTGCAGGTGAATGCTGTGGGTGAATGCTGTGGATGGATGTTGTAGGTGAATGCTGTAGATGGATGTTGTAGGTGAATGCTGTGGGTGAATGCTGTGGATGGATGTTGTAGGTGAATGCTGTAGATGGATGTTGTAGGTGGTTGCTGTAGGTGTATGCTGTAGTTGGATGTTGTAGGTGAATGCTGTGGATGGATGTTGTAGGTGAATGTTGTAGGTGAATGCTGTAGATGGATGTTGTAGGTGAATGCTGTGAGTGAATGCTGTGGATGGATTCTGTCGGTGGATGCTGCCCTGATCGGCTGTTAATACGTTGGCCACTGGAGGCAGCGATTGTCCGCTTAGTGCGGGAACGATGCTGGAGTCTCACCCTGCTGAGAGCGATCATTAAGATGCTCGGTTGCCCCGGCCACTGTTGCCTAGGCAACTCAGCCCCTTCACCCCCCCCCCCACTCCTCTCAAGCCTCCGACGCACGTGCTCGGCGCTTCGATTTCGAACCCTCGGCGCGTTTTTTTGCCGTGAGCGTTGTTCCGTATCGTCGCGACTCGTTCCGCCTCGCAGGTTCGTCAAAATCAAGTTCAAGCACGTCATCTTCGAGAATTCCCTCTTCAAGAACTGCGACTTCGATGACATCACCTCCACGAACACGTTTTTCAAGAACTGCACCTTCATCGGCACCACGTTTTACAACACAGGTAGAGTCCCCGGGGGTCAGAGGTCGCAACCGGGTACCCGATACCCGGCTACCCGTACCCGGCCGGGTACGGGTAGCCGTTTCGCGACCCTGGTGCGGCCGGGTATGGGTACGGGTAGGCCGTGAGTCACTGGTGAGTAACTGTTTGTCACTCATTTCCCAACGTCTTGTCTCTTCTCACAATTCAAGTTCTTAGAATCAACCCACCCACGCCTGCAACATGGCTTCATCCCAGAGGTCGCAATCAGGTACCCGATACCCGTACCCGGCTGGGTACGGGGGTAGGGTAAGGGTACGGCCGGGTACAGGTACGGGTACCCGTTTGCGACCCTGGTGCGGCCGGGTACGAGTACGGGTAAGGAATCAAAACCCGTTTGCGACCTCTGCCGGGGGTCGCCCAGAACGGAACCGCAAACAGCGATGCTCCATTCGCAAATTTCGAAGAGGTGCCATCGCAGCAGCAATGCAACACTCCATTACTCCTGACACAACCATCTCGCCCCACCACCGCGGTGTGGGAAAGTGAATGTCGTTGCTCTTCATCACGATCAGCCACGCGCAGAAGAGGAATGCCCCCGTACCTGCAATCCTCAGGCAGTCTCCCATCCAAGCACAGTTATACTCCGACGTACGTCTCCCCGTTTTTTGTCGTTTCGCGAATACGTCGTCGCTTTATTCATGGTAATCAACGTTTTTGGGTTAGATCGCGTTGTTTATAAATGTGTCGTAACCCTCCACCACCCGACACGGCCAAACAGCACAAAAGTGTCACGCTGACAAAAGACAAATAGTTCACTGCTTTAGCCCACCGGTGTGTTGAAGAGTGAATCCACAACATTTACAGTTTTTTCAGTATGACGTTTCGCTGGTAATTACATCCAGCATTATCGGGCAATTAGCCAGAATGGCGAATTGCTGATTGGCCGTGTCGGGTGGTGGAGGGTTACGACACATTTATAAATAACGCGATCTGAATAATATTGGTCGCGAAAGCCTACGTGTTAAATCGCTTTATTATTATTATTATTATTATTTCGCTACCCAATTTGCATCACCTCAACCCCACGCTCGCGTCGCTGACAGCACCGTCCGTCCGTTCTCGTCATCCGTCGCCTCTCAGCCTTCGCCTCCACCACCTACCCTGTGAATCCCTTTGCTTGACGTTGTTTTCATATTCGTCGTCGCACCTTTCAGCAACGAATTCCCCCCCCCCCTCCCCCCCCCCCACGATGTAAACCGGGGTATTATTGTACCTACCAGGATCAAGCCTGATGAGTTTCAGAGCTCTGATGAGATCAGGGGCATTCAGAGTGACTTGCTGATGAGAATACTATCTAGACTGCATTATAATAACTATTATTACCGTCCGGTGCCTGTGCTGCCTTAGATCTCTATGACTTCAAGTTCGTGAACAGCCGGCTGATCAACAGCACGTTCCTCCACAACAAGAAGGGCTGCCACATCGACTTCAGCAGCGACTACAGCGCCTACTGGGTCTACTTCGTCACCTTCCTGGGCACCCTCGCCGTGCTGCCCGGCAACATCGTCTCCGCGCTGCTCATGGACAAGATCGGCCGCCTCAACATGCTGGGTAGCGACTCCAGCCGCCACCACCGCAGGGTTCACCCGCACCGCGTGTCCTGAACGCGGAGGTCGTCGTGAATTTATAGCCTGGGAGGGGCAGGGGGAGGGGCTGGCGGTGGTGGTGGCTACGCACGTGGCATGTGGCACGTGCTCTGGTTCTGCGTCGGGGGTGGGGGGGTGGGGCGGCGAGGGTTGTCGGATCGCCGCGCGAATGTCGGGAAACTCCCTTCCCGTCAGTGTCGACGAGGTTGCCCATACCCAGAAGCGAGCAGCGCTGCAAAAATGTTCCAAGTCGGTATGGGATAGAGCGTTTCCCCCTCGCATTTGTGTGGGTTTTCTCCAGGTGTTCCGGTTTTAGGCCCACATGTAAACACTCATGAATTGGTCGATAACACCTTGATATGGTGTGCCATGGTGGCGAGATGTTAACTACCTCGCCTGGTATACAGGAGGTCATGGGTTCGAAACCGACCCTGACGCCTGCTGTATATTTGGAGTCTGCGTGTCTCTCTGATCGTGGTCGCGTGGATTTTTCTCCAGGTCCTCCGGTTTCCCCTCCACATTTAGAAACGTGCTTAGAGTACTTGGCTGCGATACATTTCGTTGTGATAAGCCACTTCGTTGAGCTATCATTTGTGGCCAGGTCGCTTCTGAAAAAGGGCTATATAGCTCAGTGGGCCTTACATGGTAAAATAAAAAAAATAGTACACTATGAGACCTCCTTTACCAGTGGCAAAATATAGTAATAGGTTTTTACCCTTTCAACTGGTACAAAAACTGACACCTTTATACAAGGGAACATGTTTGCAATAACCACAACACAAGCAGTCAAAATGCAAAGAAAAGAAACAACTCTGATAATGATATGCACTGTCCTTGAAGTTGATTGGTCCACACCCGAGACAGCTTTTGTTAGAGCCTAGTCTCCATTGGTGTTGGACCAGATTACGCCAAAAGGCCTAGTCTCCATTGGTGTTGGACCAGATGACGCCAAAAGCGTATTATTACAATAAAAATAGTTTAAATATATATAGAGGACTGAAGATCTTGGGCAAGTGTTGGTGCCGGATCATTGCGTGGCTTGTCTGTGGTTCTTCCTCGCTCCTCTGCGTCGTTCTCTCTCTACGAGAGAGAGAGAGAGAGCGAATCCTGTGCACATTATAAGTTGACATTATTATCGTTACGTAAACATTGGGGGGTTTGTGTGCATGTGTGTGTACCGTTTCCAACAAAGTAGAAAAACAGAGCTCGGTTACAGGGGATGGCAGTGCCCGCTAAAGACAAATGTGCCTAGAGGAGCACCCGGCTCTCACTTCGTTGCCCCGTGTGCCAGGCGGCTCCATGGTGCTGTCGGGGATCAGCTGCTTCCTGCTGTGGTTCGGCAACAGCGAGGCGACCATGATCGGCATGCTGTGCCTCTACAACGGCCTCACCATCTCCGCTTGGAACTCGCTCGACGTTCTCACCGTGGAGCTCTTCCCCACCGACCGCAGGTGCCCCGCCATCGGCGCGTCGTCTCGCGACCCACAGGCGCCGCCGTTGACGTCGTAGCCCTGAAACTCCCCACCGCTAGGACAAGGCCCTCCCCCTCCCCCTCCCTCCATTCTAACCCTCCACTCCTTCCTTGCCTCAGCTGCTCATGTCCGTTCGTGAGCTTCGAACTCTGCGATGTCGCCTGCCGCCCCCTTCCGCTGTGTCCCTCTGCTTCGCTTCGCTCGTTCGCCACTCGAACGGAGTTAGTTCCCTCTCTCACCGCTCCTCACTCGTTCTCACGACCGTCGCCGGCGGGACGTTGTTATCCTTGTGCGGCACACCTAGGCCACCAGAAACGGCCGGCTCCAACGAGCACAGCCGGCAGGCACGGCTCGCCTTCAAACCCGTAACACCCGGCGCATACAGCGCACCTGGGCCAGCACACCTCACCTGCTCTTGTCGTTGCTTCCGCGCTTGTGTCTGCGCCACGGTCAGGGCCACGGGGTTCGGCTTCCTGAACGCGCTCTGCAAGGCGGCCACGGTGATGGGGAACCTGATCTTCGGCTCGCTCGTCTCCATCACCAAGGCCATCCCCATCCTGCTGGCGTCCAGCGTGCTCGTGGCCGGCGGCCTCGTCTCGCTGCGGCTGCCCGACACGCGGAACCAGGTCCTCATGTGAAGCCGACGACCCGCGGGAGGCGAGAGCAGGGAGCGGGCGGGCGGGCGATCGCTCAGACGCAAACCTGCAGCGTGATCTTGTGTGACGGGACGGGAGGGGGGGGGGCGGTAGAGGGGGGGGGGGCTTATGATAACTTGGCAGGGGCGGGAAGGAGGTGCATGACACGGTCAGTGTCAAACAAACGTTCGATGCTAAACACAACGATTGAATGAATACGATTTGCCAAAATTTGGTCAATTGCTCACAGAGCTGCTGGATTGGTGAGACCAACCGGCAACGTCGCTCCCCTTGTGGCAGACTTGTGCCCACTTGCAGGCCGGTGCTGCGTTCACCCGGGGAGAGCTGCCACCCCTGCAGGGTAGTCCGTGGCCGTGGTGGTGGTGATCCGCTTGTGACCACCGTGCGTTCTGCTCTCACTCTCGCCCCCTGTGTTTGATACGAGGAGAGGCAATTACCAACAGTTCTTGACTTGACTGTCACAATTTATAGAGGGGGCTCAGCCCCCCCCCCTCCTCCCCCGCTCCCCCCGAGACGCTGCCAGCCTCGCCGTGGAGCGCAGAGAGAGGCTGCGTCTGATGCTGGACAACCCCGAGCGAGACATTGATTCGCTCCGCTGTTGCTCTTCGCATGTTGTCGATAAGGGGGCGGGGGGGGGCAGCGGAAGGGGGGGGAAGAAATCTCAAAAGAGTTGCAAATGCGCCCCGCTAGCGTGTTGTGCGTGCGTTAGCCAACACAAGCGTGAAATTGCATTTTTGTCGGTGATGTTCAGCACTCGGCGCCCACCTCTGTATTCGCCCTGACGACGCGCTGCTGCTCCAAATTATGACTACGGTTATTTTTGTTCGATCACAAAATTCCCACACGAATGCAAAGAGGCAGCGGGGTATATATATGTGTGTGTGTGTGCACGTACGGCGTTTGTCATAGGTGGTGGAGGTGCATCCTCTTGCTCACGGCACTGCTGCGGAAAGGGCATCTGCTCATGGGAGCTACAGAGAGCCCTCCTAGAGGGTCGTTGCCTATTATGAGAATAGATTTTCCCCTTTTTTTTCTGGCAACAAAACAGTTGTGTTAAGATGTTAAAACACCAAACTGAAACCTTTTACAAGGCATCATGTCTGCATTAACCACAATACTTGTGGTCAGAATACAAACAATTAACATACACTGATAATATATATGCACTGTCTTTGAAACTGAATGATCCACACGGTGGTGTTTTAACATCTCAACACTTGTTTTGTTGCCAGAAAAATAAGGGGGAAAACCTATTCTCATATTTCGGTACTGGCAAAGGAAGTCCCATGAAGTTGTCCTATTCTTCCACGCTGCCCAGACATATATACATATATACACACACGTGCGTGCGGGTATATTTGTATTGTATATACAGAGGTCATTGCGTGGCTTAGGGCAGCTGTAGGAATGGTAGTGAGTTGCAGGCAGCTTAGAGTAGACACACGTACAAAACCAAAGACAAAGATCCCCCGTATAGCCTTGACAGACTTGTTGGGCAAGTGCCGTTCGCAAGCAGCCCCATATGAAGGCCGGAACGGCACACGAGGGGGTGGGTGGCCAACACCACGCCCGTACACACACACATGCACACACACACATACACACACACACACGTGCACGCGCATACGCGATGGGTGGTCAAGAGTTCGTCCGCTTGACCTTTTTACCCCCCCCCCCCGATTTCTCCCACACGCAAAAAAAAAACATTCCAATAAGAATTTTTGGCCAAACTTTGCAATAACGAGGACCTTCTTTCAATTAAAAGTGCTGAGGCAATCGGCGAGGCTTTCCTTAATAGGTAGAGAAATAATATTGCCGTGTTTTTTTATCAACTGCCAGTGAGAAGAGTGGGTTCAATATGCAAGGAGGCGTTGTGCATCCGAGCGGGGGTGGATTCGCGTACGCCGCGTGGCAAAACGCTCGTTGATAGGCCGGGTCAGGGCCGGTTGGGGCCCGTTTGGGCCCCTGCAGACATCCGCTGCCCCGTGCCAAAGGCAGGAATCATGGCGCACGCATCTACCGCCAATGGCTGATAAGCACCCTGGGGCCGCATCGTCTGCGATGAGTTCCGTCCAGTAGTTACGTTTACTGCATCAAACAAAAAACAACAATAGAACTGGCAGTGTTTTGTAACGTTGTGAAGGAAATTTTTTTTTTTTAAAAGGAGAGCTGGTTTATTTTGTTGATGTTACCGTAAGAAATAGCCACGGCCGAAGCGGGAACGTTCGTGCTTTGTCAGATTCATATCGGCCCCGATGATGAAGCATGCGCGCGCGTGCCTGTGTGCGTAGTCCGACTGACTGCCGTGATCAACGTTGGCGTTTTAGATTTAATTGCCCCTCCCTGGCGTGCTCATCGGGGCCTTGCTAGTGCTATTAGTTGTATGTTATATTGAGTCTCCCGTCTCCCTAAGTCAACGAGTTAAAAGAGGAATATGAAATGCATACAGCTGGGTGTATACTAGGTAGTCAGACACTACCGTAACCAAAGCACCATTTTAAACCAAATGGGATTTTGTGAAAATTGCTTCCCTCGACTGGATCTTTGCAGAGCGTATGTCCCTGGCGTCTAGGAGGTTCGGAGTTTTTTCTTTGATTGATTCCGTAGATTTCTCTTGCGCTTGAGTCGACAGAGGTGGGTGGTGGTGGTGGTGGGGGGGAAGACAAAGGCCCCTCCGCTTGTGTCGTTGAATTCATCTGCCGGAGCGAGGAGGGCTGGGTGCGTGAGCGTGCGACCCACCACGTGTTTACTGAGGACCGAACCGTGCGGAGAGAGGGGGCAGCCATCAGTTACTCGGGACCAGCGTTAAATTTGTTCACGAGACTTGTGTTTTGTTTTTTACTTAAGCCAATGATGACTGCGAGTGGATGGACATCATCGGGCGTGACGCGACGATGACGACGTAGCAACTGAAAACCCGCGGAATGACTCGCTGTGACGAGACGAAATAAACTGGTCTGAATGAAGACGCAGACTAAGATAATACGATTACACTGGTCAACACACTTTTTCTGGAATAAGGTATTCCGACGGTTTTAAGGTAATTTAATTTTGGGGTGCTGATTCCAAATCTGGCATCAGTTTTTGTCTATCACATCAGGTTTTTGAGATATCAAATATTGCATTTTCAATAAAAACTGCAGAAGAAAAATATTAAATAAATGTGGATATCTGCATAAAATGATATTATAAACACACTATCCTAAAAATCCAGCAGCATATTTTAACACTAAAGCAGTCACTGACTCGCAACAACTTGCAATCATAAGTGACAGAGTTTATTTCGGGTAAAATCAATGAAAATGGGGTATGCCGATAGCATAAAATGAGATGTGATAGAGCAAATCTGAGATCAGATTTGGAATCGGCACCCTGAAATTAGTCTAAAACAGCTGCAAAAGTCCAGGCCAGAAAAAAATGTTTTTTATTTGTTGACCAGTGTAATTCGTTGTTCGCTACCGCAGTGTGCCAAGCTGCAGCAAACATGATCATTCGTTGTGTGTGTGTATACTAGGCTCGCTGACCTGATAACATTGGGAGAGGGAACGTTGCCTGCTTCTCACAGCAATATTTAATAAATTAGAGTGGGGACTACATTTTCGGTTGATTTAGTCGACTAGACTTCGAGAATGGGTATATGAAATCCACGAACAAAGGCTAAACTGCACAGGTTGTCGTCATCAACTCGACTAAGACGAAAATGACAACAAATTCCGACTAGGTTAACACTGCCCGGTGCCTCCTCTTGTCTCCCGTCATTTCACCTCCTCATCAACTAAACTAAACATTTATTTTATTTTACCACTGAGCTATATAACTCTTTTTCAGAAGCAACCTGGCCACAACCGATAGCTCAAAGAAAGTGGCTTATCATGTGGAAATGCATTTCAGACTAATACTCTAAACGAATGCCCATTCTAAATGTGGAGGGTCAAACCGGAGGGCCCGGAGAAAAATCGAACCACGGGGATAACACGCAAACTCCAACTATACAACAGGCGTCAGGGTCGGGGATCGAACCCACGACCTCCTGTATACCAGGCGAGGGAGTTAACATCTCGTCACCGTGTTGGCGTGGTCACCATTCGCCTTGCGAAACGGGAAGCACTTGAGATCCATAATTACGTAAAGAGCGCAGCCACCTTCAGTTACGTTGGGATGCATTTTATGTTTTTGTTAAATGGACCACAGTCCTCACACATTAAGACCCCTTGACCTTTGTAAGCGTAGCCCACGGCCCACAAGCACAAGCGATCTCAGTCCTAACGCAGCACAGTTTCAGCACAACCTAGGGTTGGGTCAGGACCAATTTAATCTATCGGTGCACACACACACTGCACCTCCGATTAGCACGGTTGGCTACGTACGCTGCGAAATAAGTTCAACATACAGACCACGACAGATGTTCCATTTTGTGTGGCCATGCCATCCGACTCGAGTTTATTCAGAAGAAAGCATAAATATCCAGGTGCCAAAAAATTATGAGCATCATTTATTGTGTAGTATATACCAGAGACATATATGGACGTTAATTCGGGAGAGGAATATGCACTTCGGAGAATAAATGTTTATGTTTGGTGTGGATCCAACGCTCGCGAGAGGCAGTGAGTCAAGGTGACTGACATTACGGAGTCGCGTGTGCCTCCAAGGCCCCATGTCCAAGACCAAACGCAGATCAACTGGTCTCGAAGGCACGCAACTGTGAATCCGCAATGTGCCACGTAATACGATCGCAAGTAACTCCTGCATTCGTTTATGGCTTTTGTTGAGGATATTGATTCGTTCCGGGATGGAAGAGGGGTGGGTGGGGCATTGATGATGATGGTGCAGTTTTAATTGCTGTGGAATAACCGGAAGATTATGGATTGGCGGTGATGGTCTGGAGCACCCATTCATCCTGCGTTGTGAAATTCCGTTCAGCAAGGTTAGTAGGATGACCTGTTCACTTACTCTTATGCCTGTCGCCGAAATGCTGTTAATGAAGATGACCGAACGAGATGGTAAAACAAACACATTTCTAGACACGACGAGGTGGGAAAACGAGGCCTGCGTCGGTCCGCAGGGGGAAACTCGTCAGGAACGCAACGCTCGTGCGTACGTTCCCGCATTGAAGGGGAATGTTAGGGGGAGTCCCTTTTAGTTTCGAGGGTGCAAAGGAAGAAAAAGTGTCGGGTGAAATTGACTCTGACTTGGAATTGCCCGAGGGACCAGTAATTTCTACTGCAATACAAAGGCGTGACTTGGAAACGTGTGGAATATTTAATTCACGACTTTTATTGGTCATTCTTAGATATTGTACAGTGTGAAAACTTGTACGATTAGTGTGCACTTTATTTATTAGTTATTTATTAGTTATTTATTTGCCCTACGTTCAGCGCCGTTGCGAGTGTTTGTGGCCCGATGTGGCTTTTAGAATTTGACAAAATAGCGGGCGTATTTCAGCCTGCTATAAAACAGTACATGCTACTCAGAGTACATCTAAACAATAATTGTAAAAAAATATATATATATATACGGTACATACATATATATAAAATAAAAATTCTAAGACCTATATTAATATACATAGTAAAATAATTTTTAAAAAGCCTCGGCACGATGTTTTTGCTTCACAGCAATAACGCTGGGGCGTGCGATGTCCCCTCCCCACCCCACCGTGTTATCCGTGTGCCGAGGCGACGCCTGGAATAAACCATTTTCCCACGCCACCCTCGAAAAGTTTTATCTCAGGCGGACCGCATCCCCGTCAGCCGGGCAAGCTGTGTGTTGTCAACGAGGCTCAAACGGCTGACGTTTAAATGCTCGGATCCTGCTTTAGTTTGTTTTTCGTAGCCTCGCACGGCGTACTCGCTGGCTTGTACGCGGGGGGGAGGTCTCCCGACGTAAAACTTCCCAACGATCGCACCTCTGGTTTAGCGCGTTCGGCCGCGGTACGGTGCGAAAGAAGTTCAACGTCAATTATCGCCGTTGCTTCGGGCCACTGACGAGGCCAATGCGCGCGCATTCGTGGACGCAGAGCCGCGGGAACTGCTCGCTGCTGCTCTGTCGGAGTGTCCAGCAAGTGGAGGAGCAGTCGGCTTCAACGTCGCCGCCGAGCAAAGCATTTGCGATGGGGCAGCTGCGGTAACTTTGGTGCTGCAGTGGCGGAGAGTGGAGGTTTCGCCCGGCGAGTGAAGAGGAGAGTTTGTTTAATAAGCGACGACGATTGGTCCTACAGAGCGCAGAGCCCTCGGGTAGCAGTGTGATGATGTATCAATCCGTGAATTGACATTCCGCAGTAACCCTCCCACGCGAGCAGCGATGAGAGTTGTTCCACATCGAGGCAACCACTTCTCTTTTCGCATTAGGAAGCGGCGCGGCGAATATTTCCTAGCTGCGATTGCCCCAAAAATTGCCCTGGTGCGCCGTGACCCCTGTAGACGCGACCGCGTTGGCGGTGGCGGTCGGGAGAGAGTGAGAGACGCGTGGGGGCGGCAGTGTCCGCCCAGCGTGTGCCGCTGCCGCTACACGAGGCCAACGCGGACCTCGCCGCGTGTCCCTCGCGTCCGTATCGACGGCTGCGTTGCAACCCCCCAGCAGCAGCACCCCGACGTGTCGCGCGTCCTTCCGTCGAGCGTTTGAACGACGCAGCTCTTGGTGGGCTGCTGACCGCGCGGTGGTTATTACGGCAAAACTCCTCCCCTTTGTGATTTGAGGATTGTGTTTTCTGCGTCGTTTCTTTTCCTTAAGCGTTCCCCTTTAGAGAAACTCCCCCGCCCCTCCAACCTCCCCCGTTGCTAACACGTGCAGATGAGCATGAGCCAGATGACTCGATGGATCCACGTGTTTATATGTTCGAGCAGACACTCCTCTCTCCTCCGTCCCTAACTCCCACCCCTATCCGTGCCATTGCTAGGGCTTTTCAGATGCCGTAGTTGTGGGCTACTACGCTCAATGCTTTTGATTCTGCGTGAGCCATGCTCGTGTGTGTGTGTGTGCGTGCGCTTCCTCGCTTTTCTTCGGGAAGAACAGGGAGAGGTTAGGCAATTGAAATAACAAAATATGAAAGGCAGCTGAAAATGTGTAATTGTCAATAATTTTTCATATTCAAGTTTACGTTTCTAGATTTCATGGAGAAAAACAATTGGGACCAAATGCGACTGTGTGAATCTAAATTGAATTGAGTTGTTTAGTTTACTGTTCCGAGGTAAAATAAGTTTTACCTGTTGGCATATCCCCTGAAATTGTACATAAATTACCAAAAATGCAATAACTTTAATCTCTCCCGCATCAGAAACCTGTGGCCAGTATGGTATGGGGAATACTGTACATCACAAGTTATTAATATTGTTGATTGTTGCAAAAAAAAATGGTCGCATGTTTATTTTCACTCAAGGTGAAATGCAAGCTTATATCTCCACTCAAAGGCCTTTAAAATTATGACCTTTAGGCCTCCTCAACAGAGAGGGGACTTCGTTACAGCATGGCTGCAATCAGCCCGGTGGCCTTCCCCAAACAAAAACATCCTCTTGTAATTCAACGCCATCACTTATAAATACAAATTAATCATACCATGCGAACGGAACGAAAAGCATCGACCTTAATTTGCGTATTACAACGAAACTGAGAAGCAATTTTAAGTGGCCTTGAGATGCCAGGTTGGAAGTCTGGGAGGCCGGGCGCCTTTCCTGCTGAGGTAATCCCAACAAGGCGAGGGGTGACACCTCTGGGGTTGACCTCACAGATGGGGTCAATGTGCACAGAGGTCAGCCATCGTCCTAGGGCCTCACTGCGCTGTTCCTTCTCCGAGTCACTGCTTGCTCCGTCTTCCTCTGCCCAAGAGCAATTTTCTTTTGTCAGGGTGACCTTGCTTCCTTCCTTACTGTGCATGCGAAATCACGGCAAAGCAACTGTGCTGCCAAAGTGGAGAACTAGGTGTGCTGTAACTACTGTGTCCGTAACGTGTAACTTGAGGCCGCAAGCCCTCAGCCGGTGCGAAACTTGACGGAATCCACAACAAATTGTGCGAGTCTAGGCCGGCCCACCGAGAGTTTTTTGGAGGCCTGCGGGGAAATGCCAGATGCGGCCTTCCGCTGAGGCCACGTCAGCCCTTTCTGAAGGCCCCCTCGGGCCGCTACCCTCCCCTCCCTCTCCCCTCCTTCTCTGGACCTGTGCTAGGGTTACCACCTCCTCTAAGGTACTACAACAAAAAAACTGTGAACATGTTCATGGAAAGAAGAGGAATATCCCACAACACTTGAACAGCGTCATGTCAATTGCATTGAGTAATGTGTTTTTTACGCAACTGACAAAAGCCGGGACTTTTAACGTCTTACGTATTTCCCAGGGAAATCAACCTTAGAAAAAAGACAACGATCCACGGAAAACCAGGGCGGGTGGCAACCCTACCACAAACATAGCCCACGTAAATCGTGCTTTGCCGACACATTTTGGTTGCAGAAACGTGTGCGTTTTTTCCTGAGCGTTCTGTCCCGGGAAGGGATCAGAACGTGAGATGCTGAGGGCCACGCGAAGCACGGCTGACCGATCCTGAGCCAAGGAAGTGTGGGGTGGGGGGGGGGGCGTGCTTGTGAACGTCTCTGCGTCGGCCTTCACAAGCGGTCCGACGGCAATCAGCTTGAACACTTCTCATTGAACAAAAAACTATCAAGATTCTCAACGCGGTTCCGCGCATCGCGGTAAACCGCCTTGCGTGTTATTGCCCACTCCCCCACTCTCCCCCCGGCATCGTTCTTCCCGTGTGCTTTGTGCAGAGCTTTGGGGGGCCGTTTGGAACTCGTAAGGGAATGCATGAGGTCCCAGGGGCTGCAATTAAGCCACCCTGGTTCTTATTGTTTATTTTTAAAGGACGATTTTCCGTAGAATACAACGCATTAAAAGCGAATTACACGTTTCTCCTAAGGCAATGATGCTACCAATCAGGGGAGGGAGGGAGGGAGGGGCGGTGGACATGTGGCCAGGGAAGGTGTTCGTGTGTTTGTTAAGTGTCGCTGCGTGTCACGTTCCGGCGGCGCGGGCGTGCGTGCGTCGCCACGTGCCCGGCTTGTTTCTTGTCGAATTCACGAGTGCGACGCGCACGCGCGTTCAAGTGTCCCGTGCGCTCTTCGCGGAGTGTTGTGTTCGTGGTCAGTAGCTGTCCGTGATGTAAGTTTCCATAGTGTCCTCGTGTGCCGCGTGAATGTGCTAAATAAAGAGGCGGTGCGTCCGTCACCCCACCTCTGCTCTCGTGTGCACTGGCAGCGTTTTCGTTTTTTTTTACAGCCAAACCTCCTCCCTCGTCCTTCGCAAGGAAGCATCGCCTCGCGCGTTGCACACTGGGAGAGATTTACATCGTTGAGACGTCACAGGTAAAGGTGCCCTTCCCATTGCTTCTAGATTTGAAGCTTTCGTGACTGCAAGGATTCATACTCTTAGGTTTTTTTCGGTAAAGTCACGTAGGTAATTTTTTTTTATTCATGAAAGTAAAATAAAAAATCACGACGTTTTGGAGGCAACACAAGCTTCCGTCTTCAGGTGGAACCGTCACAGCACGATTGCTGTATCAAGTAAAGAGAAATTCCAAGAGACCCGATCTTAAATTTCGATTTAAAGCTTTCGTGACTGCAGCGATTCATCTTATTGGTTCTTTCGGTAAAGTCACGTAGAAGGGAAATAATAAAATAAAACAATAAAATAATTCTCACGACTTTTCGGCCACAACGCAAGCAGCCGTCCTCAGGTGAAGAACAGGTCTGTCGGGAAGACAATAGTTTAAAGGATTCAGACGCTGTCTTCCCGACAGACCTGTTCTTCACCTGAGGACGGCTGCTTGCGTTGTGGCCGAAACGTCGTGAGAATTGTTTTATGTTTGATTTTTATTATTTTATTATTTCCCTTCTACGTGACTTTACCGAAAGAACTCGTTGAGTGGGGAGGAGCCAGGGTAGGCCCCTTTCCATTGCTTGTTGGTGCCACCAACTACTGACGGAAGGGCTTCGAGTCGAGCAGGGGTCGGCCACCTGGGGCCTCGGAGCCGCGTGCAGCTCTTGAAGGACTGCTGCTTCACGACGTTATTTATTAAGGGGCCGTCCATAAATGACGTCACGCACCTAGGGGGGGGGGGCGGTCAGACATTTGTGACGATGTATGACGAGGGGGGGGGGTTGAGAAATGTGACATCACATCAAAATGCGCAACTTTAAATAAATATAGACAACTCGTTCTACTTAATTAGACTGTTTAATAAATTATTTGGTTCTTTCGGTAAAGTCACGTATAAAGATAAAATATAAATTAAATAATAGCATACGACGTTTCGATTGTTTAATAAATGTTTTCTCCTACAACATCAGAGTGCAGCGCCACATTAAATACGCACTACAATGACAATAGTTTAAAGCGATTTGAAGCATGTTTTAACTTTTTTTGGGGGAGGGGGCAGAGCTTTGTGACGTCATATTTGAGGGGGGGGTCTGTCTTTTTGTCACGCCGTTTGACGACGGGGGGTGGGGGGGTCAAAAATCGTCCAAAATCGTATGACGTCATTTATGGACGGCCCCTAAGGACCACCACCGTCTCGTATTCACATGGATTGTGGCGCTTGAAATATGTAGTTTTTTTTTAAATAACCGAATTATAAACAAATGGCTCTTCTTGTTATTTTGGTTGCCGACGCCTGTACTCGAGGGAGCTCCAAAACAGGGTCCACGGCCTACTCACTCACGCTGCTCAGATGTCTTGGAGGAGGTTGGAGTTCCCACACTTTACCCCACCACACGTGACCTGCCGATAGACTGACTACGGTTCAACCCACCTCTACCGCCGAGTCGGAGGGCAGCGGGGGGGGGGGGGTTACAAACCGTGCCGATTTCAAATGCCGCACCGGGAGACTCATTCGGCGAGCTCTGCGATTGAAACTTTTCGCGTGCGAACCATTGCACAGGGGCAGCACCGATTAATACTTACATGACCTGATGTGAAATGTTAGAAGAACGTGGCAAAAGTACATATTTGCCAACATGTTGGCAAATGTTGTATTGAACCTGATGTTAAAATTTTAACTTTGGTATCAACTTGTCTATGCATATACGTTTAAGTGTACCTTCTGAGATAATTCCTATCCTGTACTTGGCCCAGGCACGGTCCTCACACTTCGGTGTTCTGCAGTAAAGCAAATTTCATTCCATCACGGGGCCCTCTGGGAGTTCACAGTCGTCTGGTTCTGCGACGGTGCTGCCCTGTCATTGAACTCCGCTCATCCTCACAGCAGCAGCAGCAGCGGCTTGTGGCCGGACGTCGAACAAAGACGGTCACTGCAACGCGCGCTTTCAGATGCGCCTCGGAAGCCGTCTGGAACGCTCTTCCTATCGACGTTAGGAAGCCACTGGAGCTATGCACTTTAAATCTAGATGGAAAACTCATTTTTTTAGAACTGCTTTGTGTGTTTAGTTTGTTGTCCTTCCATCACACCTCCGATTAGCAGGGTTGACTGCGTACCGTGTGAAAGAAGTTCAACATACATACACGGGTCCCTAGAAATCATTCAACTCTGGGGGCGGGGTAAGGCCAGCCACACTACCAAATCGTCCGTGCGTCACGCGACAAACGCCGATGCTGCCACACGAGCCACCAGCGTGTTTCCAAATTGTTAGGGAAAACACGCGCTCCGCGCCTGGCCCTACATGGCCGCTACGTGTCAAGTTGTGTAACAGCGATGCAGGAATGCTGCACAAAATGTTTCCACAAAGTCTACGCACCAGACGGATGCGAGTTGGGAATTCGTCAGACGTCCGTGCCCATAATGATGCATGCTCAATTACGCAACAAGCTTAAAACATATACAAACGTCGGAATAAATAAAAACAACATATCTGGCCAGCCATATGAGTCGGGTACAAAGTTGAATAATCTTGGGGACACACGCACGCTCGCACGCACGCACGCAGGCAGGCACACGAGCCAGCGGGCTAGCCGCGCGCTATCGCCCGCGAGCAGAGCGGGATGAGCCAGGGGGTCGGCCCTTGTGGTCCCAGTGGGAAGGGGGATGTCTTATCTCGATCCCCACAGAGCGGTCACCCCCCACCCCCCACCAACACCGCCCCCCCGCCCGCCCCCCGTCCTTATCGTGAGAGCAGCGCACCGGATTAAACGGGCGGCGTCTGCTTAACGCGTGTCCGCGCCACCGTGAATACAAAACGCGCGTGCCATGCTTGAGCTGCACGAGCGCGGGTCATGCGCATCGGGTTCAATGGACAATGGGTTTCAGCAGAGCGACTTAAGCAACGCTTCGTGACGAAGAGCTTGTGCCGCATTCGTCCGCGGGCATGCAATGCCCCTTTTGTCAGTCGACCGCTGCTAACACAGGGCCTTGACACACAGTGCCAGATCTTGTTTCGTTCGGGCCTTGCCTCGGCAACCAAGCTTTGTTTTGACTATACAATGCTCGTGCCGTATTCGTTGGAGCGATATAATTTGTGCATGATTTTGGTTCAACGGTCTCAACGAATTGCCTTCATGTAGCGATGTAATATTTTTTTGTAATCTGCTCATGGGATTTAGTATTCTACCTATTGCACCTTGAACATGCGTTTACTGTCCATGTTACTAAATGTAATTACGTAGATTTGTTGAGAGATTTTTTGGAATAAGTGAGCACAAGATTATTTAATTGGGTGGTAAGAGACCACTTAGCGACTGGTAATGGAAATCGGTTGGCAAATTGGCGTTCAATAAAACAAAATTTTATCCAGTGAAGGCTGAGCAAAGCGTAACTTTAAAACCTTTATGGTGTATTGTAAGGTAGAGACATTGATTATTCGCATATACAGATGCTCTCTTTTCAGTCCCAAAATTCCATATTCATGGGCAATCAAACAATGTTTTGCCAATAACATTCACAACATATGGCATCAACTAATTATCATCGTCAGCCATGATCTATCCACTGCTCGATGAAGGCCTCCACAAGCCGGTAAAGCAATGCACCAATGCAGCTAGCTCCTGCACATGAGTTGACTGAATCACTCCATCGCCACCATTGGAGGCATTCCTCCCATGCATGCTCCCTCCGTCAGCTGCCACTGGGTGACCGCCACCACCACCGGCCATCATCCCTGCGGTGGCGCGGATTGTCAAAGCCCACTTTTCCTTTTCTTCCCTTTAAAAAGGTCAAAGGTGTATTACAGCGCGTTGCACTTCTTTCGCGCCGTACGTAGCCAACCGTGCAAGTCGGAAGTGCGGAATAATGTGGTGTCTCTAAGAAATTGTGGTGTCTCTAAGTTTGCGCACGTTTTCCCATCGAAGTGCTCCTCGTTTTGTCTCTCAGTGTAAACTCCAAGCTGGCACCCACCCCACGATTCATTTAAAAATGTTAAACATTTGTTTCAACCTACTTGTAAATGTCCGTGTTTCTGATTCATGCGTCGTTGTAGGTGATATACTCTGATGAAAAACGTCATTCCTATGCACACTGGTATGTTGCTCTTCATGATTTAGTTCAGTTCTCGGTGGCATCAACCCAATGTTATGGTTATTTCCAACCTCTGTTTTACCTGCTAAACATATAAGGGAACAATTCCCACGCTGGTAGATTAATCTTTTCAGCAAAGTTGCTGTGCTTTTCGGAACTTCTACAAGGACAACCACAGCCAAAGACCGTCAGCACTGGCAGAAGTTGCAAGACATTGCAGCCAGGGAATGTGCAAACTAACAAGAGGAAAATAAAAACAACAACTGGATTTTAAACGAAACGTCAAAACATACTGCGAACAAGATAAACAATAAATGTTGCAGTGGAACAAATGACCGGCGTGATGTCTTAGCCAGACAGGATGTGTTTGTTTATGAAAGTCCCATTTTCGAGAAAGACGTGCGTCATGAAATCATTACAGCATATGGTAAATCAACAATCACACGATGCCAATGTGGTCCCATTCTGCTATAGATGTAGCATACTGGCATTTTTTACGTAACAAGATGATGCTGGCGATTACAAGATTTTACAATAAATGTATTCAATGTAATTTTTGCATGGCTATATGAAATACAGTGACCCTCGGATAGGAATGTTAATCCCGCTGTACACTAACGATCCATTCCCGTTCCTTCCATCCCCTTGATATTTCCGATGCCTACTTGAGCCTGCGGTGACCGTGTAAAAAATAAGCTCGCTGGCTCCAACTGGATACAGCTATACGCAGACTGGCTCCATCCAGTTTCTGTCCGCCTCTAAGGTCCAAATCGGACGTTCCTGCTACTTTCCCACTCGCTCGCCTTCCTCCTCCTCCTCAAAAAGCCACCACCCCACCCCGGGCAAGAATAAAAAGCTGCAGACACGTTTCCGGCCGGCCAGAACCCTCTTGTGGATTTCAGGAGTCAAGCCGTGAGCTGCAGAGACATGGATCGGAGATGCGTGCCTATACTTGCTGCCTTGTTGTTGGTGACGGTGGGCGCACAGAGCGGTGAGTGGTTCTAACGCGCGGATTATATGGCCATGCCGCTGTTGGAATTAAGTTTCTAAATTTAACTCCATTGCAAAAGATGCGATTTTATTTGGTTTAATTCTGTCGTGGAGAGCAGCGGCTTAAGTGAGTAGTTTCAATACTCTGTTACGAATCCAAAGACCCGTGTTCGATTCCCAGCCATGGCTAATGTCAGTGGTAAGTGATGGCTGAACTGGTCATGGGCTTTCTCGAAATATATAGTTGGGAGAAAATACATTCAAACCACACATTCCAGGAACAATTTAACGTAGATACCAATGACTAATTAATTTTGTTGTGTCATTTATATAGAAATTACCGATTACTTGTGAGTGTCTCGTTTAAATATCAATTTACAAATTACAAATGTAACGAAATTTCATTTAAATTACACGCCATGTACATGTAATTCAGTGCGAACGGCAAGTCGTCCTGCCCGCTTCAACTCACAAGGACCAGCGTGGTGAAGTATGATCAAACAAACCTCATGGCCGACACGGCATGAGGAGGCCTGTATCCAGCAGTGGATTGACAAAAGCGCTAAATAAAGATGTATTAGTATTAAATGCCATCGTGTAGTTAATTTGACCATAGCTCACCATGCTGGTGAGTGCGGGTTGGTGAAGATGGGAAGGAACCAGGACCGATTCGAATATCACCCACCACTGACATTAGCCGTGGCTGATAATCAAACTCAGGTTTTCTGGGTTCGTAGCGCAGCGTGCTAAACCACCGCATGATCTTTCTCTTCGTATTTGCAGGCGACCACATGGCCGACGGTCGGGAGATGCATGAAAACGACACCATTTTCCCAAGGACATTCGGAGGCACGTACAAGCAGGTGGGACACAACGGTTCGCAGAACGGCGAGGACTTCGACATCAATAGCGTGCTGCTCGACCAGCAGTCGCAGGAGAAGGCCCGCCTCGAGGGCTCCGCATGGCTGGAGGTGAGCCAGGAAGTTGAAGAGCAACTGTCTGGCTCCATCACCACGGTCCTTCTGCCCGCCATTTACATCCTCGTGTTTGTGGTGGGCCTTCCTTCCAACGGGCTGGCCCTGTGGGTGCTGTGCTTCCGCGTTAAGCCCAAGAAACCGTCCACGATATACATGATCAACCTGGCGGTGGCCGACCTCTTGTTCATCCTCTTGCTGCCCTTGAAGATCACCTACCACCTCAGAGGGAACGACTGGCCGTTCGGCAAGATCGCGTGCCACGTCTTCCTCACCTCCTTCTACGGCAACATGTACTGCTCCATCCTGCTGCTCACGTGCATCAGCGTGGACCGGGGCCTCGCCATTATCTACCCGATGCGGTCGCTGCAGTGGAGGCGTAACCGCTACGCCATGGGCATCTGCGCGGGGACGTGGGTCGTCGTCCTCCTGTCCACCGTGCCGCTGCAGCTGGTGAACCCGCTGGCGTACATCGACAACCTGCACATCACCACGTGCTACGACGTCTTCCCGATCGACACGCTCCCGGGGTTCCTCTTCTACTACTACACGGCGCTTTGCGTCCTCTGCTTCCTCGTGCCGTTCCTCGTCACGGTCGCCTGCTACGCGCTCATCATCCGCTCGCTCGCTCGCACGCTCAGGAACGGCGACGGAAACAAGCGGACTCGCTCCATCCAGCTCGCCGCCCTCGTCCTCCTCACGTTCGTCCTCTGCTTCGCGCCGAGCAACATCGTGCTGCTGCTGCACTTCGCGCTGCTCCGGTACAAGGGCGCAAGCGACCTCTACATCGTCTACATGCTGTGCCTGAGCTTCAGCAGTCTCAACAGCTGCCTGGACCCCTTCGTCTACTACTTTATGTCCACGGAGTGTCGCCGCAAGCTGAGCTGGAAGGTCAGAGGGCTGGCCAAAGGCGTCTCCAAAACGTCACGGAGATATTTCAGCAGCTTCAGCACTCACACCACCAGCGGGTCGACCTACAGCAACGGCAGCTCCAAGTCAAGCCGCCAGCTGCTGCCCTCCGGTTGAGCGGGTCACGCCAAGAGTGGCCCATACACCGCTTTTCCACTTGCACCTTCGAGCCGTGCTAGCACAGGGGACAGCACGATGCGGATGATTTTCCACCGGTATTTTACCGAGCCGAGCCGGAACCGAGCCATGCTACGCCGACCTCACAAGACGTCCGAATCTGGCTGAGGGCCAAGCTGTGTTTAAAAACAGGGTCACAAGCACATTTCGTCACAACACAGCATCACCGCGCCACGTACATGTGTCTTGAAGTCATGTGTTGCATCCCTAAGCTCGTGCAGTGGAAAAGCAACCCGCGCTTCTCCTAACCAGTGCCGGCGCTGTCATGGTATAGCTCCGGAACAGCTCGGATGTGCAAGTGGAAAAGAGGCATTAGTTTCCATCCAAAATACCCAGAGAGGGTACAGATATCACTCGCCACTGATATTAGTCTTGGGCAGGGATAAGACTGAGGTTACTGGGTTCAGAGCGCAGTGCACTAACCCACTGAGCCACCTCTCCTTCCGAATCAATGCAGTATTGTGCTCTCAATAATACAGCCCTCACAGGCACGAACGGCATCCACATGCTGTTAGCAGCTTGCGCTTTGAAGGGTTCATTGTGGCTTTTATCTGCGTTTTTACAGATATGTGGTTTCCACTCGTTTAAATATGTTTTTTTTATTATTACTGCAGCATACGTATAGAATTGTGAAATACCGTTCGTAAAAAAATATAATATTACTAACATACAGTATGTCGATATTGCCAAACCTGCACAGATATGACAAGAACACCAGTTGAGTATTGTAACACAATAATAATAATTAGAGTTCCCTAGCCAAGAATGCCTCCCTGAGTCTCAAGGCCCTGCATTGGAATATTTTGCCAATCCCACGAATGAGTATTTCGCTTCACAGTGGGAAGGAAACCAGAGGACCCGGAGAAAACCCATACATATGATGGGGTAACACTCCACGTTCTGCACAGGTATATGCAATACTGGTAGGAACCTCCTGGTTACACCAGCCCACAGGGGATTATTGTGTCCGTCGTGCAGTGAGGGGCTGGGTGGGGAGGGAGGGGCTGGATGGGGAGGGGAGGATGGGGAGGGGCTGGGTGGGGAGGGGTGGGGCTGGGTGGAGAGAGGCTGGTTACCCCGTGGTGCCCTTATAAAACTCAACGTTTAACCTACTCACGCCGGCTTGTGCCCGCCCTCACAGTCGGGCATATTTGCGGAATACACCACGCCGCCGTTGACCCTGGCCATTGACCGAGCAACCCAACGTTCCTACCAGCTCCCTCCGCAGGAATGTTAATCTGTTGCTGTACTGGCAATCACCTAGCCAACTCGTCCTCCAAACTACCGGTTTCCCAGGTAGTTTCCCATCCAAGTACTAAGCAAGCTGAACCCTACTTAGCTTCCAAAATCTGATGATATCGGCCGCTTCCCAAGTAATTTGGTCAGTCAACCTGCATGTTTTATCCTCGGCCATTCTGATGCGTTTTAAATAAGTGGCCTTTACGCACCAAACAAAAATCTACCCGAGACCCTGACCTCGATATTTAACCTTTATGTGCAGCCTCTGTGGCCGCAGCTCTGATATATCCAGGAACGGCTGTGGTTGGGAGGAGCATGCTGCTTGTATGTCAGAATGTTCATGCTTGTGGATATGCTGTATTTATGAATAACTTATAATTATACCAAAACACATTTCCCTCAAGCTCTGTATCCTGGATATTGTTTACTGTTAATGAACAAATAAACGCTGACGTCATAAACATACAATACGGTCATTGACATTCTTTGCCTCATTGTTATTTTCTCCCGTAAGAATACACAGAACGGAGTGGTGCTGTGCGTCCAGCCCATTGTTATTCGTGCAGAATGAGCGTCAGCATCTCTTCATGCGCCGCAATCAAACGCGACACATGCGTTGTCACCTTTGGACGTAACAAAATATGGACCAATATCACGCAACACATGTCTTACACTGCGCTTGAAAATCATATATCCTGGCTAATTCAGTGTATGGGACAAGGACATCACACCATGCACGCTATTTAAGAAGTCAAAATAGTAATGAAATGTACGGGCATTGCAATTGAAAAATGTGCTGCCCATTGACAATGTATGGTGGCAGCCCTAACACAGTAAAGCCTGTAATATAGTTGATGTCCCAAATACAGGGGTGGGAACATTGCATTACTGCGGGCCGATTATGTGGTTTATATCCCTTTAACAACACCTCAGTCTAAATTAAACTTTTTTTAATTTTACCAGGGAGAAACACAGCGAGAGAGCTGCTACAACAAGAGGTTATATATGTGGCGAAGGTCAAGCAGGCGGGGTCTGAGCTGGAAAGGAATTCCATCCCCGCACACAAGCACGTCAGTTGTGTTAATGGGGGAGATGAGGGAGAGGAAGATTAGGGAGAGAGATTAGCATGAAATGAGCTTCCGTCCCCGCATTAAGAGTATCGTCCCCGCACATGCCCACAACAGCAGTATTAATGGGAGATTAGCACAATGTTGATGGGAGAGATTAGGCAGAGAGATTAGGGGGATTAGCAGGTTAATGTCATGTCTATGTGTAACACTAGCTGCGGTGCTGCCAACTGCACTGTGAGAGGCAAGCGCGTCTACACAAGAGAACCATTGCAACGGTGGTCGCGCCAGTGAGACACAGCCCATCACACAGCCAGAACCATCGATACATCGAGGCTAAGGGAGCAGAGGTGGCCATGTTAGTGAGTCCCCAGCCCGTTAATGCAGAGGCACCTAACAGCAGACTTCCAGTTCACCACTTGTCCAGACCAACCAAACGAGATCTTGCACAATAGTATTTTAATATTCTTTGGTTATTTTGGTAAAGTCACGTATATAGAAAAAAAATAAAGTGAATAAAAAATAAAATTAAAAAATATTTAAAAACACAGATGTAGACTGTAGCCTGTTTCTTAATCGGAGTGAGTGTACTGGCAATCTATAATGTAGACTGTAGCCTGGTTCTTAACCTCGGTGAGCGTATTGGCAGTCTATAATGTAGGCTGTAGAAATGGTTATTAAAGTGAGTGAGCGTTATAACCAGGCTACAGTCTACATTATAGACTGCCAGTGCACTCACTCCGATTAAGAACCACGCTACAGTCAACATTAGTGATTTTAAATATTATTTTTCTTTATTTTTTTATTCACTTTATTTTTATTATTATGTTTCTATCTACGTGACTTTACCGAAAGAACCAAAGAGCATGAATTTCTGCAGTCACGAAAGTTTTAAGTCAAATTTATTTTAAGTTACATCACACCTTACATTATATGTATTTAAATTGATGTCTAAACATTCATTGTGAAATTACGTATTTAATTGTAACACCTGGATAAATCCCTTGTGATGGGACATCTCGTTTGCAAAGATGACCATGGAAAGAAATTATAAGGCTGACAAAAGGCTGAATTTGGTGTTCATGGAAATTACGTGGATTTTGTCCAGAAAGTGGTATAATATCTGGGTATCCCATCCCTGAATAATCCGGTATTTCGAGAACACAATATAATCTGTATGTATGTAAAACTTTTTTCGCACCGTACATAGCCAAACGTGTTAATCGGAGGTGCATATCCGTATTTTAACTCACTAACAGAATGTTATTTTCATGTCTAGTCAATCATTGCAATAGACGTTATTTTTGTCGCAAACATGTTTTGACGCGTATATGTTGGCATCGGACGAAACGGTAGCAAAGCGGATAGCACACTTTGTCATATAAACTTCGCCAGCTGAGTTCCATTCCCTGCTAACATCAGTGGCGAGTGATGTCCAACCCGTTCCTGTGCCTGCCCACGCCCTCCACGAACCCGCACTGACCAGCATGGTGAAGTATGGTCAACGAAGGTTTGCCCTTTTCGATTCAATTTCCCGACGCGGCAGTGCATGACAATGGGGCAACTTTCTTTAAATCTACCCCGACCAGTGGCGGCTCGTCAATAGAGGGCGCAGGGGCGCCGCCCCCATCAATATTCAAGAAATATACATATGCAAAATTTATATAAAAATACATAAATAAAATATTTTTTTCATACGATGTGCCGGCTGGTAGTAAGAAAAGCATCAGCATTTTATAAAAACTGGCTTTAATCGGTCAACTATTTTCTATGTTTTTCAATGTGTTTCATGCGGGGCGCCGGACAAATGGATGTCTATGTGAGACTTTACATTTTCGGACAGCATGTGACCTGAAGCTGGTCTCTAATTGGTTTCTTAAAGATTCTCCTCGGGGCGCAAGTCGTTGCGTCCCTGGCCAATCAGAATTGGATACATGTTATTTTATCCAATCTGATTGGTTCTCGTCACCTGTCATTCAAATTTACGCTGTAGGCCACTACTGCGAGTGCGAAGGCGACACCACTTTGACACTTGCTAGGCTGATCAAATTTTTTGTGTTAACAATGGCAGCAGTTCATCCAAATTCTGTAATTTATTTACAAAAAAACCCTTTCACAAGGCTTTCGCTGGAAGAAATAAAAAAGATAAAGGATCTCGGACCGGACCAACCTGATTTACAAATCCAGCAGCAGGCCAGTGACAGAGGACGAAGCTACACACGAAGCTTCACCCGCGCTTGTTATGAGAAACGGAGGTGGCTGGCTGGATGTGATGTTAGCAATTCTCTTTTTTGTTTTCCCTGTCTTTTATTTCAAAGTGTCGGCACTGCAGTTTTGTGGACAACGACGGGGGTAAGAGACCTCAAACATCTCTCTGACAAATGCAAACGTCATGAAAGTAGCCGCAGCCATATTGATAATAGCATGAAACTAACGTTTTTATGTTCAAGTAGGAAACATGCTTTTTGGTACTTTGGTCTGAAATGTATATAAAAGAGAAACATTTATGTTCAAGTAGGAAACATGCTTTTTGGTACTTCTTTTGGTCTGAAATGTAAATAAAGATCATCAAAATTTATATTCAAGTAGTCAAGATGGTTTTTGGTACTGCTTTATATTTATTTGCCCCCCTCAATAAAATAAAAAAAATGCGCCCCCCCAAAAATAAATATCACCAGCCGCCACTGATTCCCCGACTCTCTCCATCCAGCAGCAGTGTGTATGGGTCACACCACATCACTGCGGTGTGACCCGTGGCAACTCCAACCAAGACATCTGGCCAGCGTAGAAGTCATCGAAAGACTTTCTGTAGCTCCCTCCAGCGATGGTCCTTTTCCACCAGCAGTGGGGTGCACAAGGAATTGCAGGGCTGCGCCTTTAACCTTTAGCTACGGCGCTGCGGGTGTATTAGCCATGCGAGACGGTGCCGTCCGCTTCACTCACAACTGACGTTAAATATCCCGTGATGTCATTCGAAGAGAAGTAGTGATTCAAGAGCCGAATGGCTCACAGGGCTATATACCAAATAAATGGAACTGAAGGCCATTGTGTGCCAGCGCCATGGGGTATCATAAAAATGTTTTGATTTATTTTGCAAACACGTAGCAACAGCGCCCCCTACTGTGAAAATTTGGCAGGACCTTCTAGAACAACAGTTCAGAGAAGGAATCGATATTATCTTCTTCATATATATAAAAGGCAAAGTTGTGGTTATGTTTTTTTATCTACGTGACGTTACCAAAAAAACCTAAGAGTATGAATCCTTGCAGTCAAGAAAGCTTCAAATCTAGAATTGTGATTATGTGTCTGTTCAAAATGTTTAGCGTACTTCCCGACATGCAACAAACTTGAAATTTGCCATGTGGGTACTTTCCAGACTGTACACCATGCAAACATTATAAAAAATAGACTTTTGTTAAAAAAATTGTGGGGGGGGGGGGGGGGCGCAATTATGCACGGCAAGTGAACTGTGACGTCACATGTCTGTCATGTCACTTTTAATTAGCCATGCGGCTCGCTCCCATACTGTACACAATGTAAAACGTTGAATAAGTATAACCAGTAAAAACAAAGTTTTTCACTATAAATCCTTTATATGCGTGGCGGCTAGAGTCCTCTCGTCCTCTGGCTTGAGATGGCTGCCACCTATGGGTCAGATAAATGGCTGCCACCATTAAGCAATTGGTAATTAAATATAATTTATTTTTTCCTAAAAAGTGTAACATTTTGGAATTTTTTTTTCACGAAAATAAATTGTCACGCACAACGAGTCTGTGTGCAAAATGTCAGCTCGATTGGATCACGGGAAGTGGGTTAAAAAACGACCGAAAGATTTGCACGGTCGTAAGCAAGCAAGCAAGCGCGCAAGTGAACTTAATATAAAGGATTTGAAAAAAAACCCTTTACTAAGGATAATTTTGGTGGCGAAAGCCGAGGTATGTTTGACGTTTAATTTATACTTCAGTTTAAAAAAAATCGATCCATGAAAAAAATCAGAATAGGTTTTACCCTTTCTTATTCTTTCATACTTTGTTATATTTTCAACATTTCTTATTTTTCTTATATTTTCATACTTTCGATACTGGCCAAAAAGAGGTCCCACAAATCGACCAAAAAGGAATCGATCCGCGCCGACTGGAATCGCATTCACTAGCGGAATCGAATCGACGAGCGGGCCTAAGATGTCGGGTCCCCCCGCGCCGCTGTAACCGCTTCAGGTTCCCCGCTGCCTCCCTCCTCCACCACCACCACCACCAACAACAACACACCCCCCCCTCGTCTCGCCACAACAACAACAACAACCACCCCCGTCCCAACGCAGCCGCCGTCTCCTCGGCAGCGTGAGACCTCCCGGCCGTGTCGCTGTCCCTCACGCTGCTGCTGCTGTCCTCCTCCCCCATGCCCCTCATGGTGTCCGTGTCCCGCAGGTGCGGCTCGGGTCGGGCCGCGGGGCCGTCGGGACGAAGCGACTCGTGCACAACGCGGCGGCGGCGGCGGTGGTGGTGGTGGGGAGACGGCAGCAGGTGAACGCCGGTAGTTGTTGGTATTTGACTTGGCGAATAGTCTGAGAGTCGCGGTGGTTTCCCACCCGCTCAAGTTGAGCGAGCGTGGAATGCCCGGGCTGTCGACTCTCTACCATCGCCTGCAGTTTTTATAAACACCCCTCCAATCACTCACCACCCCATCCACCCACTCACCACCCCCTCCACCCACTCACCCCCCCCCCACCCACTCACCACCCCATCCAACCACTCACCACCCCACCCACTCACCACCCCACCCACTCACCACCCCCCCACCCACTCACCACCCCCCCACCCACTCACCACCCCATCCACCCCCCCACCCACTCACCCCCCCACCCACTCACCACCCCCCCATCCACCCACTCACCACCCCCCCACCCACCCACTCACCACCCCCCCACCCACCCACTCACCACCCCATCCACCCACCCACTCACCCCATCCACCCACCCACTCACCACCCCCCCTCCCACTCACCACCCCCCCACCCACTCACCACCCCCTCACCCACTCACCACCTCCTCACCCTCTCACCACCCCATCCACCCACCCACTCACCACCCCATCCACCCACCCACTCACCCCCCCACCCACTCACCACCCCATCCACCCACTCACCACCCCATCCACCCACTCACCACCCCCTCACCCTCTCACCACCCCATCCACCCACCCACCCACTCACCACCCCCCCACCCACTCACCACCCCATCCACCCACCCACTCACCCCATCCACCCACTCACCACCCCCCCACCCACTCACCACCCCCCCACCCACTCACCACCCCATCCATCCACCCACTCACCACCCCCCCACCCCCTCACCACCCCATCCACCCACTCACCACCCACTCACCACCCCATCCACCCACTCACCACCCCATCCACCCACTCACCACCCACTCACCACCCCATCCACCCACCCACTCACCACCCACCCCCCCACCCACTCACCACCCCCCCACCCACTCACCACCCCCCCACCCACTCACCACCCCATCCACCCACTCACCACCCCCCCACCCACTCACCACCCCATTCACCCACTCACAACCCCATCCACCCCCCCCACCCACTCACGACCCCCCCACCCACTCACCACCCCATCCACCCACCCAATCACCACCCACCCACTCACCACCCCCCCACTCACCACCCCATCCACCCACTCACCACCCCCCACCCACCCACCACCCCACCCACCCACTCACCACCCACTCACCACCCCCCACCCACTCATCACCCCATCCACCCACCCAACTCCACATGGCGTAGGCCATGTGGAGTTGGGACAGAACGTGATGGGAAAGCGGTGTTGGATGTGATTGGTAAGAGTAGGATGCAGTGGGTTGATTACTTGTGCAGGACTGAGAAGTGCAAGGCACCTAGGCAGGCACTGGAATGGCACCCAGAGGTTGGTGACCAATGAGAAGACCTAAAAGTCCAGATGGTGGCGATACTACATAAAGAGAACAGATGCTTGGAGGTCACTGTCAACTTCTAGTCGTGTGGAAATTCCACGTTGACCTCTTCACTTTGACATTAAACACACAAAACACGGGCGTAATCGCTGGCCCAGTATGACCATTACACGCTAACCTAATGTCAGCAGTCTGTAAACGTCGCAAAGTAACCAGTCTGAATACGAACCAATTATCAGCACTATAAACACTCCATGCACAAGCAAGCATTGGGTGGTATTCGCCCTCGTTGGCAACCCTGAGGACGGTGATGGAACTTACACTTTCCTATGCCAAGATAATGTTTATCCCATTGGACAATAACTTGATTTCCCACGAAGTGCTACTTAAGTTTATCGACCCTCGATATATCAGAGATTTGAACGGTTCACCTTTCTATTGTGAGTGAAGCTTTCTAATCGCACTGCCACCCTGGCAGATGAGTTGTAATGCTCATGTGCAAATGCTAAATAATGCAAATATTGTAGATGCTAAAATGTGTCCGCACTGGTTACGCATTAACCTAATCAGACTCTCGTGGACAAGCGTAAAACATGGCATGCTGTCTAATTTATATACATTTTTTATTTAAATGATTATTTCATTGATATTGATTGCGTGCCTGCAGAGAATTGTACCTGTACTTACGAAGACTTGAAGGAAATGGAGCAACAGGAGATGGACGACGTGTGCGGAGAAAATGAGATCAACTTGCACGGAGAGCACGTGCATGTAGAAAATGGAAGTGGAGGGAGGGGTGTCCAGTGTGAGAAGTTGACTTTACAAGAAGACCCACCGCCGTGCGGAACGTGGCAGCAGGAGGAGGAGGAAGAAGACCACACGGCGATGCGGCGAGGGGAGAGTGCGGAGACACAGGAGGGGGGTGGAGGAGAGGAGACCCTCACGTTGGCGGAGAGTGGAAGACGGTGGGACACCGGTGACGACCACACGGAGATGCAGCGAGGGGAGAAGGTGGATACGCAGACGAGGGACGCAGGAGAGGAGACCTTCGCCGTGGCGGAGAGTGGGAGACGGGGGGACACCGATGATGACCACACGGCGATGCAGCGAGGGGAGAAGGTGGATACGCAGGAGAGGGACGCAGGAGAGGAGACCTTTGCCGTGGCGGAGAGTGGGACACGGGACACCGATGACGAGTTTGAGGAAGATGGCGTTAGAGCAGAGGAGCTCTCAGACCTTCCGGAGGACGCAGAGATCCTGCGGAGAGAGCTGATTCTGTGTCGTAAGCGGCTGCAGAAAGCCGAGCAGCTTCACGGCACAGTTCAGCGCTACAATGATGATCTGCGTGCTCAGGTGCCTAATCATTCTTCGAAGTCATGTGTTCCATCTTATAAAGTATGCTGTCGGCTACTTAGATGGCCTTTTTGTACTTCTATTCTGCGCCTCTTATCTCGTAACATCCACCGCCATATCTCATTCAACTACGTCCTTCTACATCACCTTTTGTCTCCTTATACTTGTTCTGTTCTGCACTGGAATCTACATAGCCCTTCTAATTGCATCTTCCTTGTCTCTTCTCTAGCCTCCCTTTCCTTTTAGAAAATATTAGCAACCTCTGCTAAGGCTATGACTTCTTCATTCCACCTCCTTTGTATAACATCTTTCGCACCATACGTAGCCAACCGTGCTAATCGGAAGTACTTGTTTCTTCCCAACATCTGTCTCCGCATTCTCACCTTTATTCTTTCAAGCACTCTTCCTCGGTGCCCACATCTCTGCACCATGTAATAGCACTGCTCCTCTCACTATTCCACATGCTTGATTGTTACACACAAAAAGAACACGGTCGCCAGTTGTAATGAAAGTGACTGAAAATCGCTTGCCTTTGACACGTCGATATTGATAAGCTGAATTGAATAAGAGCATCTTTGGCAATGATTTGTTTATATTTCACATAGTGCTGGTGGCATGTTTGTGTTTTGACAGGTGGAGGTGCTTAGCAAGCAGGTGCACGAATTGAAGAAGTGTCGGAGGCAGAAGACGAATGCGGAAACCCAAACTGATGACAGTGCCTACACTGCCCAGCTTGGTAAATATATGCTTTGGCTTGTTATTATTGTTTTTTTTAGCGCAATGACGCATCGCATGCTTTGACAAGATCGACGTTTTTAATTGTTGTACCGCAGGCTACGAGTATGGGCTTTCGGAGTATCAATCAGTAGAGGCGGCGGAGTCTGAGCAGCAGCAGCCGCAGCAGCCTCTGGAAAATTCAACATCACGGATTCAAGATCCGACCGTGGAAGCCGCAGCCGCAGAGGCGGAGGCGGAGGGGGTGTCGCTGGCGGACAGCCTACGAGCAGCGGCCGAGGACGCCATGCAGCAGTCGGGCATGGTGTACGACGAGGGAACGGGACTGTACTACGACTACACCACGGGGTTCTACTACGACGCTGTAAGCCCACCGTTCCTGCATTGTCCGCCCATGTAATTTTAAGTGGAATTATTCTTCCCCTGCCTGTTGCTGTAAAATGGGATTTACAACTCTTTAAGTCGGTCAATTGCTGTCCTCTATTGCAAGGAAGGGTAATTGTACCAAACATTAACATACCAATTTTCTCTTGCAATGCAGTGCTAATTATATTTGGTTAAAATAAATTATTTGCGTTTGTAGACAAATCATTTTTACGTGTTGCAGTTTGTGGTTAATCAACCCCTAGACTGATATGGTGAAAGCTGGCCCTCATCCAGCAGCGGAGTGACAAGAGGGTTGTAGATATGTTGTGGCAGTTTTGAACTAATTTAACCAGAAGGACTGAACACCATTTATAGTCGGTTGACTGTTGGGCCTTCCACACATATGTTTAGTACCATTGCTTAAACTATCGAATCTGTTCCTCCAGATATAAATGTTTGTGTTTTGTATTTTTACAGACCACACAAATGTATTATGACCCCAACAACGGGCATTACTATTACTTCGACAGCGAGAAGGGTACATATGAATACTACACGTCAGTTGACCTCCAGCCAGCAGAGGGCACCACCAAAACCAAGAAGAAAAAAACTAAGAAAAAGGATTTGGAGGTGAGAACTTTACATTGGCTGACTGCTCATTGCTGTTGGTTCTGAGTGTGGAATATTATAACAAATATGGTGGAGATATAATGTGAGGTGTGTGTTACTGAACAAGTCTAATTGTGTGCTATTAATAGCATGGAAGGTATTGCAAACCAAACAGCAGCTTTTGTGAACAAAAGTAATATGCTTGTAGTACTCTAAATATACATGATAAACATGATATTTTCTAATAAATTCTTCAGAGTATTGATTTCTACATCTGTAATTTTTGTTTTGATTAGGCAGAGCTCTATAAGGTGACAGGCTCATTGAAAAATCTGAACCTATCTGGATACTCTGGCCAGTTTGATGGTAAACAATTTTTTTCATTTTCTTTACACATACTACAGTACAATTTTTATTTGCTTAAACTGCAATACATATATTTTTCATTTTAAGTAAATTTTGAAAATGCACTGTTACCTACTTTATTGAGGGCGATATTGGCACGTAAAATAAAAATTTATTTACATCTTATTGAATTGCATAGTGTGGCAAGATAGGGCAGTTGAGGCTATTATTTTAGCACCAAAGTTTCCGCTCTAGCTGCTGTTTGGTTACATGCAAATCTCCTTTATAATTGGCCACGCGCTTCATTCGGAATATACTGCAGTAAACTATTATTGCAATGAATGTCACTACTCATTTGTATTGACAGATTTCTTCAATTGATTAACCTCGCAAATTGAATTTTAACACAGCGATCATTCTTGAAAGCAAAACATAGTGATTGTCGATATTTTCTGTTTTGGCTTTCAAGAAAGAAGAAAAAGCTCGCCGTAGTCCAAAGCGGCGCAGCAGGGAGCGGAAACGTGGCCGGGAGGCAGAGCGGGAGAGGTCTAAAAAGCGGCTCAAAACATCGGGGCGGCACCACAGAAAGGCCGCCGTCGACTGTATCACGGACGATGAAGATGAGGAAAGGGAAAGGAGGGAAAAGAGGAGGAGGCGCAGGCGGAGGAGTAGTTCCACAGAGCGCGGTAGCGAGACGGAGGAGGGGGAGATATCGGATTCGGAAGACTCCGCCTCGACCAGTAGCCACAGCTCCTCCGATAGCAGCACCCAAAGTAACGTCTGCGATGACTCGGAAGGTGATTACGTGTTCAAGATGATAAATATTAGTGTCATTCGGGGCGTGAACGAACGTGTAAATAATGGCACTATTATCACCATACTTAGGTTGTCACAGATAAATTTCGATTTAAAGCTTTCATGACTGCAGGGATTCATCTTCTTGGTTCTTTCGGTAAAGTCACGTAGAATGGAAATAATAAAATAATAAAATAAAATATTAAATAATTCTCACAACGTTTCGGCCACAACGCAAGCAGCCGTCCTCAGGTGAAGACCAGGTCTGTGAGAATTATTTTATGATGTTTTATTATTTTATTGTCACAGATACTTACATGTAAAGCCATTTTGTCAGTTCAATGGTTGATGAGGACCTCCCCACGATCCACAAGGTGTGTTTGACTGTATTTCACCAGTGTGGGTCAGTGCCTGATTGCTGATGGCAAGGATAATAAATGTAGGAGCGTAGAATCACAGTACAACACTGAATTTGTCTGCACTTCCTCTGCTGCCTACGACTTAAGTCGACCATCCAAGAACCATCCCGGCTCAATCCTACTTCCCTTACGAAATCTGACGAGATTGGCTACATTACGCGTGATTTGGTCACGTGTTGTTTTACTTAGATCTCACAGATATGTGTTCCTGTTTAAAAAAAAGTTAAACTGCCAGACTAGTACTGGTGTTGTTTTGCTGGTTAATTGGTATTTAAATTAACCGCTTTTGATGTTTCTCTTGCGCTAAAGTAGAGCAGCAGTGGCCACCCTGCATCAGGGTGATGGTGGTTCGCTCTCCAGTTCTCAATCTGGGCACTCTCTTCATCATCACATCGGACACCATCGCCACTATCGGCAGGTATGATCCCTCCCACATCAGTGACTGAAACTCGGACTTTTGAGAAATCCCCCCTCTTATAGGTGTTGTTTTCCCGAAGACACAGACGGATGTCCTGATTTGACAGATACATCTATTTTGAATTGCAGGGCAAAGGACATGGACCACACCATCAGCATTCCAGAAATGGGTGTCAGCAAGGTATGAAGCTAATGGAGCACATTGTTTATAGAAGATAAGCAATAATCCTTCAGTGTTTGCAATATCATTGTATATATGTTTTCCCTTCGGTAGTTTCATGCAGAAGTGCACTTTGACCCTGAGAGGCAGAAGTATGTCCTCATGGACCAGGGCAGCCAGAACGGGACTATCATCAATGGAAACAGAATCCTGCAGGTACTGCACACACAGCCAAACAAAGTACAGTGATCCCTCGTTTATCGCGGTTAATGGGGACCGGAACCCCTTGCGATAGGTGAAAATCCGCGAAGTAGGATTGGCCCCCTAGGAATTTCCGTATATGTGTGTGTGGGTACCAGAATGTTTAAAATATGTCTATTTATACTTTATATATATATTTTACTTAAATATATTTAATTATAAAACCTTAATATACATTCACTCTCTCTCATACGATACGTATTATGGTGTTCTACACTCACCAATGACAGTAGTATCTTGAGACTTGACTCCAGTAATGACGACGACGACGATGACAATGACGATGACAATGACGACGATGACAGACCTGTGCAGTTCGATGAATGTGATGATGAATGATGATGATGATGGTGTTACTGCACAGGTATAATGAGGCCTTTAAATCAGTTCGAAAAATCCGCGATGCACTGAGGCCGCGAAACTTGAACCGCGAAGTGGCGAGGGATTACTGTAGTTATTTAAGATATTGTTCAATCACAATCTTAAATATGTCAGAGCTGGCAAGTTGGAAACAAGCCGATTATTTCTGGTGACGTAAGTATGTTGAACTTCTTCAGCACCGTATGTCGTCAATCGTGCTCATCGGAGATGATATGGGATGGTAACAGTGACACAAATGATAGTGGTTTCAGTTATATCCATATGAAAGGTGAGTAGGATGTAAAGCTCTCTTGAATTTGTTTAAGTTTTTCCCCAGTAGTATCCTGATTGCACTATCGGCGTCATGTCACGGGACAAATAATCTATTTCGAACTCTCGCAGAACATTGCAAGCCTTTGTGTAAGGGAAGATCCGACAGAAACAGATATCACAAAGCTACCTCTGAGAGCCTTTCAAGTGACCTGGTCCATGCCTTGAAGGCCAGCAATGTGTCACCCGTTCCACTACACGAGAGAAGTTTTTCACATTACGTGTGGAGTCAGATTTAATCTAACGTGATGTATATTTGTGTGCAGTCAATTTTTACCATGATTAGATCATCGACTTGCTACACCTTCAGCTCCCGGTTTGATCATAGGTGGCAGCCTGCATTTGAACCCAGGATCTCTGGGTGGAAGCTCAACTCTTTGTCCTGTGTGCCACCCAGCCCACCTCGTAAAAATTCCTTATGCAAGTCTCTTACTGGTGAAGTTGATGTGCATTGTGTTGGCAAGTTAATTTAGGGGGAGGGGGGCAGATTTACAGCAGGTGGTGATTAATTTGAGGCCCAGCAAGTTCCTGAGTAGATCCTGGTATGGTACCTATTGTGTAGAGCAGCATATAAAACGGGCTGCGAACAGCGCTAGAGAGGGGGAGGAGGAAGGGAGACATGGGCTTATGTGTCGGTGGATCCGAAGTTGGTTCCTTGTGCTGACCAACCGACCAGGCAACACGGATCTTGCATTGAATCTGACAGCACGACCAGCCAAGTATGAGGTTGGTAAGACAATAATTGATTGTCTAGGCCACAGGGTTGGGGGAAGGAAGCATCAGACCCCAGGATGAGGTTATGCAAGTCGAACACACAGACTAACGATCAACCTATCCGAACTTTGCTCTCTTCAGCCAAAAGAGCACAGCGACCCCCACCCTCTGGACCATGGTGATGAGGTGAAGTTTGGGGAGACCGTGCTCTCCTTCCACATCCACCCCGCCTCCGAGACGTGCGATGGCTGCGAGCCGGGGCAAGTTATCGCGCACCTGCGTCTGAACCAGAAGCAAGCTCCACAGACTGGTAAGCTAGCGCACATCTGCTGGTTAGCTAATTGCCTTACCAGTGTTACATTATCTTCTTGGTTCTTTCGGTAAAGTCACGTAGAAGGGAAATAATAAAATAATAAAAATTTAACCTAATAAAATACACTTCTCACGACGTTTCGGCCACAACGCAAGCAGCCGTCCTCAGGTGAAGAACAGGGTTGTCGGAAAGACAGCGTCTGAATGGGGACGGCTGCTTGCGTTGTGGCCGAAACGTCATGAGAATTGTATTTTAGTATGTTTTATTTTTATTATTTTATTATTTTCCTTCTACGTGACTTTACCGAAAAAACCAAGAAGATGAATCCCTGCAGTCACGAAAGCTTTAAATCGAAGTGTTACATTAATCAGAATTTTTATTTTAGTCACATTCTTTGTGGATCTCGTTCGTTATCATTCCCTTAGTCGAATCAGCTCAACTAGTAAAACAAAAAGTAGCCCTACTCTTCGTTATGAAATGTTGGTGTGAGGGTAGGCAATTTCCCCACTCTCCGAATATGAGCAATATGAGCTAATCAATGAACTCACTAAATATTTGTTGTATATGTACCCAATTACCATTTTGTTTGCCTTCCTTGGTGCATAGCAGTTTCTAATAGCATCAATCATCTTGGTCCGTTTTTTTCGTTCAGACCAGTTAATTTCGTCTTGTCATAGTCCCGCTTAGATCATAGTCAAGTTTGATAAATTTCACTCACTGAATCATTTCACAAAAAAACCCATGTCACAAATATTTTTTTTACTGATTTCATTCAAATGACTAACACATCTTGCTCTTGTTAACCTTTAGCTTCCACTGTTGTCTGGGGGGGAGGGGGTTCCCTGAAATGTTGGTTTGTTTATATTTTGCTATTGCCTAGAAATTGGCTGTATAAAAATGCAATCGTCAGAATTGAAGTTGTTGTGTGTGCATCACTGTACCGACACAAGGTTTTTCGTTGCTGAGCAAGAAAGAGAAGGAGAAAATTCGCCTCAAGGAGTTGAAACAGATGAAAGCGAAATATGGCCTTCAGGTATTGGCAGCATTTCGCGACTCCTCAAATTACATTTTTGACATTTTTTTCCTGCAGTATTTGTCATCGTAGGACTATAAGACCATACGCAACAACAAGCGCGTTTAAATGTGTAAATCTGCACTCGGTAGTGTAAAGTCACATCTGAATGTCACCTATCCGCTCTGTGCATGGTGTCACTAATTTTCTAAAGATGTTCACAATTCGATCGTTTCACACAGTAATGCGTTTTAAATATCACGTACATTCACTTCTGAAGCACAGCAAAGCAGTTCGCCATGTTTATAGCAGTTTGCGCATTATTTAGTCCAGTAACCTGTATTTGCATGTTCTTTATCGGTTTTCACGAATAGGATATTTTCACATTTGTTGCTATGTTATACAGGCGTGAATCGCTTAACGAGCGAGATACGAAAGAAGTTCAACATAAAAACATTCTGTGAAATACGAAGACTCGTTAAACAATCATCGTTTTCCCAATGATCCCATGTTAAAAGCTGAGCTTTGTTTCGGCCCCAAAATTTTCCAATCTTGTACGATTTTTTTTACGTGAGAAATACGAATTTATAATTTTAATATAAAGTAATACAACATCAAATGTAACACTTGCCACACAGTCGAAGAACCACTGATTGCAGGTGCCTGTCCTCGGCGTTCGCAAATAATTTACGCCGCCACCCATCCAAATTGCTAAATAAAAATGATTCTTGTAGAAAGACCACTGGTCTAGTGAGACACGCCTGTACTGTATATCCAGTTGAAACAAAGGACATGTTTCCTAAATCCACCCCTGTCTCACCAGCACACATGGGTCCACTACAGTTAGATCGGCAGGTCTTGTGTAGTGGAGAAAACTGCGGCTACTCTCTGGCTTGTGTGGAAGAATCGGCCAAAGACACTCTAGAGGCGCTACCTCCAGCTCACTCCATTGGATGCCCTTCTGCCAGCAGTGGCACGTGCAAGCGATTGCAGATCTGCACCTTTACCTAATTGTACATGTAAGTTGAGTTTTCCTTCGGTTAACCGTCTCTGGCCCGTACCTCTGTGGGTGCGTTAGGGGAGTGCGCACGAGGACCAGGAGGTGCTCAACAACTCCAAGTACGCGAACCGTGCAGAGCAACGCAGACGCACCGTGGGGAGCGAGCACCCCCACCACAAGGACGACGCGCCGGCCTCCTTGCACGAGTGTGTGAGCTGCACACACTTGGGGGTGGTCTATGTCCTGAGCACCACCTTGTGTGGAAATAATTATATGCTGTTCGTTAGCCCCTAAGCAGCGTTCACAATAAAATTACCAGTCTGAAAGTGTGTATCTTTGTTGGTTACGCTTTAACAACATCGTTATTTAAAAGCACATGCGATATTACAAATGTTTTCTTTAGCTTAATGTGCTGCCCTTTGTCATTCCACGGCAAGATAAAAGCTGTGTCGGTTCTGGGAATTGTTTGACCATATTTGACCCCGATGGTCAGTGCGGGTAGACAAAGTGTGGTTGCCTGCACCAGTTTGGACTCGCCACTGATGGTAGCCATGGCCAGCGGTTGCTGGGGTCACAGTGCAGTTTATGAACCACTAATAAAATGCATAAAGGATAAAATATAATTAAATGATGAAAGGGGCGCCACTGTGACGAGATGTTAACTACCTCGCCTGGTATACAGGAGGTCGTGGATTCTGTCTTGACCCTGATGCCTGTATATTTGGAGTTTGCATGTTCTCCCTGTGGTTGCGTGAATTTTTCTCCGGGTACTCCGGTTTTCCCCTCACATTTTGAAACATCCCTTTTTAGAGCATTGTACTACTATAAATTTTCACGTGATAAGCCACTTAGTTGAGCTATCATTTGTGGCCAGGTCGCTTCTTAAAATTGAGATGTATAACTCAGTGGGCCTTACCTGGTTAAATAAAAAATAGTTTAGTTTTATAGCATGTAGCCCACCATGTTACTGCTTGACAGCTATTTTGTCCTACAGGGAGATCGACAGAGGGAACAAGGGGCGGAAGCTGCTTGAGAAGATGGGTTGGAAGCACGGAGAGGGCCTGGGAAGGGACAGTGCTGGCATTAAGGAACCGGTTGGTGGCACCACACACACACTTGTACAGGGTGTGGCAAAAAGCAGGGACCATACATCGATGCAATACATTATAACACATTCCTGCGGAGGGAGCTGATAGGAACGTTGGGTTGCTCGGTCAATGGCCAGGGTCAACGGCGGCGTGGTGTATTCCGCAAATATGGCCGACTGAGGGCGGGCACAAGCTGGCGTGAGTAGGTTAAACGTTGAGTTTTATAAGGGCACCACGGGGTGACCAGCTTCTCCCCACCCCTCCCACCCAGCCCCACCCTCCCCACCCAGCCCCTCCCCTCCCCACCCAGCCCCTCCCCACCCAGCCCGACCCCTCCCATTTTTGGATGCACGACGGACAGACACAATAATCCCTGTGGGCTGGTGGAACCAGGTGGTTCCTACCAGTAACAGATGCTCCAACTGTGTATGACACATCTCAATCTGTTTCGCACAGGATGCTTGAACGTTCCTGAACATGTCCACATTGGTCTGAACACACTTGTTTTGTATTATGCAGTAAACAATATTTACAGGGCGGTCCTGAAATCACGAGTTACTCAACTTTACCACAGCCTGTAGCTTGAGTTATCACACTGGCATGCTGATGCAAAATGTTATTTTTAGCTTTGACGTAACAAAAATATCGTGCTTGCCGGCACAGTATAACATTTTATTAAACTGCTTTGTTTGTTAAATGCATATTAAGCGGAACAATGCTGCATAATTCAGCTTTTATTGTTGTGAAACTTTCATCATCATTAGCCTTGATCAGTCCCCTTGCTGGTTGAAGACCTCAAGCCATTGTCATTTTTTATGGTCCCACAATACAACAATCGTGATGAAATAGATGCTTAATGTCATAACGTATGACACAACATTTTATTGCAAGTGTTTTTTTGCCTTCTGACATTTTTTGTGTTCTATCGTTGACATTTGGGAAATGTGAACCCTTTCGTACCCCCCTCCCCCCCCCTTTGTTTTGCTGCAGATCAAGCCGCATGCGATGAACAAACAGGCAGGGCTGGGCTCGGCTCCTCAACTCCCTGCCGACTCTCCCCTCCTGGCGGCCGGAAACAGCCGCCGAGCCCAGAACTGGGAAAAGGCACGGGAGCGATTCGAATCGTTCGCGACGCAAAAGAGCAAAGCTGCTCCTCATCCTCCTAAGAAGGGCCAGTGGGTCTTAGGGAGTGGAAAGAAAACTTGATGATGTCGTCTATTGTGTATACATTAAGGAGCGGTGTATATTTGTAAACATGCAGGTGAATGCAGGAAGTACATTTTGTATTCTATACTGGGAAGTATTTTTAAAAAACGCTTGGATGTACTTTTTTTCTGAACCATTTGTGAGCATATTCTTGGTTCTTTCGGTAAAGTCACGTAGAAGGGAAATAATAAAATAATATTAAACAATTAAAATTATCACGACGTTTCACACCTGATAATGCTTGCTTGTGTTGCAGTCGAAACGTGAGAATTTTTATTGTTTTATATTAATATAATTTTATTATTTCCCTTCTACGTGACTTTACCGAAAGAACCAAGAATATGAATCCCTGTAGTCACGAAAGCTTTAAATCAAGATTCACTTGTGTAACTGGTTGCTCACAGTAGAGGCAACCTCTATGTGCAAGCTATTTTGAGTGAGTTGGTTGTGCAACTGTTGGCTCATGTGTGAGCCCAACTAAAGGTAAAGGGGTGACAGGGAAACATCGAGGGGAGCTCAAGCTAGTAAATTCGGATTTGGAGCCAGGAATGTGTGTATCAAGCAAGCAAAGTGACCAAGGGTGATTCTAGATCTGAGGTTTTCGTAACTGCAAGGATCCATACTCTTTGGATCTTTCGGTAAAGTCACGTAGATGAAAAATAATGAAATGAAAATAACTAAATTAAATCACGACGTTTCGGAGGCAACACAAGCTTCCGTCATCAGGGGGAACAGCCACAGCAAAATTACTGAATTTACAGCAAAATTACTGAATTTACAGCAAAATTACTGAATTTACAGTAATTTAGCTGTAAATTCGTCAGATGCCAGATGAAAACTAATGGGAGAGAATAAAACGTACTTTTATGCAAATTCTCTCGAGTTCTGTTTAAAATGCATCTTTGTACGTGTATAGGTTGTGTTATATTGTTTTGATACATTTGAATGCAAAATATTTTTGAATGATTAATTTAGAAGTAGTCATCGAATGTACCCGTATTGTAATCTGTATATGGCCATGAATTTTACACGCAAAAATTTTCACATTTGGCATGGTACCAGCACATGTGTATAAATAAAAAAAATGCTTCAAACGTATTGTGTCGATGCTTTATTTGGCGCTATTTGATGTTTAGGTTTTGATATGGGAGTGTCGGTGTAGTGGTTCGCACCCTGTACTACAAACTTGATGTCTCGAGTTCGATTCCTTGTCAGGGTTCATACTCTTAGTTTTTTAGGTAAAGTCACGTAGGTAAAAAGTTTCAATTAAAGTTAATAAAATAAAATTATTTTTTTTACCGAAAAAACTAAGAGTATGTATCAGGCGTGCGGTAGCGTCTCGCCTGTGGTGTTTACGGTAACGCGTCTCGCTTAGCGTGTTTACGGTTAATGCGTCTCGCTTGGCGTGTTTACGGTAACGCGTCTCGCTTAGCGAGTTAACGGTAATGCGTCTCGCTTGTGGTGTTTACGGTAACGCGTCTCGCTTAGCGAGTTTACGGTAACGCGTCTCGCTTAGCGTGTTTACGGTAACGCGTCCTCGCTTAGGCGTGTTTACGGTAACGCGTCTCGCTTAGCGTGTTTACGGTAACTGCGTCTCGCTTAGCGTGTTTACGGTAACTGCGTCTCGCTTAGCGTGTTTACGGTAACACGTGTTTCGAGCCGCCTGCCAGCGTAGAGGGCATGGCGCATGCACCCGGTAACAGCGCCACCGTGCCCACTATCACCACCACAACCATCATCACCGCCGCCGCCAGCGAGAGCGGATAAACTTGCAACTCACTCGCGCGGAGGCTCCCAGAGAGACCCGTGGCCTCGTCTCCATACCGGGCCGGCGCTCTGAGCAGCGGTTTTGCTGGAGGCGCCATGGGGACGCTGCTGAGAGCTGCAAGGCCCGGGATGAGCCTCCTGGTCTCGGGGGCTCGGACCCACGGGCTTCGGGGCCTCCTGACGTCCGTGGTCCGTGCCCGGGGCCCTCTGTGGGACGCCGACAGGCAAACGCCTCCGTCGTGCTGGTCTTGTACGGCAGGCGGTAAGGGTGTTGCCATTGTCCTGTGTGCCGATCTTAAAGGAGCATTGAAAAATGTTGATACTCCGACTGATGCTCCTGCTGTTGTGGAGTGACTCATGCAGCCAGCTATGGCTGAAGGGTTTTGGTGGTACATGATTGTGAAAATTCGGTCACAGTTCCTATGGTCACTGTTTCATCGCTTTTATGGCTTTATTTTGGTGATTTTCGAAAAGTTTTTTGGTTTGGCCATGTTTGTTTGTTGTAGTACAGAGTTAGACTGATGGCCTTAATCTAAGTTGTCTTGTGGTTGTTGTGGTTGTTGTTTGACTTGCATCCCACTGGGATTTTTGCACACAGTGTTGGTGTACGGTGCTTTTTCTGCAATATTTTGCTGTCTTTTCTCGGATTTTCTGTTTGCACATAGTCACTTTAAGATGTTTTCTTGTTCATGTTTTTGTTTTTTGTTTGTTGCGGTTGTACCCGATTCAAGAGCCGAATGGCTCACTGGGCTATGCCTAATAAATTAACTTGAACTTCGCGACGCTCGAGGTTACTTAAAGTCAGTGCCTCGCTGCTCTATAGCATTAGACGAAGCCTGCCTACTTTCCCTGATGCCAACCACAACCTTAACGCATGCCCTAACTCTCACCATTGCCACTATACACTATTCACCTAGCGTTACACTAGCCCCGTCATCTAAAGCTGTATCCACGCACCACCAGCCTTAACCCAATAACTCAAACATTACAGCTGCCCTCACCCGAGCCGTGACACCAACCTCGCCTCAACCCTGGCCCTAAATTCAACTCCTACTCACGTTCACAGCGGTAATTCAAGCCCGGACGCCAACGTGTACGCCTTACCCTTGCCAGAGCTCCGAACATAATCGCCCTAAGCTCCATCTCTAGCCATAGCCCCAACCCTCCTGTTGTAAACCCAGCAAAAGCCCCCAAATCCTACCTCACCATAACCCTCAATTCAACCCGTAACTATCGGTGTCAAAAATCCGGATAGAGTAACAAACTCACATTTGCTCCATTACAGTATGAGATGATGTTGTTGCAGAAACAGGCCAAGGGTGTCTCTTGTATAAGATGTAAAGAGATGAGGATGTATGTGAAATGCAATTGCAAGTGAAGGTATAAAGCATCGACACAGCGCCCATGGGTTGGCGTAACGCACTTGTTGGCATGGACACGCATGGAGATTGTTGGGAGACATTCAGATTGTAGATAATGTTCGAGGCTTTGATATGAAGTGTGTTCTCTAATTCCTGTTATTGTCTGGAGTATCTATCAATGGATCCACCCCTGCGTTGTATTACATAACCCTAGGCAGTGTGCATAAGGAATGACAGCTATGAACGAGGGTTATACGCACGCCAGGTAGAGACATCCATCATGTTGACTGTTAAGAAAGTACGTGGGTTTGGGCAGTACACCTTGCTGACGAGATGTGATGGTTGGTGGTCGAGACTAACGTCGGAGTGGCAGCCACAAGAGGGAATGCATCTGAGAGGACGTCCGCTGTGGAAATGGAGAGGTGAAATCGCAGAGCCATGAGAGATGGTAATCGCTTGGGGAGTGCTTTATCCAGCAGTGGATTGGCCATGGCTGATTATGATTAATAAGGGTAAGCGTGGTGCTAACTTGCGGTGGCAGGGAATTGCCTGCCGCACTCCAAAGAGGTCTCGTTAACGCTTACCGAGATTGAAAGTGGACAGACGGCTTCTTGTGAACACTCCAATTCGTTATCAGTAGTTCATTACTTTGCAAAATAAAGGCGTGGTGGAAAAGCATTACAAAATGCACGCATGAGCATGATTTTTCCTGCATCTTCGTTTTAGCTCGCAGGTATCTTCTCACCGACGACGTCCTCCGGTTGAGGGAGTTTCAGCAGAGGAAGATCGCTGCAGCCTGCCTCATTTACGGGAAGAGAGGTACGTGACCACGTGTCCGGTGCACGCACGCAACCTCGTGTCGGTCCACTCCTGCATGAGGGTTTCTCCATTGCCGTGCGGATCGTGGGGGGATTGTTCACATTTCGCCACGCTGGGCAGTGCGGGTTGGTGAAGGTGGACAGAATAGAGGCGTTGGAACAGTGGTAGAGTACAACAATGGATTTTGCTGCACTGCCCTCTGCTGCCCACCATGTAGCCTAGCAGCAGCCTGATTGGTACCCACCCATCCGAGTCTTGTCCAGGCTTACACCTGCTTAGCTTGCGAGATCTGATGAGATCGGGCGCTTTCCGAGTGATATGGTCATAGGCGATGATAAATGTTATTGGCAGTCCCAGTCGCTCTCTGTAAGGGGGAAACTTGAGTTTTCAGTTGAGGCACATTGTTTGTCTTCAAGCTGGTCACATCAGTGGCTACACGAAAAATAAGTCATGAAATTTGGTTTTCCACTTAAATTGGCTACAATTCCAGATTTGACATGTTGAACAAATATCACTGATTGACATGTGATGAACCCTGTGCTGGATGCATAAGATCTGCTGCACGCTGTAATGTGGATATAAGGAGTTCTGTTGCAGTGACGTGTGAAATAATAACTCCACTGGCACAGGGTGATGCACTGCTTGCTGTGTGAGTTCAGAATAGAGATGCCTTCGTCTGATGACAAGTGACAGCATTTTTGCAATATAACTGGGAAAACAATATAAAAACGGTGCAGTGGTCAATATTCATCACCTGGTTAATGACAAGAAAATATACATTTTTGCGAAGGTTATATTCGTTAGTATTTTTTTAGTGTAAGACATTTATTTTATGTTTACTCATGAAAAATATACACTGCATTTCCTAAACCACCTTGTGCAGATTCGTACATGGCGCTGATGGAAGAGAAGCTTGCCAATCACCAGTTGATCCTCACGGAAGATTTAAAGACCGCCATTCATATATGTCAGACGCCAGTTGACGCACAGCTAATCATCAAGCTCGTATACAGGTCAGTTGATAATGGCCAGCAGTTGTTTATAAGAGCATCTAAAAGAAGATTATTAAAGGTTTCCAACCATGGTCGGAAGAGTTTGCGCATTGGCTCGATTCCTCCGTTTGTCTACGTGACGGAGGGCTTGCGATAACTGTTGTAAAGACGATCAAATGTCTACCAAACTAAAGTGTAAAATTGCGTTCCTTTAGGGGTCTAATCTTTGAGAAAACCGGCCAAATTGATGACATGTTACCCCAAATTTTTGAGACACAAACCAGAGCAGGACATGCGAATGAATTTTCCCCTGACTGCTTCTCATCGGTTTCCATACCGCTAATTGTATACCTACAAAGTCATGCATTTAAAATTGATTATCACACTCACGTTGCATGCAGTAGATTTTACGTGTAAAAATGTATATATTTTGCTTATTCACATGTGCCGTATGTAATAGGATGTGTGTTACCCCTGCAGCCACTAGAGACGCTATATTCACCACAATGTCGAAGCAAACGATGTTGAACCGAATCGCGACTTTAAATCGTGACGGTTAAGGGACAAAACTTAAAAACACACAAAATATGTTTGTCCACCAGGTGGTGTTTGTTGGGAGCAGGCAGATTCAATGGATGGAAAAAGTGAAATATTAAGTTCAATGTGCGACCATCGGTGGGGAAATGACACAATAAAAACTATCAACAGGGGATTTCAAAGTGTTCCAATGAAACTAGCATGGGTTATCGTTACAATAATATGTGTGTGTGTGTATGGGCTATCAAGTTTGTCCAGGGCACTCCTCGCTTCACTGAATAACGATGGGGTGGGTGAATCTTTCCACGTCGACTGCAGTCCAGAACCCAGTGCTGTTGACATTGACCCCGTGTCTGGCGCGATCATTGACTCGGTATTCTCGGCAGATATCACGCGGAGAACAGCAATCTCTTGTTGGGCGACTTTAATTTCGGTCCTCTGGTGTGTCGCCTCTTCTACGAGCTCGACATGGCCAAGGAAGCGGTGCAACTCCTGATGGACCGCGTGAGTCACTCCCGGCTCGGGTGCCGCCATGGACACTCGCCCACCCCTCCTCTTGTCCCCCTCCGCTCACTTACCGTAGCTTTAATTAAAAGAATTAGCTCCACGGCGAAGAATCGATCCGGTTCTCTCGCTTAAATAAACGCTGCCCGAATAATATTGTTTTGTGGAAAGTCAACAGTCTGATGGTTTAGCAAAACAAAAACATTTTTTAGAGGAAAATATTTGCTTTGCATGTGGTGATACAGAACGGAGGTCTGTTCACATACAGATAGTCCCCGGGTTGCAGAATACCCGACTTACGGAAATCCGACCTTACGTAAATGTTCCCATTATTAATCATCAAATTAAATGCACGGAAATGTTTGCGTTAGCTGCGTAAGCGCAAGTACTGCAGCGCGGTGAGGTTGCGGATGAACACCGTGGAGTGAGACGTAAGGCGAGCAGCCTTACGCCTCGCTCGAGCATCACGCGGATTATGGCAAATGGAATTTATCGTTGATTTTGGGGGGAAATTGTTCAGTTTCCGACACACAGAGATTTTTGGTTACGGATCATTCTCGGGAACCGAACCCTTTCCGTAACCTGGGGACTGTCTGTGTACGTGATGCTGTACTTTGAAAGAGGCGCAGTCTGACGAGGCCAGGTGGCACTGCTGAGATCCTGCAGTTGATGATGGCTTTCATCCACTCGTGATTGAACCACGTTATTATCCGTAGCCAGTTGATTTGCTTGATCGCACGAAAACAAAGCATCGCTTGAAGTTTGTTTGATTTTTTTTTGTATCATTTGTCAAAATTTTATCTCCTATGAGAATTGGTTTTGTCTTGCGACAAACATTTCTCCTCTGGATTAAAAAGGTAACTTGAAGGGATCTCGGAAGTAGTTCTGTGGAGTCTCCTTCTCTTGACCGGTCTCTGATACACGGGGTGATGATGAACGGTTACTGCAAGAGTTCTGAATGGACACTCAGTCCTGCAGCGCGATGCCGATAGAGCAACCATAATGACAAAAAAGATCATCACGATATGTTGACAAGAGTGAAATACGTCTTCCCATGTGTTCCAGAAATTGAAGGACTTCTTTGGCGACCACACGTCCTTTGCTGTCGTCACTGATATGCTGTACGAGAAAGAAGACTACGAAGGTAAGAGAAAGCACAAAGCTGAACAACCAAACTTTTTATTTCACCTGGCAAGGCCCACTGAGATTCGTAGCTCTTCGTCAGAAGCAACCCGGCCACAAATGATAGCTCAACGAAGTGGCTTATCGCGTGGAAATATATCGCGGCCAAATACTATAAATGCACGTTTCTGATCGTAAAACATATTTCATCATGCACGATAGCCCCCTGTTTTGGTAATATTTGATAACGTTTTATATCTCTGTCAAATCGTTGCTGATGAAGGCCTTTCCATTGTGTTGGTCAAGGGCATTGTTTGACCATACTTCACCACGCTTGTCAATGCGGGATGAGCTAAGAGGAGGGTGGCCAAGGACCTATTCAGATACCGCTCGCCGCTGATGTTAGCCGTGGCCGGGAATCGAACTGTGGTTGCAGGGTCCATAGCGCGGTATGCAAACACTAACCACCGTTTGACCCAGTAACTTAGTGTAAATCCACAACACCCATAGGTAACTTGGATACTGCATATCGTGCATTCAGATGCGCTTCTGCAGACAGCTATAACGGTTTTCCTTTCGATATTAGGAAGCCACTGAAGCTTTGCAACTTTTAAATCGAGATTGAAAGCTCACTTCTTTAGAACTGCTTTTTGTGTTTGGTTTGTTGTCCTTCACGCACACCTCCGCTTCGCACGGTTGGCTACGTACGGTGCGAAAGAAGTTCAACATACGCACTTACAAGCCTGATTGCCATGTGTCTCTTGTTCCTGGGAAACAGGCGAAGGTTGCGAACGACATTGTCAATTGACTAATTCTCCTTTATTGTTGTACTCTGCGCTGTTCTAGGCGCCTTGAACGTCATCAAAGAGATGCGGCAACGTGGGACTCAGTATACTAAAGACACGTACCTCCTGGCGCTGGCGCTGTGCTACAAACTGGTGAGCACTGCTGAAGCGAAGCCGGTGTTCCTTTGGCAGTGGCGTGTGGTGGGGGGGGGTTAGGTATGTAACGATAAATCGTATTGTGGTTGAGAATCTGGTCCTTTCTGTTTGTGTTTATTTTGTGTAAAGTGTTTACGCGAGCCCTGGTACCACCAGAGGGCGCTACGTTTATGGGGTACAGTGTTCATGGGGCAACTTCATTGACTCGTGACCCTTAATCGTGGTGGTGAAATTACAACGGGGGCGGTAAATGTGTGTTGTCTGCGATGGGTTCAACATTAAATGTGCAACCACCACAATGTCACAATTTAAGATTTGAATCATAAATGTTCATAAAGTCGTGACGTTATAGCACAACAGACTATGCTCTTATTATCATGACGATGATTCGCCTCGCTATGATGACGACTCATGCCGATGGGCTCCAGCTCACGGTCCGCTCGTTGCGTCCTCTGCGGGGGGTGGGGGGGGGCCCCGTTGCTTCCAGAACACGCGCGAGTCGTACGAGGTCTGCCAGAGCGTGCTGGACGACGCTGAGATCAACGTGCGCCCCGTCGCCCGGCGCGGATACTGCTTCGCCGTCATGCTGGCGATCAACCAGGTGCACGGGGGGGGGGGGGGGGGGGGGCAGCTGCTGCTGCCAACCCGCGTGGGCGGGAGGTGCCGCTTGCCGAGATGGACCACGTGATAATTGCACCGGCACGCACGTTAAAAACATCGCAGGGGAACGGTTAATCCGCAAACTTGGATGATCGGCCCGTGGGTAATTGAGAGTTACGTGTGTTTTTGAAGGACTTAATGAAAAGAATGTTTAGTTATTAATTGTTTTGCTTCTCCCCCCCCCCCCCCCCCCCCGCCCAATTGTGCTTTTGCTTAGGGAGATCTCAAAAATGCCAGGGCCCTGTACAGCCGCATCCTGAAGCCAAACTCCAAGGTGTGCCTCAATCTGCAGGTGAGTGCAGGACGGATGAGGAGCCTGGGCATGGAGGATTTTTACCATTGTATAGCTTTGGCAACAGATTGTAAATTTGCTTTCATCATCATCTTCAGTTAAAGGAAACATATACAATGTGACTGGGATTGGATAAACATCCATCCCATTGCCACAAAATTTGCCTGCAGGTTGCCTATTTGGGATTACAGCAGTAACATCACCCCCTCCTGCGAAACACTGGGCAGGACCCTCCTGAAAAAGAGTCTTGAGGGCAAATGAGTGCAATAACAGTAATTAAAAAATTGATTCTCATACTCATGATACATGCATAGAAGTGTGTGTGTACGAATCATTTACGTACAATGAATGCACCTTACATGAAGACAGGAAAATCTATTCAGGGGTGTTGTGGAAAAGCTTGACAACCCAAAGCTTGATATTCAGTTAATTTTGATGATACAATACAAACTATTAACAATGTGAGTTGTGAAGTTTTCCAATTAAGCAGGTTATCTTGCACTGTATTAGTGGGTTGTGAATTTAGATTTTTTTATTATCCAAGGAGAAACATCAATTCTTGAATGGCGTCATCAATCGCCACCCTACATCGCGACGATTCCCAGAGCCCCGTTGGGGTGGGTTGTTGACCTGTTCCTGGCCGGCGCCGTTGGTCCGCCCCCCCACGTGCCCTTTGCCCCCCCCCCCCCTCCATGGCAGGTCCTGCTGGCTGCGCTGACGGGCTCCCGCGCAGAGATGCTGCACCTCCTCAAGTGCGTGCGCGACGGGAACATCTCCGACTTCGTGCACAAGATCGAAATCTGTCGGGACGTGGTGAGCCGCGCCGTCGGGGCGGACTCGCGTGCGTGCCGCGGCACCGCAGGCCTGGCACGGCCCTCGGTCGTTGGTGGCAAGACCGACTCCCGTTAGCGAAGGGTTTTAAATCTTCTCGTCTCTTAGTCTTTTTGGCTGTTGAGATCATCGCCGGTTAGTCATCAATGACTGCAAATGAATGGCTGTGTTGAATTTGGTTTGAACTTAATTTTCCAGAAATCTATCTATCTATCTCTGAGGGGAAACATTTTTCTCGTTATGTACGTTGAACTTCTTTCGCACCGTACTTAGCCAACCATGCCAATCGGATGTAATATTGCAATGTGACGCATTCCTCTGTAGCAGGGCTGGTGACGGCGTGAAGTTCCCTTAATTTGGAGTAAGAGGTCATTGAAGAGAGGTGATCGGGTGGTTCAGAGTACGGAGCTGACACCGCTGAGATCGTGGGTTCTCAAGTTTAGCGAAGTTCATGTTCTCAACACGGTCGCCAATACAAAAAAAAAAACCTTCAGATGAAATTAGTTGTGCACTTAACCCGTTCCAATGCTGTACGTGTACGTCATCAGATTTTATTCCGATTCCTTTCCGATGACGTACATGTACATCATCAGTACGAAATCGAAAGACAACATAAAATAACTTTATCGGTACACAAGTCCATGCACGAGGGCGTGTGGTACAGTTTGGTGGCAGCTGTCATGGAGTGCGGTCGTGTCACTATAGTTCTCTGCGGCGAGTACAATGCCTTTAAAAACAACGGCACTCTGCCCTCTAAATGAGATTAACGCTGAACCGCTTGCTCGTTCCGAGATTCAGAGGTGCAACTTGCAGAGGTCTCGGAATGGAAAAGGGATTCATTTGGGTGAATTCCAGCACGCCTCATTGTGACCTTGACGGTCGCTTGCCTCCCGTTCCTCCTGCCCTGCCCAGATATCGCAGGTGCAAAGTTCGCTGGAGGGGGAGGCGGGCGACCCGGAGGGCGAGGATCTGCAGAACCTGTTGGGGCACCTGGAGCGGATGGGCCACATCTCGGCCATGCCGTTCGACACGCTGCTGTGCAGCAAGCCCAGGAGCCAGCGCAACCTCAGCGGCCAAGCGCCGAGGATGAAGGGCAGCCGCAGCGTGGGCAAACGCATCGGGGCGCTCAGCCAGACGCTGCTCACGGAATGACGAGGACGACGAGCGTTGGTGATGACCACTCCGCACGATGTGGCGCTGCGTTGGTTAAAATGTTATTGTCGCGCAAGGACAATTAGTCGATGAGGTCAATCAATCCACCAAACACTGCAATCGGCTGCTTTTCTGTGGTCAATTACTTTGGTCGCTTTGAGAATGAACTAAAACTGAACTAAAGTTATTTTTTTATTTTTTACCAGGTAAGGCCCACTGAGCTATATAGCAGAAGCGACCTGTCACAATTGGCAACTCAACGAAGTGGCTTATCGTGTGGAAAATTATAGCAGCCAAATAATCTGAACACATTTTTTAAAGTATGGAAGTAAAAACTGGAGGACACAGAGAAAAATCCACGTGACCATAGGGAGTACATGCAAACTCCAAATGTGCAGGCATCGGGGTCGAGATCGAACCCACGACCTCCTGTACACCAGAAGAGGTCGTTAACATCTCAACACCATGGTGTTTTTTTACATAAATGCGCACATTTTGAATGAAGTTGTAACCTCACTTGTCATGCGAAGATATGAACATTAACAGCCGGAGAAGTTGAATGAGCACCATTTTGCACCGCAAATGTTCCGTAAAACTCTTTGCTAAGCGCACAGGTCAACACAACCCTGCAGTGGGGGAGGTACGGCAAGGTTGAGAGGTCGCAAAGTCGAGACTTCTCAAGCGACCAGAAGTTCCACACGCATCAAGAAGCTAAATATCGCCGAGCCCAACACCACTCGGATCCTGGGTTAGAATCCGTGTTTACTCGGTTACTAATGGCTGCACAAAAAGCCATCGCGTTCAATTTTAATTCTGCCGTTTAATTTGGCAAAATTCCGGCTCTTTGACGATATTGGTTTCAACGTCAGGTGACACACATTGCTCGGCGGCAAGCGAAGGGGAAACTGCTGCCCACTACCGTGTGAAGCAGAGGTCGAGTGAAAGGATCTCGGGAAGGTCTGACGTTCACTTCCATGGGCTGTTCTTCGAACACAAAGGTCTTGCACTTCTCTGCGAGAGATTCAAATGGATGTTTCCCGTGTCGTGATAACGGTAGCACAACTTAGATATATTTCTGGGAAAAGTTTGTTGAAGTTAACACGCGATGAGAACTCCGTTTGACCCCATTCCCCGGGCACATCGAGCAGTGGGCCCGCTGTCTTTACCCCTAGGCAGCGTTTCATTTCTGCTGTGGTCTGGTGTCGGTGATATCTTTCAGTGTGATGCTCAAGCCACGTCGCTGCTCTGAATCGGGCTGGCTCGGCTCTTGAATGTGGCTGAACCGACGAGCGATGTTCCCATAGCAAATCCTTCCGAGTCAAACTAATCCCAAGTGAGCCTGGTAGATACCCCGGGCCCCCAGCTGAAGTGACCCATGCCGCACGCTTTTACCGGGGCTCACCCCAGCATTGGTTGCAACGTCGCAAGGGCAAATGGAAATTAAAGCACATGCTTTCTGGACGTAGCACGCTTAGTCAACCTTAAAACGCGCTAAAAATGTATTAGAACATATCGGGATGTATGTTGAACTTCTTTCACACCGTACGTAGCCAACTGCGCTAATCGGAGGTGCGGGAAAAGGACCACAAACTCGTGTAACCCAAATCTGCTTGAAGTCACATTCGTAAAAATTACACTTTCAGACTACTGTCAGACGGCACCATTGGCTACGGAGGGTTGGGTTAAGGAGGGCGGAACTCGCAGAGCCCGACGACTTGCGTGCAATGCTGGATTAAGCTAGTACGGGGCCTGTAGCATATGTCATTAAGGGGCCCTAAATAAAAAAACACATTTTAAAAATGTATTTGCATAGTAAGGTAATTGTAATTTTTTATTTGCTGTACAGCCAGATAATACGATAAAATCACTAACCTTAAACACCCGGTCGTTCATAAAAGTTGGAAGGCAGTATAGTACTATGGTAATAGAGCAAGTGCAGAATCACTGAACCGAAATTAATAGCTTAAAATCATTTAGGGGGGCCCTTGAAAGTGCGCGGCTCGTAGCAGATGTAGTTACTTTTGCTACGAGAATAATCCGGCACTGCTCACGCCGCGTGGAAACCCGTATCCAGGCCCTGGTGCCGATCCTGGGCCAGAACTGGGCTATTCCTGGGCCAGCAGAGCTCGGTTTCGGGTGGCCATGGAAACGAGGCATCGAACGCGGTGAGGCAAACCGGCCCGTGCCAAGAGCACTAAGCATGGGGCCTCAATCGTCAAGGTGGCCACGGGTCTTCTTTGGAGCTGACGTGAAGTGCGCATGACGTTTGTATGGAACACGTCTGTAAAAAGAAGTAAATGTAATCTTTTTTTTTGACGACAAGATGCATTGACTGTATTTAAATACAGAATAGGTTATCTTTAATAAAAAAAAATATGAAACGCAGCGTTGGGATTATGTACATTATTTCACATTCGTTATCAAATACTTGTATTTAATATGCTACGGAGCAGCTAAATTACGGCTTCTGTGTCGTCTCGTGGAGCGTTTGCCAATTTCCGGATTGGAATGTAATTTAATCTACAGGAAAACTAAAGGAATGGCTCATTAGAACATGTGTAATATAGCATGGGTGTGCAGCGGGTTATTAAAACAATCACTTGGATCAATCGTGGATGTACATAGAAGGCCAAATACACGTCCGTAGACTGTATAAGGTAATCATATCACGGAGTTTTGTCAATTCGCTGCTGGATACAGGCCTCCTTGTGCTGTGTCAGACATGTGACTTATACTAGTAGGAACCTCCTGGTTACACCAGTCCACAGGGGATTATTGTGTCCGTCCGTCGTGCATCCAAAAATGGGAGGGGTGGGGCTGGGTGGAGAGGGACTGAGTGGGGAGGGAGGAGCTGGGTGGGGAGGGGCTGGGTGGAGAGGGTGAGGGGGGGGCTGGGTGGGGAGGGGCTGGTCACCCCGTGGTGCCCTTATAAAACTCAACGTTTAACCTACTCACGCCGGCTTGTGCTGGCCCTCACAGTCGGGCATATTTGCGGAATACACCACGCCGCCGTTGACCCTGGCCATTGACCGAGCAACCCAACGTTCCTACCAGCTCCCTCCGCAGGAATGTGTTTTAACCGTACTTCACCATGATGGTCAATGCGTGTTTGCGATGGTCGGTCGAGGGGTGGAGAGGTGGGGGATAACCGGTTCAAATATCGCTCATTTTGTTGACCATGATCAGGAATCAAAACTCTGGCGGCTGGGTTCGGTCTGTAGTAGCGCAGTGCGCTGGCCACCACGGCGCCACCCCTCCACTCCAGAAGTTAAAACGTCTCGGTGCGATATCAAAAGTGATTGGCTTCACTTGAAGGGCCGTGGTGGGGGGAGAGGCGGAGGTTTCCCTGGCCACTTGCTCCTGGCTTGAGACGTCACTCTTCACGGCAGTGGGTTCTTATAACCTTCACTGCTCATATTTCACCCCCTTCGCTTCTCAATAGTTCATGTTAATAAATACGTAAAGTTTGATGAAACTAAGGAGTTGTACCATCGTGCCCGTGCTTAATTTGCGTTTCGACCTTCTAAGAAAGTCTGGCCATGTCTCGCAGCCCCAGAAAGGGCATTTTGCACCCCCAAGCGGTTGCGTGCACCCCAGGTTATAAGAGCCACCGCTTCACGGCATGGATTATTAGAACACTCAGCTGTACAAGAACTGCCCTCCTTAAAGGCCCCCTCCCCCCCGCGCCTCTTATTTTCCCATCGCTAAAAACAAGTCTGATCTCCTGGCAGCAAATTTATGGAATTGAGGGGGGAACCAAATACTAGCGAGCGTGGCTTTATCGAGTACAAATTATTTGCAGTTTTAAAAAAAGAATGAAGGTAGGATTATATTTTTTTTACACCAAACAAGCAGGAAAAGGATGTCCCAGATCTAGCTGAAGTCTTGACTCACGCGGTTTAAAGAGTGACTGACGGAGTACCTGGGGCTTTCCTTAGCCCGACGTCTCGTGCAGAAGGACAGCAACTGTGGGAATCCGGACACCCACGTGCTTATATATGGCCAAGACATACAAACTATAACAAACAGCCACGTGATTTGTTCGGAAACTATTTTTTGGGGTTAAATATGCCTTTTTCAGTACACGTTTTCAATAAATAAAAAGTTAACTGTAACACACCGCGGCGGTTTTCACTCACCCTCGAAGGTAACGGCGCGAAGGTGCGAGGAGGAATCACACAGACGAGGCGAAGAGGAGCCGCTGCCAACAATTTATCGAGCTCTGCGGTCCTACCTATATTAAGGTGTTACTGGACAATTAATGAGAGTTTACATGGAGCAACCCGGAGCTAACCCATTTGTTCGTATCTCTGAATGTTCGTAAGTAGAGGAGTGCCTGTACGGTTTTTAGTATACAGTAATTCCTCGTGAAACGCGGAAGATGCGTTCCCGAAAAATTCTGCGTTAAGTAAAAGACGCGTTGAGTGAAAACTATTACCCAAAAAAAAACGATAACCTTTGGCAAGATACAATGCACAGTTTGTACACACAGTAACTTGGCGGGACAATAACTGCCCTGTTCCTGTATCAATCCGCGTACCATATCACACCTCGCGTCTGCGCAACTCCCCCCCTTTGAAGCGCCGCGTTCCAGCGAAAACGCGTTTTGTGAGTAACGCGTTAAGCGAGGCCTTACCGTAATTACGAGTTGAGCAGAACTCGTGCGTGACGGAAGTCAGGGTGGCGAAGGTCACCTGGAATTTACCCAGCGTCACCTTCGCTCGGAAGACTACCCCCTACCCCCCCCCCCCCAGCAGTTTCCAGGTAGGGCTGAACGATTTGGGGAAAATGCCTAATTGCGATTTTTCTGACATTTTGCGATATGATTTGCGATTACATTTTTTTTAAGTCAAGCTTTAGTTAAATTTTTACTTTGTAATAGATTTAAAACATGTGATGGAGCATTACCACATGATACCATCAAAATATGAACTGCTCTATATGTTCTAGTGCATGGATGAGAACTTAAAATATATTAATTGCTTCCAACATGTATTTATTTAAATGTATTAATTGGAATAGAACACTCAAACATAGAACAATTGTTAAGTTAAATAAATAAAGTTATAATAATACATAATAAAACTATTCCAATAAGAAAGTACACTAATATGACTTTTCAAATCGCAAAAAATTGCAGCCTTTGCGATTTTCTAATCGCATTGTTTCAAATTGCGAATTCGATTTTAAATCCATCAATCGTTCAGCCCTACTTGCAGGGCAGCTGGATGTTACCACTTGCCTCGTGGCACAACAGTGTTTCCTCTCGGGTTCCACGTGCCCCGCCACCAGCATCGCCACGGATCGATCGAGCGAGGAAGCCTTCTCACGCGAGTCCTCTTCCCCCGTGGTTGTGTATCTCGAAAAGTGCCTTTTTAGCCCTCCCGATGTGTTTCCACGTCGTTCCGCGCCTTCTACAGGCACGGCGTCCCGACGTTTTCGCTCCGGCACGGCGACCGAATTTGCAAATGCGGAGACTTTGTAAGGAAGGCGTATCCTGGCGAGCACTTTTCCCCCCGATTCGAATCGGGAGCGACATTGCCCCGTCGCTCCCGAGCGCGTTTAGAAAGCGAGCCGGGCGTTGGATGTGAACTTCATGCAAGACAACAACATCATCACCATGTTTAACGACAGCACGTGCCGTAGCAGCAGCTGTTGTTGAACGAGAAATGTGAGTTGCGCGCGGTTTGAATGCAAAGCGATTTGCCAGTGAGTGACTTCAGCACCCCAGGTCTGGAGAGCGACGCGAATTGCTCAGTGACAGGGGTCTGAATGGCTTCGGGATGCATGTAGATTGTAGAGGATGTACGTTGAACTTATTTCGCACTGTACGTAGCCAATCATGCTTCTCGGAGGTGCAGGGGAAGGACGACGAACTAAACACAAAAGGCCGTTCTAAAGAAATGAATCGGTCGGAAGGGGCGTCTGTGTGTACACAAAAGTTATAATAAGCTTGCGTTCGTCGATTTTATTGTTGTACGCAATTGGACACTTAAGAGCAAACAGGGAAATATGGCATTAAAAAAATATAAGCACAACAAATATGTTTTGCTTTGCTGTAGATTTAATGCAATTAACACACGAAATAAGCCACGCGGGGAGGAAAAGTGGGCCGATATAAAACGTGCGCTTTTCTTAGGGATAATAAAGTTGTAAGGGTTGTGCCCGCACACTTGTTTTCATGGTTTGAACATTTTGGTACACTATAAAGCCATTTTACACTCGCACGTACATGATATGGACAGTTCCTGTTAAAACGTGTCTCTTAATAATATTGCCAGCACGATTCGAATTGCAATACTGCAATGTGAATTGTACAATTTATTCGCAAATATGTCAACTCTTCTCCAGAGCACGTAACATTACCATTCAGGATGATTACAAATGTCTCCAGAAATGACGGAGGCTTACATTAAATTACTAACCAGTCCTCAAAATAACTCATGAGCACGTGAGGTCCTGGAGTAATTTTCCCATTTCTACCATTATTATGCCTGTCTCTATTCAGATTCCTATTTCTTTTGTTCAATCAGTAGTAAAATTCCCAAAATGTGTCTGTTCAGATCAATGCTGAGCAGTGCATGTCGAACAACCGGTCAGTAAGAAGCACAGCGCAGAGGTGAATCAAAATAACACACATCGATAATACTGGTCAACACACTTTTTCTGGCATAAGGTATTCCAACGGTTTTAAGGTAATTTTGGGGTGCTGATTCCAACTCTGGCATCAGTTTTTGTCTATCACATTAGGTTTTTGAGATATCAAATATTGCATTTTTCAATAAAAACTGCAGAAGAAAAATATTAAATAAAAGTGGATATCTTACATAAAATTATATAAAAAACACACTATCCTAAAAATACAGCACCATATTTTAGCACTAAAGCAGTCACTGACTCGCAACAACTTGCAATCATAAAATCAATGAAAATGGGGTATGCCGATAGCATAAACATGAGATGTGATAGCGCAAATCTGAGATCAGACTTGGAATCAGCACCCTGAAATTAGTCTAAAACAGCTGCAAAAGTCCAGGCCAGAATTTTTTGTTGTTGTTGACCAGTGTAATAACTCTGCAGCCAGTGCCACGGCACAGATGTGACATGGGCCTTGATTCAAAGAATGAAATGGGGCCCCCTGTCCAAAAACCCCCTTTTTCATGGCCCCAGTAGCAGGACCCCTCCATCTCATAGGTGCCAGTGTCAGATGCATCTGCACACTCGATCGCTGCACCACTAACTGAATCCATACCTGTGACATGTCCATACCTCAAGCAGAGCCAAGGTGAGGGTCGCCCAGGTGTGGCTGTGTCCCAACACCTACTGCTCCCCCCCCCCACCTCACTCCATCAGTTATGCATCAGCCAACACCTCTTTCATGCGGTTGAGCATCTCACAAAGCATCGTCGTGTGCTGAGGTGACATCACAATTTCCTTGCGACACACAACTTCAACTGTTGGGCATTCGTACATTCGCAAATGAGCACGGAGCACCGACAAGCAGACACGACGGCACCATTGTTTTTGGCAAAAAAGCAAAACCACATGTAACATGTGCCACGCAGTCTCCTCAAATGTCCCTTAACAGCGCCTGAAAGCTACACTGCTACGGTGATAACTTGTGGACAATTCCGTGGTTAAGCGGCGTTAGAAAGGTGAATTATTGCGCTGTTCTTGCAATGACGCAACAAACTAAGGGTGAGGATCGGTGCGATGAGTTGTGCATGGGAACGCGAGAAGTCGTTTTGGTGCGGTGTCGTTATGCCTCTGTAATTGTGGTGCCATTTCCATTACATATACACTGGACAAGGTGACGGTGGTGGGTAGGGAAGCCGATAGTGGCTCACTCATGATGGGAAGGCAGGAAAGTGACTGACCTGGACTGTGACTTCCTTCGATTTAAATTGGATTTCTTAGAAAAGTTCCACATTGCAGTCAACCGCACGCCCGACAATGAGCACCAAGCAACCCAGTCCGGGTTTTCCAGCCACCCGCAGATTATGAAAAATAACCCCCACAGAAATTATGTGTCCCGTTATCACGTGTTCATTAAAGTCTTGGGAGGAAAAAAAACATCATCGACGAGCCTGAACACGGATCATTGTCATACTAGCCGAGAGTCATCTCGTATATTCCTGGTGTCTATGATTTACAGAGCCATTGTAGAAGGCAGGTGGAATTACTTTGTGCGCCCAATCGCATTGTTGTTTGTCATTGAAGCAGAAATATGCGCTGCCAATCCAATAAATGCCGAAATACGTGTGTGCTGCACTTTGTACGCGTCGTCTAATAAGTGGACGGCTGTGATGACTTCAGCTAAATTTAAAATGTGCAGGGGCTGGTTTATTAAAGGATTTGTACTTAAAAAATTGTAGACAGTGCTTAAGATTCCAGCCGACTCTGCCCTGGTCGACAACGCAGCAACATTTTTCCAACGGGGCGCCAACTTTTGGCAAAAACCTCTCGCGATATATCCTCGGCTGCTCGTCGCACGCCGACTCCGGTCGAGCAGCGACCTGGAAATGATTTGGCGAGAGACGAAGGCCCGGACATTGAGCACGTGACGTCGGCGGAGAAGAAGCCTGCTGCTGAGACGAATCCCCTCCGCGCGGCTCAGATTTGCGAGCGGAGCCAGTGGCAGCCGTGCCCGTTGATGTCTCCGCGGCGCTCGCACGCCGCCCCCGCCGCCGCCGCCCGCACGGTCCCTTTGTAGTCGTCCCAGCTCAACTGCACATCGCGCACGGAGATCGCCTGCAGGCCCCTCCTGTCGTCGCAATGGACCTCCTCGCACTTGACGTGGACGGGGCTCGTTTCCGTGCCCTCGGAGAAGGCGCGCGCCTCTTCCGGCGCCGTCCCGCCCGGCCTCTCGGCCACGCGCGCCGCCGCCGCCGCCGCCGGATCCCCCCCCGTGCACCCCGCCCGCGACAGATCGAACGGCTCCACCTGCTCCCAGAACGCCACGATGGCGCCGTCACGACCCCCGTCTTGGGGGGTCACGCGAGGCCCTCGCGGCAACTTGTCCGAGAGCGCCCGAGCTCCGGCTCGCGCGTTCGCCTTCGTCCGGCAGCGCACGCGGTGCTGAATCGCCGCCCGCGCCGCCGACGCCGCTGACGCTGACGACGACGTCGCGGCGGATTGGCGAAACGACGCCTCCAGCGACGCCGGCTCGATGCGGCGGAGGGGGGCGACCGTGACGGAGAGGGGGGGGCCCCCGGCGCGCGGCGCCCACGCGGTGGGGGGCTCCGGCAGGAGCGGCGCCGCGGCGTCGTCGCCGTCCCACGCGGAGCCGTGCGGCGTGCCGTGCTTCATCTTGGTGTGCCGCGTCAGGTTGCCCTTGAGCGTGAACTTGCTGGGGCAGTGCGAGCACTGGAAGGGCTTGCGCGAGGCGTGCAGGTGCAGGTGGCCCATCAGGTTGTGCAGGCGGTTAAACTGCTTCCCGCAGATCTGCCGTCGACAGCGCGGGGTTAGCACAGCGGACGCGCGACTCGGTGCGAGGTTGAACATGCGGCGGTAGCGCGGAGCCCGGTGCAAGGGATGAAATGCGCTCTCCTGTACAATCCACCCCCCTCCCCTTGTGGGGCCCTATGGAGAAGCATGGCCTGATACGAGTATATGCAGCGTACATTGTGTTTAGATGTTTCCATTCACAAGCATGGACTCGGTAATGTTTATGCCAAATATTGAGCTACGTGATTTCTAGGACGCGATTCATATCGCGGCAGGCACTCCGTCCCGATTGTCTACACCTATTAGATGCACGGCCAACGACCACATTACCTCGAATGTGCCCAATTCCACCAGTGCTCAGGAGCTAAGCGGGGATCAGCCCGGATCGTGCGGGGATGGAGTGACCACATTGCATGGCAGGGTGTGGATAGGCTGCAAGAGCAGTGCAGCAAAATCCACTGTTGTCCCGTACTTCTACGCTCACCAACCCCGCACGTGGCAGTGTGGGGAAGCGTGCTCAGGTGACCCCGACTCTCCGCACACCCGGGCGAGGCTCTCCTCATCCAGCAGTTGGATATCGACGAAGGGGGCTGTGCGTGCGTGTGCGTGCGCGTGCGTGCGCGTGCGTTCCCACCGGTGGGGTCGTCACGAGCCGCTGCTCGCAGCGGGGGCTGATGTTCGCACGGGGCGGGGGGGGGGGGGGAAGGGGCTCGTCAAGGGTGAATTGAATCAAACGGCGATGGAGTGACACGCTGAAAGATTTCAGTGATTTATTTGTGTTGCTCTTTATTTTGTAAGTGCACTTTGCGCGCAGGGACGCGTCGGGCCGCCGGGACCTCGGGGCCCGCGTGGTTCTTTTTGTTGTTCGAGGGCCACGAACCGCGGAGCTCGGCGACTGCAAGTGGGGGGGGGGGGTAAGGGGGGGGGGGGCTCGGTTATCGGCGATGGGGGAAGATTGCAAGGGCGGCCGTGGCACATTTATTTACCTCTATCTCGCCTCTCCCATCTATCGGCCTATCCATCCTTCCCTCCGTTGCTCCATTGCCATTGTACACACGTGCCAGTGCTGCACAGGTGCACGTGTACACGCGTGCGTGTTTGCGAGACGCACACGTACGTGGGCGTGGTGGCTAAGGGGCGGTGGCGCAGTGGTTAGCACGCTAGGCGATGTACCGGGCAACCCGAGTTCGATTGCCAGCGACGGCTCCCATCGGTGGCGATCGTCAGAAGCCATCCTGGGCCTCTATGAGCTCGACTTAGCCTTACGTGAAGAACGGGCACGATGTGTGTAGGGCATCTGGTGTGGCCGGAACCAGGTGTCGTCCCGGCCACACCACCACCTCACCCCCTCACCCATTCAGTCCATATGGCTACAGAGGGATGTCTCTCTTTGTGTTTTTTTTTGCACAACACGACTGTGATCCTGTGCTGTTCCACCGCACTTGCTATTGAAAGTGACAATCTGTTTTGGCGTCGGGACTCATGGCACCGTGAGCCACGTTGACAGTAACTCGTGAGCTGGCTAGAGCTTTATTGAGCTGGGACTGCATTTGGATTGAAATGCGATCCACTGAGAGAAGTTGGATCGAGATGTCCGATGTGATCAAACGATTTAATAGGCTTGGCATAGATCAAAGCTGCCGTTGCATTCGTTAAATGTATGTTTTACTGTACACGTTATATATATTTAAATTAATACTAGTTGTAAGTAAACGTGTCTTTCTGATAATGAGCGAATGGAGTGGGCTCGAGCCAGTGACAGATATTCCACATCACTGTGGCAGGGGAAAGTCTCCCCACGGAGAGTGTATTACAGAGTCAGCACTGCCGCTTGCCTACGTCTGCTGTGATTCAGTTCCGTGGGAGGGTGGCCCAATGTGTTAAACGTCTACAGGGACTCATCTACTTACGAACGAGTTAGGTTCCAGAGGTCTCATCTTCTTGGTTCTTTCGGTAAAGTCACGTAGAAGGAAAAAATTAAAATAATAAAAACAAAACATAATACAATTATTCTCACGACGTTTCGGCCACAACGCAAGCAGCCGTCCTCAGTCACTAAAGCTTTAAATCGAAATTGCAGAGGTCTGTTCGTAAGTCGATCTGTCCGCGAGTCCAAGTTTACTCCTGTCGATTCCAAACACGTTGTAGGGCGTGTACACTCAACACGGGAAATGGCTTTAAAAGTTGTATAATCTCCTGTGGATGTAGATACCACTGGCTCCTTACGTTCTGCAGATGCAGATGCCACCACCGCCATCTCTTGCGCAGCGGTTGAACTTACGACTCTCGGTCCGAACAGGCAACTGGACATACGGACCAGGTTTGTTTGTACCTTTGAAAGTTCGTAAGTAGAGGAGTCCCTGAACACCAAATACAGTTCTTGTCCCACTCTTTTTTATCTTTTTGCCCCCCTTTATTGGAACAAACTTCCCCCTCCACGCTAAAAGTCGTCACCTTCGCTCGCTACGTTTCCGCTCCTCACTCAAAGCGCACTTGTTGACCCTGAGCTCACCCCACGACGACTCCTTTCATCTCCCCCTCGTAAACACAACCCTTAGCGTTCCCTTCTTAATATTCTCATTACACGGCTATCACTCATTCACCCCATTCATTCACCCCATTCATTCACTCATTCACCCCATTAATTCATTCACCCCATTAATTCATTCGCCCCATTCATTCACTCATTCACCTTATTCACTCATTCGCTCCATTCATTCACTCATTCACCCCATTCATTAATTTACCCCATTCATTCACCCCATTCATTCATTCACTCCGTTAATGCATTCCACTCATGGTCATTGACTGTCATCAATTTCACCTTCACCGAATTCACGCATCATCGCAGATTCGCCCCCATTACTTCCTTTCCTCTAAATCATTCACCTCGCCTTCACCATTACATTCACACACACACACGTTGTTGTACCGTTGTTCATTCTTTGTAAAGCGCCTTGATCATGGAGCCATATTAAATTCCGTTAAAATAATGACAACTCCAGTAAAAAGGGTTAATTCTGAACAATTACCATAATCACTATCCTCCTCCTCTGTGCTCCTCTCTGTGAGCTTACGCACGTTTATTTTAAATATCGCCAGGATGCAGAGCTCACATTTGTGCTTTTTGCGACGGGAAGTCGGGGCAAAGACAAAAAAAATAGCAAAACGGGGAGGGAGAGAGAGAGAGAACAAAGCGAGAATTTTTTTTAAGACAAATGATTTTTTGACGAAATAACACATTTTGGCAGGATCAAAATTGGAAAAGATGCAAAGAACAGCGCGAGGACAAATAGTGAGGTCATGGGAAGAGGGAAGCTTGGAAGGGAGTGGGGTTTGGAGAGGCGACTGGGAGCGGGAAGTCGGCGAGGGAGGGACCTCCTTCCGAAAGCACTCATTGCCGGCCGCAGTGCGCCACGGGGCCTCGAGACTCCGCGCAAAAACAGCTCCGTGCCAGGAGACGCCAGGAGACGTTTGCTGATGCCGCTGCGTGCGGGCGCAAACGTCGCAGCGGCCGGGCCGCCAGCCCAGCCTGCCTGCCTCGCGTCCAGCATTTTACATATTTACGTTTTCCCGAGGTCGTTTTTATTTCGCCTGGTTTTTCTGTTTCATTCACCCGAAGTTGTATTCGCAGGTGCGCCGTTGGCGTCGCGTGATCGTCCACGTGAAGTGTCCGTTACAAACTCGTGGTTTCGTGAGCAGCACATCGCCCTCCGTGTTATGAGAGACTGGTCCGCGGAAGGCGATGTCGCAGAACTACTTCTGAGAACCCTCCGAGCGGCATTTTAATTCAACGATGCCGAGGGCGCTGCACTTTTCCCGCACGCCCTGCCCTGCAGAAATGTTCGTCGCATGGCAGTAGAACCAAAAATGTGAATAATTCTCAGCTGGAATTTAGCGAAATAAACCAACAGAAATGTATTCAGTGTGGTGCATTTTTTGCACAATCATTAGAGACGAGGCTGTGGGCATAAACTCCCTGCACTTGAGAAACCGAGTCAATGGCTCCTCAGTGCTCTGACACGACGATTTTAACCCCCCTAAGCCACCAAGTAGAGCCCTCCATCGGACCAGATACCCACGATACCCGCAGGTGACCCGCAAAGCGGGAGGGCCGAATCTAATGCTGCATCTTCTTGGTTCTTTCGGTAAAGTCACATAGAAGGGAAGTAATCAAATAATAAAAATAAAACATAATAAAACAATTCTCACGATGTTTCGGCCACAACGCAAGCAGCCGTCCTCAGGTGAAAACCAGGTCTGTCGAGGCGACAGCGTCTGAATGAACTGGTTTTCACCTGAGGACGGCTGCTTGCGTTGTGGCCGAAACGTCGTGAGAATTGTTTTTATTATGTTTTATTTTTATTATTTTATTACTTCCCTTCTACGTGACTTTACCGAAAGAACCAAGAAGATGAATCCCTGCAGTCACGAAAGCTTTAAATCGAAATCTGCTGCTGCATGTTCACGGCGTGCCGCTCGGATGCGGGACGGACGCGACGCGACGAATGTGAGCCCGGGCCACACGACCGGCCGTGAACACGACTTGGCTCCGACCCACTTTGCCGATGACCCGCATCTCCTGGCGGGTACCCGGCCCGACGCCGGACTCGACCTCAAGTCCCCTCGCCCTGTGTAGTCGTTCGCCACTGCACGCAGCAGGCGAAGCCACTGCTCCTCGACGTTCCACTCGGTCCTGGCTCAACGCTCGCCACTAAAGCAACCGATCGGGAGGCTAGCTCTTATTCTTTGGTTCTTTCGGTTAAGTCACGTCTAAAGATAAAATAATAAATTAAATAATTGCATATTACGACGTTTCGATTGCAACACAAGCAATCATCATCAGGCATAAAAGAAATAGCAACAAAAAACTAACTAGAAAACTATAGACAGACATACAAGCAGACAGACATCACGAGGACACACAGAGAGAGGACACATATCGGCACAAAGAGAGAGGTCGTTTCTGTGACGGTGCCTTAAATTTTCTAGTTAGATTTTTGTTGCTATTTCTTTTATGCCTGATGATGATTGCTTGTGTTGCAATCGAAACGTCGTAATATGCTATTATTTAATTTATTATTTTATCTTTAGACGTGACTTAACCGAAAGAACCAAAGAATAATTCCTGCAGTCACGAAAGCTCCAAAATTAAGGCTAGCTCTTGCTTGTTCCCCATCTACGCACGGACTTGAGGCCACCATTTCTCGAATGAAGAGATCTTGACAGCAGGCCGGCAGTCGAGTCACCTCCGTCTGTCAATCTGATTGGACGCTGCCGTCCCAGTTGCGCCCTGGGGGGAGCTGCAATCAGATTTTTTCAGATTTTAGCGAAACTAAATTCGGGCCGCGAAGATTTCTGCTCAACTCTGCGCCGGTGGAGCCCAGCTGTTATCGGGGTCGAGGTGGGGAGGAGCAGTTGGGGTGGGGGGGGGTAGATGGCACAGGGCCTCACCTTGCAGTGGAAGGGCTTGCTGTCTGAGTGGACGATCATGTGCGCCTTGAGCGTCTGCTTCTGCGTGAACGCCTTGTGGCACAGGTGGCAATGGTAGGCGCGCACGTTGGTGTGAGTCAGCTGGTGGCGCTTCATGTTGGCCTGCAGGGTGAACCCGCGTCCGCACACGCCGCACTTGTGTTCCTTGATGCCCTGCGGGGAGAGCCGACAGCGTCAGCGGCGGCGGCGATGGTCGTGAGCAGAGCAAAGCCAAAGTTTGGGGCCCGCGGAAGGAATTAGTAAATGAACGCACGCATCAAACACGAGTGAACGTACCAAGTCAATTAACATATACAAATCTAATTTGTCGTCATCATCATCATCACGATTCATGGACAGAAAGCACGTAATATTTTGTCATTTGTTTCCACTTTACCCTGTCCTATGCTCAAGTAGTGGCCACATCTTTCTGGCACCAATCTCTTACGGTGTCGTCCTCAAGCCATTCTCGGTTTGGCTTTCCTCTCTTTCTGCGTCCTTACATTTTTCGAACAACAAACACACTTCAAATTTCCCAGTTGTTGTCCATCCTCCATATAATTCATCTCTGTAATCTCTATCTGGTCTGCATCTCTCTTCTCTTATCTTACTCGAGTACATTTTTAGGTTTGTCCACATTCTGTTTATTTTTGCTACGTCTCTTTCTGCAATCATCTCTCTCGGATTTCACCATTTTAAGGGGGGGGGGGGTGGGGAGACGAATTGACAACGCCGCGCCCCCCTCTGTCACTGTGTGTGTGGATCGGCTCTCTGCTGCCAGAGCAGTGGACACCTGGACGAATGAGGGCTGTGTCTGATCCCTCGGCTGATGTGGCGCCTCTTGCCGAGTGGGACCACGAGCTCAGACAGGAAGAGGGGAGGGGAGGTTAGGGGGGTGCTGCCGTTCCCCACGCTTTGCTCGTCGATCAGCGCGCGGCATCAGCTGTGGTCGTGCTGCCGTGCGGTGCGTGCCTGCGATCCGCTTGCCCTGGAGCCCCATGGGGTTGGTGGAACGTGTCGAGAAATTGTGAAACTCGCGAAGATGGCCCGGGAGATGGTAACACAGCGAGTTGGTGGTTCTCCTGCACCTCCGATTGGCATGGTTGGCTACGTACGGCGCGATGGAAGTTCAACATAACACACGTGATGTTTTGTTTGCCGTTCGCTCGGCAACGCCACGAAAGACTCACAAACGAAGCGGGTCCATCACGCTCGTCCGTCCCTCTCTGTCTCCCTCTCATCCCCTCTCATTCCCTCTCTATCCCTCGGCCTCCCTCTCTTCCTCTCTCCGAGTCGTTGGCCGGGCGCGATCTCGAGTCCGCCCCGCCAGCATCCGTGTCGACTTGGGCCGTGAGAAAAACTTATCTGCCTCCCGCCCACACAAACACACGTTACCCCCCCCTCCCTCTCTCTCCCTCCCCGAGCCCCTTTCCGCTAATAACCTAACGCCCCTTTGGTTCCATATCTCCCGTGCTCTCTCCCCTTCTCCTTTCCTTCCTTCCTGGCTCCATTGTTTTTCGAGCCGCCCCATCAGCCTTTCTCAGGCCCTCTTGCGGCAGCCCCCATCCCACTCCCAGTTCCCACGTTCCGTGCTCCTCATCGTCCCGCTGTCACCCGCCCGCCCGCCCGTCGAAGCGCCACGCCTGCCACATTCTTGATCTTCCCTTTCAGCGGATAAAGTGAGACGTGTGGGGGGGGGGGGGGCAAAGGGGAAACCGGGGGGGGGGAGGGGCGGGGGGGGGATTTGTGCGGCGAGGGGCCAAATGTGATCCCCTTTTGTGAAGAGGAAATATCGGCAGCAGGAGTAGCGGTAGTCGGGTCTCATTTGTAATAAAAACAAATATATACATGAATCTACAGCCATAATAGAGGTGTTTTGGGGGGTTAGATCATGTAAATGTGTCGTTAAACCCACCACCACCCGACACAGACAATTAGTAAGGTTCAATTTCGATTTAAAGCTTTCGTGACTGCAGGGATTCATCTTCTTGGTTCTTTCGGTAAAGTCACGTAGAAGAGAAGTAATAAAATAATAAAAATAAAACATAATAAAATAATTCTCACGACGTTTCGGCCACAACGCAAGCAGCCGTCCTCACCTGTAAGGTTCGTCACGTAAACAGAACATGCCAATAGTAACGAATTGGCACGTTCTGTTTACGTGACAAACCTTGCTAATTGGCTGTGTCAGGTGGTGGCGGGTTTAACAACACATTGATATTTACGCGATCTAACTGAAAAACCTATTATGGATGATATTGGTCGTGGAAGCATACGTGTTAAACGAATCTATAGCCCTTTATCAATCTACAGGTGGATGAAGTCATCCCACGCTTATGTCGGCCGTAGGGGTTGTTTCACCACACCTCACCATACTTCACCATGCTGATCAGTGCGGGTTCGTGAAGCCGGATGCAGGACGAGTTCTGATATCGCTCGCCACTGACTTCAACCGTGGCTGGGAATGAAACTCGTGGCACAGCACGCTAACCACTGCGCCACTGCTCCACCCCAGTGACACACACTTATCTTCAAATGTCCCATCACGTTGTACTTTAGCAGTCAACTCCTTCTTCCTAACTCAACTATTTAGCATTTTATTTTATTTTACCAGGCAAGGCCAACTGAGCTATGTAGCCCTTTTTCAGAAGCAACCTCGACACAAATGATAGCTCAACGAAGTAGCTTATCACGTGGAAGTGTATAGCAGCCAAATACACTAAACGCGTGTTTTCTAATGTGGAAGAAATAAACCCGGAGGGCTTGGAGAACTTCCACGCAACTACACAGAGAGAGCGTGCCAACTCCAAATACAGAGGCGTCAGGGTTCGCGATCGAACCCATGACCTGTATACGAGGCGCGAGGTAGTTGACGTCTCGCCACCGTGGCGCCCTATGCGTGCAGGTTGGTGAATGGGTTAGGGTGTGGGGAGCACGGCCAGAGATGCGGTGCAGGATTGGATCCACTGTCACTGTTCTGACCGGGAATCGAACTTGCACATATTCTTGGGTTTTTTCGGTAAAGTCACGTAGGTAAAAAAAAAAATTAATAAAAGTAAAAAAAAAGATGATAGTGATAGCTGTATCAAGTGATAGCTGTATCAAGTGATACAGCTATCGTGCTGTGACGGTTCCACCTGAAGACGGAAGCTTGTGTTGCCTCCGAAACGTCGTGATTTTTATTTTATTTTTATTTAACTTTTATTAATTTAAATTAAAAAAATTTACCTACGTAACTTTACCGACAAAACCTAAGAATATGAATCCTTGCAGTCACGAAAGCTTCAAATCTAAAACTTGCACATCTATGGTCCGGCTTGAAGCTGCGACCTGAAAACAACGCGGGAGGTTTCGTCCGTGAGAAACTGTGCAGCTGAGACGGCCGCAGAGGAACCTGTGACCATGATTACATCCCTTATTGTGCGAATTTGGGCAGGTGCGATTATAAACTTTTACCGCCGCACGTGTGCGCCCCATAAGGAAACCTACAAAACCTCGTAAACTTTCACAGGCTGCACTGCAGAAGGGTGTAAAATGCTCACATTTCCTTCTCTGCGTGTGAACAAAAACTATCCCGCAGCGCGTGCAAAGCGGCGCATGGAATGATGCCAATCCCGTGCTGGTGGACCGCTCAACGTGTCCTCGGTTCGACGCAGGCGAAGCTAAACGTCGCAGGGTGTTAGCGTCTGTGCTCCGAGCCAAGTGCTGATGATGGAATGGCAGCAACGGCAAAAATAACCGGGGCCTGCAATTGCCTCGTCCGCACGGAATGTAACTAGGCTTGTTGGTTTCAGTGAGCAATGCGCGAGCCGCTACAATCGTGGCCTCCATACGTCCAGGATAAAAAAGTAAATAAAGGACGTTTATCTTCTTGGTTCTTTCGGTAAAGTCACGTAGAAGGGAAATAATAAAATAATAAAAAAAAACATAATAAAATTATATGTTAAATTTCCATTATTTTATTATTTCCCTTCTACGTGACTTTACCGAAAGAACCAAGAAGATGAATCCCTGCAGTCACGAAAGCTTTAAATCGAAAAAGGACGTTTACTCACTCGTACCCTATCCACTGGCGGTTGCAGGCCTTTGAGTTGAGCAGGATAAGTTGCCTCGGTAACCCAAGGGACGAACGATTGTTTTGGAGGGAGAAAAATGCCGAGAGAAGCTAAATAATAATCCGAAAACGGAACTTGGATGAAAAGAAGAAGTTCCATGCGACCGGAGAAGAAAATTTACTGCGATGGCATAAAACATTTATTATAAGCAGAAGTTGAAGCTGGGAGGGAGGGAGGGAGTTAGGAACAAAAGTGTTCAAAGAATAATTTGGGCTCATCAGCAAGTATTCCAGTGACGAATTGCACAAGCTAATATCTTGAAAATGTCATAACCCGTCATCGCCATCATCATCATGATCACGATCCGTGGGCAGACAGCCCGTTGGTGTCCACTGCACAATTTGTCATCTGTTTCCACTTTCCTCCGTCTCGTGCCAACATGCTCAAGGAGTGGCCACATCATGGGACCTCCTTTGCCAAAATATGAGAATAGGGTTTCCCCTTTTTTCTGGCAACAAAACAACTGTGTTAAGATGTTTAAACGCCAAACTGAAAAATTTTACAAGGAATCATGTCTGCACGCCTTTTGGCGTCCTCTGGTCTATCACCTTTTGAGACGAGGCTCCAAAGAAAGCTGTCTCTGGTGTGGACCAATCAGTTTCAAGGACGATGCACATATTATCAGAGTATGTTTTTTGTTTGCATTCTGACCACAAGTATTGTGGTTAATGCAGACATGAGTCCCTGTAAAATGTTTCAGTTTGGTGTTTTAACATCTTAACACCTGTTTTGTTGCCAGAAAAAGGGGAAAACCTATTCTCATAGAGTGGCCACATCTGACTGGCACCAATCTCTTACGATCTCGTCAAGCCATTCTGTGTTACGTTTTCCTCTCTTTCCTATTCCTTACATTTCCCCCCCGACCAACAACAACAACACACTTTAAATGCTCCTGTTGTTGTCCATCCTACATGTACAATGTGTCCAAATCGTGCCAGTTTCCTTCTCATCACTGCCTGCATCATCAGGTTGTCTTCTTCAACGTGCAACCTTTGTCTTACCTCTACGTTTGAACACTCTGTGGGTCCAGTTTCGATGCAGCCTCCTTCTATAACAACACATTTCGAGTGCCAATATCATAGCTCTGTCAGTCGTGTCGTAACCTGCGTGCTTCACGTTCATCTCAATACAAAGTAGATCGTGGGGTTTAACGACATCTTCACTTCTCGCCCTCGAGGTGTTTTCCGGTACGGACTGTGGAATAGGTCTTTTTCATCCAACCAACACAAACGTTTATGATATTTCACGAGTTAAAAAATAAACATCGAACAAATCGTTCTACATAGAATCGTTCATGCAAATTGCATCTGACGATCGCGGAGGAACAAACAGACCAAGCTGGAAGTCTGCCAGGCGATGAGCCGGTGCCAACAATTGTTCTGCAGTTCCCTACATATTAAGATGTTCTCGGCAAATTCGTGAGTGTTTATACACGCGGCAGGAAACCGGAGCACCTGGAGAAAATCGACGCGTGTGAGGGCGCAACGCTGTATCCCAGACAGCAGGGGCAGCTTATATCAGTCCACACTTTGCTGTGCTGCATTGTGCCGGTGAGCCCAGGGCAAGAGCGTCTCCTCGATCTCCACGGGAAGAGAGTCTCTCAACATTCATTATTTAATCGGTGATCCGCCAAGCCCTCACTGTCTCCACAGTGCTGGATTACAAGCCGCGCGCGTAGCCACCACGTATTCCCTTTGTGTGAAAAAAAATATAAAGACACGGAAAAAATATTTCAAACGGATGGAGATTGAGCGGTGCACAGTGGTTCGTGCGCTGCGCTGTGAATGCGACAAAGTCCACCTTGATTCGCAGCCACAATGAACGTCGGTGGCGAGTGATAACAAACCCACACTGAGCAGTGTGTGGGGAAGTATGGTCAGACAATGAACGTGACCCACAAGGCCTCGGGAGGCTTGCATCCGGCAGTTTGATTGACAAATGGCTGCACGTTACATTACTTACAACTGGCAGTGAACACGGTGACGTCTTTTTTTTATGAAAAAGAGAATAGATAACACAAGATTTAATTTTCACCGGCTTCGTCTTGTGACATTCTCATTTACAGACGGGGGGGCAGTGTTTTAATGAGTGAAGTCGCACTCACGCAGCTGTCTACCGATGGAAATTATACATTTTCATCACGAGATGTTTGTACCCCGTACTGTATGTAAAATAAGATTTCACAGCTCTAGTGGCCGCCTTTTGTAGGAACGTGGTCATTTTTTTTTGTTTGGCCACGCTTCGTGATATTGCGTGCTTCACGAAATGTGCATGGAAGTTTACTCAAAGTTGCGTGTAACGAGGGAGACGGATCATGCGCGGATTCTGTAACGATTTGCAACGCGCGTTTGTTCTCGGAAGAGTTTAAATTAGCGATAATAACTCTCGCCTTTCGAGCCGAGCAAACGGCATCACGCGGTGCGAACCTTTCATCACTGTGTGTGGTTTCCTTCAGGTTACGGTCCACAGTGTAACACACCCTCATTCTAAAACGTTATTTATATTTAACCATCTTCACAAGGTATACCGTGGCTCCCGTTACAAACGGACCGAGCTGATTCATTATTGCTTTCAACCTTGGTTGGAGGGCATGAACAAGGGAAGGGACCTCGACAGATGGCAAACGGCTTGTGCCTCCATCCAGCAGTGGAGTGATGACGGCTAATCGATGACGACGATGATGATGACCGTGTGGCGGGGGCTTTCCTGGGGAAGTGCCCTTTGGGAATGACGCGAGATCGGTGGCGCTACCTCCTCACCTCGTCCACCCGCCTCACCTTGTGGATGAGCATGTGCTGCTTGAGGTGGTGCGACTGCACGAACTCCATGCCGCACTCGGTGCAGATGTGCGGCCGCTCCCCCTTGTGCTTGAGCTCGTGGTTGTGCAGCTGGCTGCGGTACTGAAACGTCTTCCCGCACTCCCCGCACGGGAAGCCGTCGCGCGGCTCTGCCGGCGCTCCATGCTGTCCGTGGTGCTGAATGCCACCGCCGCCAACACCGTGGTGGTGGTGGTGACGCACGGCGCGGCCTCGGTGCTGCTGGTGCACCGTGGCCTTGTGCCTCCGCAGCAGGGCGGCGCTCGCGAAGGACACCCCACACGCCGCGCACCGGCGCTCCGAGCCGGGCGCGGGCCCCGCGTCCCCGCCCGAGGCCGACGCCGACGCCGCCGCCACCGACGCCGCCGACGCCGCCGCCGACGCCGCCGACGCGACGTGCCGGCTCTGGTGCGCGCGCAGCTCGCTGGGGTAGGCGAAGCCGCGGCCGCACACGCCGCAGTTGTAAGGCCGCACGGCGCTGTGCTGCATGAGGTGCCTCTTGAGGTGGCTCGTCTGCGTGAAGGCACGGCCGCACACGTGGCAGCGGTGGGGACGCGCGCCGGCGTGCGTGAGCCGGTGCGTGTTGAGGTGGCTCAGCTGCTTGAAGAGCTTGCCGCACTGGGTGCACGCGTGCGGCTTGACGCCGCTGTGGCCCAGCACGTGCGTGACCAGGTTGTACTTGGAGGTGTAGGACTTCTCGCAGAGGCGGCACTGCCAGCGCCGCTGCCCGTCGGCCGTCTCCACGCAGTGGGAGTCGTCGATGCGGTCGCTCACGTCCACGCGGTCCACGGGCGCCGGCTCGCAGGGCTCGGACCGGCCCTTCCGCCGAGGCCACTTCTCGTCCTGCGGCGGCAGGCGGGTTTCGCCCTCCCCGTCCGAGCGCGACGCCGCGTCGGCGGCCGTCGGCGGCGCGCGTCTGTCCGCGGCCGGGGGCCTCCCGTTGCGCTCGACCTTCGGGTGCCGTCCCAGCCGCTCGGCCACCTCCCTGCGGTAGCCCCACACCTGGGCCAAGTGGAAGCTGTTGAGCATCATCTGCTGCAGGTCGATCATGGGGGGGTTGATCGGGGGCCCCCATGACAGGGGCTGCCCGGCGCTCGTGCTTTCCAGCGGCCCGTCGCAAGGACTGGACCCGTTGTAGAAGCCGGACACATCGTAAGGGCCAGAGCCGTTGCAGGGAACGGATACCTCATAAAGACCAGCGCCGTTGCAGGGGCTGGGTTCGTTGGAGGAGCTGAGTTCATCGGCGCGGCCGAGTTCCTCGGAGTGGCTGAGTTCATTGGAGTAGCTGATTTCGTCGGAAGAGTGGCTGGGTTCATTGGAGCGGCCGGGTTCATCGGAGGAGTGGCCGGATTCTATGGAATGGCCGAGTTCATCGGAGGAGTGGCTGGGTTCATCAGAAGAGTGGTCTTGTTCATCGGAGCGACAGGGTTCATCGGAGGAGCGGGCGGGTTGATCGGAGCGGCCGGGTTCATCGTAGGAGTGGCCGGATTTGTCGCAAGGGCTGGAGGAGTCTTCTTCGCAACGGCTGGGCTCATCGCAAGGGCTGCCCACGGCATCCTGGCCGGGGCCCGGGCTGCGATGGACCAGCTTGTTGGGACGCCTCTTGCGCTTGCGAGAGCCGCACTCGCCGGCCGTGGAGCGGCCCTCGGAGTCGGGCTTGGGGGAGCCTCCTCCGGGCCCGTGGGGCGACGCGCAGCACTGCCCCGGGTCGTCCGGGTCGTACTGAGTGGCCGCCTCCTTAAACTCCCTGGTGCCGAATTGGCTGCGCGAGGCCTCCTGTGTGCAGGGAAGACGCCTTTTTTAACAAAGCAATTATTTACATATATTTAAAATAGTGACACTGCAAAAAGCTGCAGCATTTTAAAGTCAGAGAGGAGAGAGGGGGCTTTCAAAAAAGTTGACATGAAGGCCCTATGCTTTTATATTTTTTATCGGTTTTTTCTGTGTTGGTTGAAAATGTTTCTTCCAGTCCTCAGGGACACAATCTGAGAACTTCAAACACGTCGAGTGTGTATGCGTTTGCGCGCGTGCGAGCGAGCGTGCGTGTGCATGGGAAGCAAAAGTGTCGTGGTTGTCACAATGCGCCACGAACCCGGTGACCCGTTTTCAATTCCGGCTCGTGACCAATACCAGTGGCGAATATTTGAACTGGTCCTGGGCCCTACCCGAGGTCGACAAAGCGTTAAATAAGTATGCGGTCTGTAAACATCGCCACTGGGGAGACAAAGGCGTGTGCCGTGTCGTCCTTCATAGCCACTCATTAACAGGGCTTACCCCAACATTCTCTTGAAGGCCATGCGGGGAGGGGGGAATTTTTGTCTTTGCGCACACACGTGTGTGTGTGTGTGTGCGCGCGCAGGCGATGATATGGTGGGAAGAGAAAGGTGGCATAGTGGTTTGTGCGCTGCGTTATAAACTCCCGTGACCTGGGTTTTTATTCCGGGCCGCAAAATAATACGAGCGGCAAGTGAAAATTGAACATCTTCTGGGCCTCTTGTAGGTCGACTCGGCCTTAAATGCGTGTCTGGCATTGCGGTGTGTGGCCGCCGGCACTGGTGAGGCGGTCGTTGCCAGGCAAGGTTATCGGCCACGTCGCTGATCGCGAACATGGGGGAGATCTTTGCCTTTGAGCACAATACCATGTAGAACAAATATTCACACGTGGGGAATTACCCTGCAAGGTTACGTGGTCATTGCGCGTGGTCGTTTTGTTTGATGTTGCGACGAGACCGCTTTTATGTTTACGCTTTATGGGCACATCTGGAAGGGCCACTGAGCAAAAAGATGTCACCCGTTATAAATACGTTTATTTTAATTGTAATGGTAGCGTTAATGATGAATGTGTTGACAGTAGTTTGGCTCGAGCAAAGCTCCGTATTTGATTGATATGACGGCACTAACACCTCGTAGGCGAGTTTGATTGAGTTTGCGCATGTAGAGTAAGAGCGCCTCCCTGCTCCAACAAGCACGTGATGGCTCTCCTTTGCAGTTATGCCCTAAAGCCATTGGTGGAATTTCCGCATTGTTTTTTCACACATTGTGCTTTGCCCCCTGATTTTATTTATATTTTTTTGCAATTGGCGTGACATCTTGAGATAAAGACGCCACCGGAAATCTCAAAAAGCGGTTGCGAACCCCCGTATTATATAATGGCCCACAGAAGCGGATGTCACAGAACTACTTCTGAGACCCCTTCAAGTGGCCTCTGGTGCACACAGCAGGAGGCAGCAATTTCCGACCCACGCTGCCACTGAGTCATGTTTGTCACCTGACAGCCAAACCGATAGAAATATTTAATTCTCAGCGGTGGAATTTATCCGAATTAGTTGCGAATCCAAATTTGAATATGACTCATTTTCTCCAGGTAGTTTATACAGTCATTGTTTGGTCGGTCTGAGACCATCAACTTGCTACACTGGAGAACTCGAACTTATCACAGACGGCTGCCTGGATTCAAACCCAGGATCTCAGTGGTGCCAAGTCGGCCTGGCGAGCTTGAAAAATGCCGCGGTGTTTACTTTCTGTCGTCGACTTAGCTATCCATAGCCCAGTTTGGAAGCGACTCCCGTCGGAGTGGAACTCAACTTCCACTCAATTGCAGAGGGGGTTCCGACGGTCTGACAAGAACGGGTCAAGGAGCGCGCACACAGAGAGAGCGCGGCTGCGATGGAGATCGGTGGCCACCACGCGCGCGCCAGCGCCCCACGAACGTGGGATTTTTGCACACAGCGTTGGTGTACGGTGCTTTTTCTGCAATATTTTGCTGTCTTTTCTTGGATTTTTAGTTTGCACTCAGTCACATATTCACTTTAAGATGTTTTTTGTTCATGTTTTTGTTTTTTGTTTGTTGCGGTTGCACCCGATTCAAGAGCCGAATGGCTCACAGGGCTATACCAAATAACTTGAACTTGAACTTGAACGTGCCCGCGAGCATTTACCCGAGCGTCTTCGGCGTGGTGGGGCACGTCCGTCGTCTGCGTTGACGCCTCCGCTGTCAGAGCCATGGCGAGGTGGGCGGCATCGCCACCCCCGCCCGCCGCCCCTGCGCACAGAAACCCGTCCGTGCTCAGCTCGTGAATTATGAATCGGCAAGCAGAGAGAGAGAGAGGCTTTTAATTGCAATAATTCAAAATAAAACGGGGCCTCTTGTGAGCCTCCGCCGGTGAGAGGAGCGTGCCGGGCGGCCGTCTCCTGCGTGTGACGTTCCCATCGGGGGGGACTGGGGGGGAGGGGGGGGCCTGGGGAGAAAGCGCCGGTGGGGGCTCTGGGGTGGCTATCGGATGGGGGATTTAGAGCTCGAGAAATGCCAAGGAGGCAAAGAGGCAACTGCGGGTGGGCTCTCATTTGAGCAGATATTAACCCCCCCCACCCTGCCACCCCTCCTCCTTCCGCGAGAGGAGACGAGGTGTCAACATTTATATAATCACGTCGCAAACGAGCGCGACGATTAAAACGAGAGAAGCGGGGACGTCGCCCGTCCGACCCGCTGGGAGAGCCGAGGAGCAGGCGGTTCGCGTGACGAGTTGGGAACAATGTTCATATCCCCATAGGGAGGTGGCAGTGGCACCGCGCGCTAAATAGGTTAGCGGACAGAATAAAGCGCCAACCGCTTTAAACAGGGCGAAGTGCTTCTCGGCGTACTTCAGAAGTGAGCGAACGTAATGCGAGATTGAGAATGCTTCGCTGAACATGACATGGTCAGATGTAGGAGCAACTTCAGCAAGCGACGGTCCCACCGCATCGCGCGCTCACATTGCACTTGGCTGTGGACGGTTCATGGGTCGGGGCCCAACGTGTGGCGCGTGACGTGTGGCACATACGTGTGGCGCATACGTGTTGCACATACGTGGTACGTACCTGTGGCACGTACGTGTGGCACATACCTGGCACGTGCGTATGGGGCATACGTGTAGTGGCCCATATGTGTGGCGCATAAGTGTGATGTGTGGCACATACGTTGGTGGCCCAGATGTGCAATTGTTTCCAGTTTGTAATTTGGGGCTGTCCGCAAAGACTTTGACCGCGTTGGGTAGCTGTGCCCTGCACCCTCCCTCCTCTCTCTCTCTCCCTGTGTCGCACAGCAAAATAAGCGTCCGTTGTTAACTGCAATCGAATTAGCAGCAGCAGCGTTTAGTTAATCCGCGAGGGAAGTGTGCTTCGATTGCACCTGCAGTGCGTCAGCGGGAACGGGGCTATTAATACAAACTGTTCTCTGTGAGCCGCTTGCCATCCCAATTATCATTTAACATTTATCTGAGAGAGAAAAAAAAAGCGAAATGTTAATAGCTTTGATGGCGTTGTCTCCCACTTGAGGAGCGGTGGTGCAGCGGTTAGCGCTACGCTGCGCTCAGAACCTGGCGACCCGGGTTCGATTCCTGCTCACGGCCAACACCAGTGACGATTATCTGAACCGGTCATGGGCCTCCCCTAGGTAGACTCGGCCTCAAATGAGTACCTAGAACGGTGTGTAAACATCGCCACTAGGGAGACAAAGGCGGCCGGGCGTGGTGTTAGCCACCCACTCCCTTGTGTGCCGTGCCGGCCTTTATAGGATGCTCGCTAAAAGCACTTGTCCCAACAGCTTGTTCAAGCTATACGGGGGATATTTGTCTTACTAGTACGTACATATGTATGTCTGTTGAACTTCTTTCGCACCGCACGTAGCCAAACGTGCTAATCCGAGGTGCATGAGAAGAGGGAACTTGGAAGGCATCTCAAACATAACTCTGTGATATCCGCTTACGCTGACCATTCTCCGGCACGATGGGTCGTGCTCTTCTGCAAGAGTTCTCAGCGGGGACCAGAGGTCGCAAACGGGTTTTGATTCCTTACCCGTACCCGTACCCGGCCGCACCAGGGTCGCAAACGGCTACCCGGCTACCCGTACCCGGCCGGGTACGGGTACGGGTAGCCGGGTATCGGGTAGGGTACGGGTATCGGGTACCCGGTTGCGACCTCTGGCGGGGACACCACGGCCTCGCCTCGTGGCGCGATGCCGATGGCACAATCCGGACGGCGGCGAGCGGCCTCGTGAAGAGGGGGGGGGGGGGGCTCTGGGGGGCCGAGTGGTTGTCACGGCGGCCAGCACTCCGTGCTGTGAGCTTCGCGCTGTTTGTTGAATTGTGCGGCCGAGGACGCGCCCAGTTTGTCCGTGCACGAGAGCCGTGAGCGGTTCGCATCCGTGGTAGAGGTTTTAGTTGGGTTCGATCGCGTGAAATGTAAATGCGTCGTTAAGCTCCGCCACGTGCCCAGCACAGGCAATTAGTAAGGTTTGTCACGTGTGCTGAACTAGAAACGCAGTGGCTTGTTTTGTTAACGTGACAAACCTTGCTAATTGATCGTGTCGGGTGGTGGAGGGTTTAACGACACATTTATATTCACGCCATCTAACGAACAAAAAACCTCGGGAACGGAACCCGTTCGCAAGTCGGGGACCGCCCGCGTTCGTCATTTCCGAAGATTCTAAACGAATTATTCCGAGTGCGGTCTCAGCGTATGCCAATCACATGCCGGCCCCACCCCCTCCCGTGCTCCCGTGCGTTTCTCCGGTGGCCGAGACACGGACGCAGACGCGGGGACGAACAAGGCTCACGCCGGCGCCACGAACGAGGAAGAGTTGCCGTGCACAGCCGTTCCGCAACGTGACCACGGGCCGCGCAAACTCTAAAAAAAATCTCTAAACAAGCTGCGGCTTATCGGCCAAAACAAGCTCTCCCCCCCCGCCCCCCATCCCGTTCGCCCCCTCGGTAACAACCGGCAGAGGCCACATGTCGGCTCCCCGCAAGATTTTTTGGAACGGGGTTGGGGGTGGGGGGGGGGAGCGGGTGGGCGTATCGGCCTCGCCAGAAGGGGTGGGACGCTGCCTCGCTGGATAACACGGCAGCCCCCGCGCCAAGGGGGGGGGGGGGGGGGCTCCACCTGATAGCATCGCTCGCAATTAGTTCCTGCTGATAGCCGTGCCAGCCCATGCCGCACGAGCACACACACCGAGCACGATGTACACGCTCGCCCCTCGCCCCCCCAACCCCCCAACCCCCCACCTCCCCCCGACCCCGCCTCCCTTCCCCCCCACCCCCCCTTGCCCCTCCCGCCCCCCCCCCTTTCTTTCCCCCGCCCTCTACTTTCCCCCCACCCCCGCTGCCCCCCCATCTCCCCTTGCCCCCCCATTTCCCTCCAACACCACCTCCCCTTTCCCCCCCCCCACCCCCACTTCCCCCCTCCCCCCACCTCCCCGGCTTGCACGTGATCACCTCTACCTCTGAAACGCACGAACTGCCTGGCGCCTGCGCACCTGCTGGGTCTGTGCACGTTCGAGTTAAGCGCCAATCGCGCGCTGTCGTGTTCAGTGACAATCATCGTCGCGCCTAAGTTTGGCGTTGTTCCGAGCGGGCATGGCGACCCGTTCTCGGGCGTACCGTCGTTCGACCCCCCCCCCTTCCCGCAGGACTTGGGATGAGTCGGGGACGTTGTTGGGATTGCTGTTCTCGGCAGAGACAATTATAGATCACGACGTTTCGATCGCAACAGGTGAAGCCGATCGCTTGTTGTTGCGATCGAAACTTCGTGATCTATTATTTTTATTTTCTACCCACGTGACTTTACCGAAAGAACTAGAGTATGAATTCCTGCAGTTACGAAAGCCTCAAATCAACATCAATAAATACGCTTTGACGAGCGCGATTCGACGCACGTTATCGTGAGCGTCGGCTGCGTACACGCATCGCGTAGGTAAGGAATGGTTAATAAGGCCAAAGCAACAGACCGCCGAGTTAATAATTTTAAAGACGCGCGTAAGCATATTTAACATTTTAGAAAGTTCACCGCCGTAGAAGTTGACCGTGATTATAAATCGGCGCGAGTCGGCAGCGGTGCCGATATCCCTCTCCCGTGTGATGTCGCGCTCCCCAACGCACGGCGAACATCGCCCCACCACTTGGGTCCCTCACCCGGTGCAGTTGCACCGCCTGCACACTCAACAGCTACTCCGCTGTCTCGGCGGGGGGGGGGGGGGGGTTGAATCGGCTCTCTCTTGACGGGGGCGGCGTTGGCTGTGGGCGCGTGGAGATTCGTTGTCCGTCTCTGTGAAGACGACGGAGACGCCGACGAGGGCTCGTGGGTAACGCCGAGACTGGCGACTGCACACACGCGGTGCTCCGAGCTCCACGCGGGTCCCCGGGACTCCAAACTAAACTATTTATACGATATTCTTTGGTTTTTTCGGTAAAGTCACGTAGGTAAAAAATTAAAATTAATAAAAGTAAAATAAAAATAAAATAAAAATCACGACGTTTCGAAGGCAACACAAGCCTCCGTCTTCAGGTGGAACCGTCACAGCACGATAGCTGTATCAAGTGAGATGTAAATAGTCCTTGCCCCAACAGTCTGTTATAGGCTATGGGGGGAGGGAGGGGGGGGGGGAGTTTGTCTTTGCATATGAGCAATGGGCATTACTCGTGAGATGGGACAAACTTTCAACTGTTAAACCATTTTTTTGTACCAGGTAAGGCCCACTCAGCTCTTTTTCAGAAGACACAAATAATAACTCAACGAGAAGTGGCTCATCGTCAGGCGGAAATTTATAGCGGCCAAATACCCTAAACGCGTGGTGATGTTGATTCTAAATTTGAAGGGAAAACCCGTGGGCCCGGAGAAAAATCCACGCGGCCGCGGGGAGAGACACACACCGCGACCTGCAAATATACAGCAGGCGTCAGGGTTGGGATTGAACCCACGACCTCCTGCGTACGAGGAGAGGGGGGTTGACATCTCGCCGCCGCGGCGCCCACGATGCCAGCCGCTGCTGCTTGCGGAAGGATCGCCTCTTGAGCGCCTCGAGCTTAAATCAGAAACCCCGGAGGGTGGCGGCCGCTCGCCGGCGATTTCTCCCTCTCCGAGCCCCGAAATGCCACGCGTTGGTGACGCGTGACGGGACGAACAAGCGACGCGGCTGCGCAGAGAGAAGAGAGACTCCGGGACGGAACCCTCGCTCCAGACGCTTGAGGGCGGCCCGGAAAAACGCGACCGTCGCGTTTCGCCGTAGGCCAATGCCGCGCGGATCCAGCGTGGTGAAGTATGGTCAGGAAACTTGTATGGCCGAGGCGGCGTGGACAAAGCAAAGTTCGGGGAGGTGCGGTAGCCAAAACCGGCACTGACCAACACGGTTGGCTCTGGTCACACAATTGTTGTGGTATTCATCTTCTTGGTTCTTTCGGTAAAGTCACGTAGAAGGGGAAATAATAAAATATAAAAGTAAAACATATTTTATTATATTATTTAATCATGTTTTATTTTTATTATTTTATTATTTCCCCTTCTACGTGACTTTACCGAAAGAACCAAGAAGATGAATCCCTGCAGTCACGAAAGCTTTAAATCGAAATGTTGTGGTATTGTTTGCTGTTTTCTGTATTGTTTCCCCACTGGACATCTGTGAAAAAGAGCTTAATAGCTCATCGGATTTCTCCAGGATGAATAAAGATTCCGATTCACACAGCCCCTTACAAACCGCCATCCATCCAGCAGTGGATTGACAAGGGGCAGCAATTCGTACGTGCGGTGTTTCACGCAGCGCCCCGAGCAAAACAAACTGCACCTCTTGGTGGGACCGTGCACATGCCAAATTGACGCTTTGCCGGACACCGCGAGGACACTAGATGAGACGCGCTCATTGCCACCCCCCCCCTCCCACTAACTCGCCCGGTGCTCGCTGAGCTGCATTGGCTGCCGAACGAACACATCACAAGGTCGCAGTCATCACACACAAAGTGCCTGCCACAAATGAGCCACAATTACCTTGCTGGTCTCGTCAAGGAGCATCAACCGCCACGCAAACTCCGGTCATCCTCGCAGCCGCTTTTGGGCTAACCATTGAGCAAAGGCGGTCACTGCATCGCGCACTTTCAGATGAGCCTCTGTGGCCGTCTGGAACGCTCTTCCTTCAAGATGCGAGGTAGCCACTGGAGCTGTGCACTTTTAAATAAAAATTGAAAACTCATTTCTAAACAATTGTTTACATACAAATGCCCCTTTCCAAGCCATTCATTTCTTTGGAGCTGCTTTTTGTGTTTAGTTTGTTGTCCTTCTCCCGCACCTCCGATTCGCACGGTTGGCTACGTACGGTGCGAAAGAAGCTCAACGCACATTCGTACGAACGTGGCAACATCCCCACTGTGTCAGGGCCACGTGGGGTGTCAAGTGCAGGCGATGTGCGCGATAATGCCTTCCAGTCAACTTTAAATTTCCCTTATTTTAGGAGCAGCTGCCAGCCGGGCGAGATACGAGACTGCTTTATCTAGGGGGAAACCTGGGATTAAATGGGCAAAGCTTGTGTACATTTAGAAACACGCCCGGGCCCATCAAGAAGTGTACCGTCTCTGTGGGGAAGGGGACACGGTGAACAACACGGGGTTTCATGATCTAATATTCGCAGGCAGTTCTTGATTTAGTGATCGGGCTAAATGGTAATCTGTTGCACAACGTTTTCATTTCTGTCTTCTGATAAGTCACTTGGTGGAACGTGTCCCTTGGGGCCTAGCACTTGATAATGACTTAATTAATAAATGTCACTTCGGCGAATTAACTGGTATAATTCCGCACGTGTAAATGGTTCAACATGTGAGCGAAAGGGGAGTAAATATTGCGTAACGACGGTGACGCTGCGAAGTGAAGTAGCTCTGCACCAGCTTTCTCCCCGTGTGTTTTTGGGATTGTACCGTGCGTCGTTTTGGCATGATGTCACTTCCTGCAGTTCACTTCCTGAAATTCTGTCTCCCGGCACGTGGGGCGAAACGTCGGACATCAGCCCCTGCAAGCCGCACCGGAGGTCCCGAGCTGCTGCGATGATATGGAACGGGGGGTGCAGCGGGGGGCCGTGCACTCTGACCTTTCGCAGCTTAAGGCCGGCGGCAAACTCTTAAACAGGTGCACAGCATCATTAAATACTCCTGATTGAGCACAACATGAAATATAGATCACAGCTGTGCCGGATCGCATAATGTGCCCTGCGATTAATCGAATAAAGGTGATACTTGTTAACACCTTCTTCCGCAGACCCCCGGCTCGTTTGTTATTTTTACAGAGCGGTCATATCGAGCTGCCAAACTGATGCCCAAGTGTTTGTGCGCGCCTGTTGCTCGACTGCAGACTTCTCGCTTCGCGTCGTATCGAGCCTGTTGCTCTACCCCAGGGGTCGGCAACCTACGGCTCCGGAGCCGCATGCGGCTCTTTACGGGCTGCTTCTTGACGATGAGTACGTATGTATTCAGATGCATTGCGGCTCTTGAAATACTGAATTTTGTACCGAATTGGAAAGAAATGGCTCTTCTTGTTATTTTGGTTGCCGACCCCTGCTCTACCCCCATCGGTCACGGCGGTCGGGTGCACGGCGGTACATTGCGTACGGCCACGGTGGAGTTCTCCATCTGAATAAGATGACTTTTTGAAAGATAAAACAAAAATATAAAGGTTCATTCATATGATGATTTGGTAAGCCTTCAAGAGAGTGACGGAAAGTGTATATTTAATTAAAACGTATCAGGGCATGCTTTCTTTGTTTCTCTTGATGTCAGCTTTCTGTTATTCCCCTTTTCACGAATCGGCCAGCCGTTGCACCCAACTTAACATCCCCGCTCGAGTTAAAGATGGTATAGGTATTCCCAACACGGTTTTTGATGATTTGGGTTCGTACCGGTGCACGTGACCACATTACAACTAACGCCCTGCACAGCGCAGGGCAGATCACGGTTGCCCGGGCACAGCTGTCTGGTACAGCTGCCCATGCCCTGCCCAGTGCAGGGCTTTAGTTTTAATGTCGTCACGGCTGCCCGTGCCCTCTGCCATCGACCCTCTCTCAGGTCGACCGTGACCACCACGCCGACCGTGACCACCACGCCGATTGTGACCACCACGCCGACCGTGACCACCACGCCGACCGTGACCAACACGCCGACCGTGACCACCACGCCGACCGTGAGCACGCCGGTCGTTCGAGACTTAAAACAGCACCGCTTCGCCACGTGAGCTCGACTTGAAACTCGCACCACGGGGTCCCGACGAACCGCGTTACTCTCTCTCTCTCGCATTCTCACGTTAACGGTCGCAGATGGTGGAGACAAGAAGCCAGTCGGTGATGAAAGCTCACGCCGCCGAGGTGTCGCACGCCGGCAGCGACAGCGGCTGATGCGTCCGGTTCGGCCGCTCCGGCCAAAACTCGCAAGGGCCGCGGACGTAGCGCGAGCGCTCTCCTCCCCCGACCACCGCGACCCGTGACTGATGCGCCCCCACCTGCTGCTTACGGGAGGTCGTGGTACCTCGCGGTGTCGACGACGCGAATCAGCGGCGCGATGAGCCCCCGTCGATCCGGCGCTCGCCTCGTGCGCTCGACGGCGATGACGAGAGAGAGGTCCCCCCCCCCAAGGCTCCCTCGCCTCCACGGTGGCAGCCTCTGTCGCTGCTTCCTCCCCGCACACGTTCGCGCTGGTTGTAAAAATGGCAGCGATGAAACAATTGTTGGGGGGGAAATGTCACGATTTTATACTCGGATGGCTCAGGAGGTGACACTGGGGGGGGGGGGGGGGCTGACGCCGAGGGGTTTGAGAGCGCGGAGGAAGAGCACTTCGATGAGAGAGGGGCAGGGAGAGAGGGAGAGAGGGAGAATTAAGGGGCAGGGCTGTTTGGAACACGAGTCGCCCTCTCGGTTAAAAAAAAGTGCACAGAAGGAAGGAAGGGAGGGGAAGAGGACTCGAACAAGCCTCCACTTCCTCTTTTTTTTGTTGCAGCCACCAGGCCGCCCACCAGACACACGAGAAGCGGCGCAGCTGCACAGAAAAATGCCATCGACTGATAAGCCCCGTGTCGTCCACCGTTAAATTGGGGCATTTTGGGCTAAAACAGTCGTCCCTTTTCAGCGACTGGCATCTCCACGGGCCTTTCCGTTACAGAAATAATTAGCTGGATGAACACTGTCGTCGGAATGATGATGTTGTTCAATTACATCCCACTGTCGATCAACTGCTGGTGAAGTATGCGGTCAAACCCCCCCTCCCCCCCATAACCGACATGGTGCAGGGAGGCCTTCGTCTAGCAGTGGATTTCAAAAGGGATGAAACTTTACGTAATTATTGCAGTACATAAAATGTAGTACACATTTTCTGGTATTATCTGCTAATATACATTTAATTGACTCTCATTCCTATCCACCCACACGGTTTACCCATATTCAGGTCCATACGGCGTGCAGCCGTTTCAATTCGAGCAAAATCATGTTTTTTGTATCTATTTGTTTGTGTTTCTCCCTTGTGATGGGACTTCGTAGGATGAACGTTGATGTTTATAAGGGCACGGGGTAGACCAGTAAGGACTGAATTGGTCTGTAATAGGGTCGGCACTGACAAGGGATTGGCAGGTATGTAGTGGAGGGCTAATCGAGAGTATGTCCTAGTATATATCATGCAAAGTGAATGTTCATGTGTTAAAAGCCATCATCAGCCAAGATCTAACAACAGCTGGCTGAAGGCCCTCCCCAAGCTGTCGGATCTGAGTCTTGCGATGCAACAGTTCGTCTCGCTCTTGATTTGGATCGCTCCATCTCCGTAGTGGACGTGCTTACAAGTGTAGAGAAGTTCCGTACGGACGTGCCCGGAGACGGTGGTAAGTTAAGGGCTTTCGCCAGGGTTTATTAAAGCTTATCAATATTACACAGCAGGGTACACAACTCCCAGTGGCTCGGGGTCCTACTCTGAGTCTGGATCCCTGCCGGCTAGCTCCGGTCTCTCTCTCTCGTGTCGGATCGTGGACTCTGCCGACTCCACCGACCGGAGAGAGAAGCACCTCTACGGCTACCACCGGCTTCTCCCCAGACTCCCTATTCGATCCCTCTCTCTACCCCTGGCTCCCTCTTCACCCTTCGTACTCTACCCATTCCCACAGTGACCCCGCTTACGTCACGGGGTATCCCTTAAGTACCCTAGGAGACGTGACGTCATCGCACTGAACGGCACACCTGACGTCACGTCCCCATTTTACTCCTCTACACAAGCACGCGTCCCTCCTTTGTCTGCCACTCCGCCGTGAGTCTCGACCACTGGCCACGACATGCCCTGCTCAATCACACTCACTCTCCTCCGCACGCCCTATGACGGTAGCTTCCACTCGCTCGCGTCCTCCGGTTCCGCGCGTTCCTCTTTCTGCCTCTCGGTGAAATTACAAGGATCTCGACGCTTCTTTGCGCCAAAACTTTCAAGGGTTCGTTCCATTCTTCATCGTCGTCGGTGTCCGCGTTTCATCGCCCGCGTGCTAGCGCTCGTGTCACCGCGACAATAGCGGGCGGCTTGCGAACCGTGGCGGCCGCGTTGTGGCTGCGGCGGCGGCTCTGAGAAGAGCCGAATAATCTCTGTCGCGCTCCGTGAGCGCCGCGCCAAGGCGATGCTACCGCACCTGTGCCAAGATCGGTGCGACACAGCGATCGAGTCGTGCAGGCGGCGCAACTGCCCCCGGGACACCACGTGCCGGAAGGCTCCGGGCGCCCGGCTAGGAAGAGAAAGCGGTGAATTCGAAAACGGGGGGGGGGGGGGGGACGGGGACCCATTTTAATTCCTCGTTTTGCACCAGGCCCCCATGCCGACGACGTGAAACGCAGCTGGCCAAGATCACGTCATCCCACCCCCTCGCTACCTTCATCATCGTTGGCCTCTTCAGCACCGCCGCCGCCAGCGAGCCGACGGGCTCTGCTGTGCTGGGGGCACCGCTGGCTGGCGCTGCCAGGTCTGGCATTTCGCTCCGAGTCTCGCAGAGAGCTTTGAAAGGAACCGAGTGCGACGCGGAGCAGAAATGAATTATGGAATATTACGCGTCGCGCCGTCTGAATGCTGCTTGCGACGACGACGATAATTGATCAATGATAACAACAAAATAAATAAATATACTATAGTTGTTTGGGGGCGGGGGAGGGTGGGTGGTGGTGGTGGTGGTGGTTTGTAGAATAAAAGGCAGAAGAAAAGGAATGAAGAATGAGCAGATATAAAAGGAGGTTGGGGTAACATTGGGCACGCAAAAAAAAATGTGAAGCAACGGGCAAAAAAATGAAGATAAAAGAGCAGCGGGGTAGAGAGAAATAGGAGAGCGATGAAAAGCAGGATAATGTGACGGAGGGCGGGAATGGGAGGCTTGAAAGAGAGCGGCAAAGGCTCGGGCGTGTGTTTTGTGATTCTGCGCGGAGCTGAGAGAAAGGTCGTTTCAAAAATGGATAGATGTGAGAGAGAGAGGTGTGTGTGAGGGTGCGAGCGAGTGGCTTCCTCTCCTGCCGCTGCGAGGAGGAGATGCATGGAGATTGAGGGGAGAGGCCGTGGAATGGGAGGCGGGGGTGGGAGGCAAGGGAAAGGGCAGAGTGATGGAGAAAAGGGGGAGGCTTGAGTGGGTGAGTGTGAAAGAGGTAGAGAGGGAGAGAGAGGAGGGCAATTTGAGAGAGTGGGGAGACGGAGTGAAATAGTGCGATGGGGAGGCAGAGTGAGAAGGGGGATGGGGTCAGGGGCTTGGGTGAGAGAGGGAGCTGCATCAAGGGTTTGGGAGGAAGATGTTGAGATAGAAGCCGAGGCAGTTGTGGAGAAACAGAGAGCGAGCGTGGCTTAGCAACGGAGGAGAGGGGGGGGGGAGAGAGACACCGAGGGAAAGGGGAGGAAGGTGGAAGCGAACACAGGATAGGTAGAAGGGGCATGGTGGGAGAGGGAATGAACAAAGTGAGACAGGGAAAATGGGGTCGGGGGGGGAGAGTGTCAAGAGAACACATCCATAGAGAAGAGAGAGAAAGGCAGCCACGGAGATATGGATGCGTGCGTGTTTGTGTCTGTGTGTGCGCGTGATACCGACTTTGTGTTTGTTTGTGTCTGTGTGTGTGTTTGTGAGACTGAGCGGGGATGATTGGAGACTGATACAATCTCACCACGTTGGTGAGATTTTAACCACCTCGCCTGGTATACGGGAGGACGTGGGTTCGATCCTGACCCTACCTCCTGTATATTTGGAGTTTGCATGTTCTCCTCGTGGTCGCGTGGATTTGTCTCCAGGTCCTCCGGTTTGTCCCCCCACATTTAGAATGAACATCACGCGTTTAGAGTATTTGCAAAACATTTCCACGCGATAAGCCACTTTGTTGAGCTATCACTTGCGGCGAGGTCGCTTCCGAAAAAGATCTATACAGCTCAGTGGGCCTTTCTTGGTAAAAAAAATGGTTGAGTTTAGAGATTGACATTTGGAAGGAGGAGCAGAAGCTGATGGGAACGCGGACGACGGCCCTGACTTGCCATCCCGGGCCGAGCGGTGGACTAAGTGATGGAGATTGCGGCGTCACCCTCACACCCCCCCCCCCCCCAAGTGTTCATCCCCTTTGCTTCGGCACTGAGCATCGTCTGGGGTTCAAGAGGAGTGGCTCGTCTGTTTTTTTTTGTATTTTCGTTATAAATTTGGAGTGCAATTTTTTTCTATTTTCTCACAGCCCAGATGCAAATTCACGATCTTGGCACTCAGAAAATAAGGGGGCAAGCAGGATACCCTTCCTTGGTAAACGGAAGAGCTAACAGATAATGTCTTGACGAGGACAAACAAGGCTGGTGCCAGAAAGACGTGGCACCACCTGAGCATATTGGCACGAGACAGAGGAAAGTGGAAACAAATGACGAAAAATGCAGTGGACACCTCTACAGGCTTATCCGCCCATGGATCGTGATGATGATGATGATAAATTAATTACCGTATTGCAAGGCTGCAGCCAGCAGATCCGTGCGGTGTGAAATGGGTCCATTTAACCTGCTGCAGCCACTCCAAGTGCGACGTTAACCACGGCATAAAACCACAAATTGATTCTCGAGACGGTTGTGTTAAATCCTGAAAAGTCACCGAATCACCGGTGGGCACGAGTGGGGCCAGTCAATAAATGTTTCCACCCCTAATAACAACCACAGATAATCATGCGTGGGATGAATTTGTTAATTTCATTAATTTCATTGCCCCTTGACAAGTGGCAGGCGGTGACAACCAATCAGCTGGGGCTTCGCTCGTGGGTCACGTGACCGACGATTCTGCATCGCGTGGAGCATCCTGAGTGTGAAGTGTCCAGCCGGAGCGGAGGTGTTGGCGTTTTGTTGTCCAACGTTGTGCTAGCGAGGAGCACCGCGTCGTTGTTTCGTTTTTTTATGTTTTTGAATCTTGTTTCACGTTCCGCGTGTGGCTCCGATCATTGTTGTTAATATTCGTCCTTTCGTGGCTCATGTCCAGGTCGCATGAAGAGGCGTTAAGTGTTCTGCTTGCTACCCGCTTGCGCGCACAAACAACAGCCTCGCAATCCTCCTTCCTCCCAAAAAAATAAGAAGAAAAAAAAACTCTCCCTTCCTTCCTCTCTCTCTTTTTCATTTTTCACCTTCCCCTTCGACCTCTTGCTTCCTCCCTTGTGAAACTTCCTTCTACCCCCCGCCCGACGCA